ATTGCTCAGTGGCACGTGTGAAATTACATACCCTGCTTATATCCGATTGTGATCCCAAAGTTGCCAGGTTGTGCTGTTTTTAGTTAGTTGAAGCATGGAGTTTAACATTGGTCACAAAGTTTTGGCAATCGAGAAGTCCCCACTTTCATACAGGACTATTCATGATAATGTTGATCTCGTGTGGGGCTTTTTGTGTGACGACTCCAGTTTGGACATAGTGAATTTGGTACCGAATGACATGATACATCATGCTTCATATGTATTTTGTATGCTAATGTCTGTATTATTTGAGAAAATTGTCTGTTAACTCCTATAACTTGTACTGTCCATCCAATTTCCATTTTTCCAGTTAAGATGACACCAACTCCCCTTACTTAACATATGATTACGATAGTCACAGCGCTAAAATCCCTTGTGGAATGGGATCCTCTTCCTTTTCATGCTTTTATTTAACATTGCACTCATCAGTATTCCAGATGTATGTCAGCGGCCTGTATGTAAAATCAAGGCTGGACTAGGCAATACAGTGACGGATACCAGGTGCAACAATCTGTGCTGAGAGGTTTGATGAATTTTAATCAACCAAGTCGGACTACCTGATCGACTGAGTCCCCTCTCATAACCTGCAAGGATCGGGGAGCCTTTCCTAACATGAATTCACAGGCCGGGTTTTACCTCACTGAAACATCGGGTCCCGGAACCCCCAATTATTAGTTTTAAGGGTCCTGTTGACAATATGGGGGTCCTTTGATGTAACAGTGTAGGGAAGCGTATGTTTTGATAATTTATTTATAGCCTGGAATGAATCATTGATCATATGGACTGATGGATGAAATGATGCATGTAACTGCTCTGAAAGAAACAACCAAACACTCAGCAAAGTCATATATGTGTTGTGTACATTGAATAATACTGTGCGTCCGTCTTGACGGAGCGAGTTGTTTTTCAGCGTCCATTCTCAACATTTGAGTGGACACAATGTGTACCCATGTGGGGAATTAAACTTGAGACTCAGGACGAGTGAATGCTTTAACCACTACATTACCCGCACCGCTCCTTTCTATTTCATAATTTGTGAATCACACAGTTAGAAAATGTGTGTAGGCCCACTTAAAGTATCATTGCTGTTGTGCTTAAAGGTGTCACTGATTTCAAATGATTTCCACGTCTTGTGTGTTAATAATTAAATAAGTTAGTGAAGTTGTCATTGTTGGCCTATGTATTTGATGAATAAATGTCAATGTTTTTGCATTTTATGCAGAGTTTGAGGGAATACATAGATTTTACGTGTATACCTCCATAAATGCAGAAAATATTGAAGCCGATTCCAAAACCACATACATTGCCATTATATAGCTGGACAACTGCTGATGTTATAGAAGAAAACAACACTCTGCCCCTTCAAACTCGTGATGCTGATTTGGGACGTCATCTCATGTATGTCAACTAGAATAAACCCAAATTCATCTGAGGTGGTGTAAAACTTCATTGCAATCAAACATAAAAATACATGGAAAAATATGTCTCTAACAATGAACAAAAGAAAAACTTACATAAGGATCAACAAACCATTCATATGGATACATGATATACTTAAAAAATATTCTGTGTCAACAGGACGATTTTATGTTTATACCTGCATAAATGCAGACAATATTTAAGTCATTTCAAAAACCACACACATCATGATTATATAACTGGACAACTGCTGATGTTTATGAACACTCTGCCCCTTCAAACTCTTGATATGTGGATGCTGATCTGGGAAGAGTCATTTCATTTATGTCAACTTATGTCAATAAATACAAATTCATCATCTGAGATGGAGTAAAACTTCATTGAAATCAAACAAAAAATACATGAAAAAATAATTCTGTAACAATGAACAAAAGAAAATTACATAAGGATCAACAAACATTTCATATGGATACACCATGTACTGAAATATATTCCCTGTCAACTGTATAATTGTGTTAGGCGAATATGCACCAGCAGCGGTACAACCATATAGCACTGTAGCTCACCTGCATTCTTGAAATTATAGTCCACAAAACAAAATACAGTAACAATTTACACTTAGAAAATAGATAAGTATTGCACCTACATTTTTATTAATTGGGAATTTCAATTTCTATATCTGAAACTACCTCATTTGATAAATGTTAAAGATTACATGATTATCTGTCACACATTTGGTACAGGACCATTGTCTGTTTATCCTGAAAGACACACGTACCTGATCATGCAAAGTGTGAGTGAGTGTGGTTTGACGCTAAGTTAAGATTATGTATTCCAAGTCTCTAAGCTTCGTCATTTTCCTTTGGCAATGATTCAGCGTGAAATCAAGAAGATCATGAATGCCAGTCTTTGGGAGGATCATGTAAAGTATCCCTAACGTTTTTTTCTGAAGCAACCCTTCACAAGTTCATGCCTACCTAGGATCCGATCTTCAATCAGAATACCAGCGTTGCCTCCTTGTGAGTAAAATATCTTACAGTTGTACTATGGAAACAAATGGTCCCTGTCGAGAAATCCTAACCTCCTATGTGTTCATAACTTGTTCCAAGCACACAAACAATTTGTCTGAAGAGCATGCTGGATTCTCTGAACACCATAGTACTGTCGGAAATAGAAAAAAAACTGTATTTTCTCATTTATCTCTACAATTTATGTAGTTGATATGTGAAAGTGTGAAATATCTGTTAAACTAAGTTCGGCCTAACTACAGTCTCGGTGGTAGAGAGATAGGAAACGGAGAAAAAGGACTTTACTGAGGGGAAATGAGCAATGCGTGTTTTTTTCAAAGTCCAAAAAGACTTATTTGGAACAGACCATGGCTTTATGCAAATTAGTGTGCGACGATATTGTATTACAAAGGACACTTTCTAAATGTCCAATTTGAAATTAGACGTAGATTCATTATAAACGATAGCTGACGTAAAAAATAACTTTTATGCCGAAACTATTAAGGATGTAGCTACCATGCAGTCTCACTGTCACTATAAAAAGAAACAGAAAGGAGGGGCCGTCTCAAAAGCAAAACCTGGGGTCGGGCTTGGAGATAAGGATTATCTTATCTTAGCTGATATCTCTAAGGGCATTATACTGGGGTGGTACACGGCACGTCATAACAATTTACACATAATATCTCAGTCCTGTCGATCTTCGGGTGGTCATGCCACCTATATACTACGATGCGTTTCTATGGTTTTCGGGTATCATACTCTTTTACATATCTCAACATAAACTATATGAAACTATATGAAAGAAAGACACGTAAGATGTTAATCAATAGATGAGACATAGTCAACACACATGAAAAAGCACAAAATATCTTTGAGATGACCCCCTTGCAGCACGTGCATTTCATGCCAGGTGAATCGACGGTCCGTCGTCATACCTGGCTGAGCGACCTAATTGCCATCTATAGTCTGATCTATTGTTTTCAGCAGCTATTCCTATTCTTTCTAAGTTTTGCCCGATTTTACGAGTAAACATGCTTTTCTGGATATCGTATTACGCATCCCACTGAACGCCCAGTTAGGCCGAAGTGGGTTATTTCGACATATGCTATTTGCAATTGTGTACATTTTAGGGATACAGAGTAACAGCCTAAAAACAGTTTTTTTCTATTTCCGACAGTACTTTAGTGAAGGTTCTAAAACATAGTAAATACCATGCTGAATAATTTTTCAAGTGCTGACTGAAAATCAAATGTCTTCGTGCATTTTATGAAATGTCAGAAACCAAAAAATAGACAGGTATACCAGAGGTAACTTGTCATGATATCCATATATATCCATGATATACGACAGGTATCTTATTCACCACAAGTGTGCATAATTTTTCTTGACACATGCTGACTGAACAACTCTTTATCAGTAGATATCAGCAGTGAACATCATTTGCTAAATACAATATACAAAATTGGCTCAAGAACTCACACATCACTTGGTCTGGTTAAGCTTTGCTTAAAGGTCACATGCAACGTAAAACACAACTTTGCAGATTCTGATACTTTTCGGTATGGACTTACCGAAACAAATCATCAAAAATGCAAATTCAACTTATAAAGTTGAAAAATAACGCGATGAAAACAAACGCGCGAAATCGAAGTTCAAACGATTCACTAATTTTCCCCCAGCGCTTGGGGGAATTGAAGTGGTTTCAACAGCTGGGCTGCGCTCATAGCACATGCGCAGTGAAATTATAGGTTCGCGCAGCATGGAAGCGGGTTGTCCGGTGAATACTCAGTGAAGGCTTTGGTGTGAGCTATTTTTCTAATGTTTTGTTGATATTTCACAGGCGCAAGCTTTTTATATGTTATTACAGTAGATTACCGATTTAACTGTTTATATAATTTCATTTGTCTATTTCACCACACGTTCTTCTTACCGAGTCACTTTCTCAGTTCGATACTTAAAAGCAATGTCATTATTTAGAGTTGACAGAATTTCTAACTGATATAGATATGTCGTTGTCACAGACAAAACTCAATGTCTGTTTTATTGACACCTATGTGTCTGCCTGTCCGTCTGCTAATGACAATATTCAATACACAACTTCGATCACTGACCACATGCAATTTGAACTTAACACCTATCAGGCTATACACCATAAACAAAATGCATTGATTTATGGCCAGAGTTCGGTCTCTGTCACATTATGTAATTACACAGACAGGCAGGTGTGATACTTCTACACATGGCATGTTATGATGTCTGTTGATTGCAAAATGTTATACACAAAAAGTGAGCATGTATTTACAAAACCCAACATCTCTATATACACACACAATGAGCCGTGAGGGCATCTGCAAACGAAACAGCCGTTACACTTGAGTGCACACCCACCCGCTCTGACTGGGTTCGGTATCCCGGCTGCTTCGTTTCTTGGGAAGTAAACCCAAGTACAAAATATTGCACTTTTGATTTGCGATTGTACGCTTATAATTTTGATTATATGTTTTTTCATAACCAGCAATATATATTATATGTCATGAATAAGTGATAATTGTGTTTTAATTATGTTTGATTTTTGGTTGCATGTGACCTTCAATGTTTACCAAGTAAGTGATTAAGTTGGGTTTTTTTTACTCCAGCAATATCACGGCAGGGGACATCAGAAATGGGCTTCACACAATGTGCCCATGTGAGGAATTGACTCCAGGTCTTCAGCTTGCTGACCCACGCATTAACCACCACTGCCCCTAATGTTTACCAAATGAGATCATCTAATGTAAGGGATTGTCAATCTTCATGCTGAGGTAAAGACCAAATTCTAATGATATTGGTCTAATGTTATCAATTGTCAAGTACAAGATATTCTCATGGTGACATAGTTTGCAGTGTAATGGAATGTATAATAAAATGTCAAAGTCACAAAATGCAATAAAACATAAAAGTCTAGTTAATTATTGAAACAATATAATGTCATGGTCTTATGAATGTGTAAACAAAAGAGGCACATAATGGCATATAAGATTAATGTCATCCATTATATGATGAGTAATGACATTTGTATCATAATTGCATACGTGACATGTCAAATCTCTACTGGTTGTAAAATGTACTGTCACTACTACAGTGGATACCCGTGAAGATCCGGGATAGAATTGGTCTTCAGCAACCAATGCTTGTCGTGAAAGGCAACCAGTGAGAGTGCGGCGTTAAACAACAAACCAGTCAACTACTACACTGGAAAAATAGTCTTTGCCAAATATTTGGAATTTTTTTTTTTAACCATGTTTAAACATCTAAACCTTCATTTGTGACTCCTAATTCTCACCAGAACTTTCCTACACGACACACTCTCAATATTTTATCCATGTTATATTAACTGAAAACATCTACCCATACATGTATAATATCACAGAGCTTGCTTGAGTATTATGTTTGTGACTTCCATGGTTGTTCCGATCCTCATAGGGATGCCCCAATACTGTGTACCCATCGACACGTAGACATGACTGGATTCGCCATAGCGATACAGTCCGTAAAAGAAGGGATTCAATAAATATGCTCCAATCATCACTGGGAAGAACTGTCCTCCATGAGTGTGACCTGTAATAGATGAAAAGAGTGCTGAAAACTGAACCATATGTCACTCGTGTCATCATATGAAGTATCATTGTCCTGATATCGCCCATGGTAAGAATATGATGACAGACTTACTGCACTCACTGACAATTAATGTACAGTCAAAAACTGTTTTGTCGAAGTTGAAGAAACCTACATAAATACTTTCAGTTATCCAAGTTTCAACCCAAACCCAAAATGATGACTGAAGAATGAGTGAGCAGGGACCAACTTTTACTTTGACATCAAACTCAACTGTGTTTGACTGCATAGAGTGAATTCTCATCAAGTATGAAGCAGATAATTAGAAAGAATGGGATAAGTAAATGCTGCGTTGAGGCATGACTGTGTCCTTTATAATCTTTGACTGTAATTTGTGGAATTTATATTAAATACATAAGCAGAACTTTATAACGTGCGTAACACACTGACCCTTTCTCGTATCAACTCACCATATTGTTGACACTTTAGTTTACAGACAGCATATTTCTTAAGTCAACAGTGACAGAAACACAAATGTCTTTCTCTGACAGGAGGTGTCAAGTACCTTATTGGTCATACCACCCAGCATGTCCAATGAACAATTTTATTTAAATCCTGAGAAAGCCCAGACAAATACATAAGCAGAACTTTATAACGTGCGTAACACATTGACCCTTTCTCGTATCAACTCACCATATTGTTGACACTTTAGTTTACAGACAGCATATTTCTTAAGTCAGAAACAAGTTTCTTTCTTTGACAGGAGGTGTCAAGTACCTTATTGGTCATACCACCCAGCATGTCCAATGAACAGTTATAATGAAATCCTAAGCCATCCCAGACAACCAAATGCTTTAGAGAAAGTACTTTGAATAATGGCTACCTGACAGGACAACATCAACTCTGTATTTGGAGTCCAAAGCAGTCTTGGCTGCCTTCGGCTGATGGGCAAGTAGAATTACTGGCTGACTTGGATCACATGACCCCAGAGCATCATCCAGCTTCATCCCGTGATCACCATACCTGAATGTTTAAACCAAAGACTTCAAACCTTCCTTCATATCATATTTCACCTACTTTTACCATTTATGGTAGTTTTTACATATCATTTCGAGAAAACCAGGCTGTGCATTTTATTTGTTAGTGACATGTGATGTCCACGCCCTTTTAAATTGGTGCAGATAACAGATGTTGATGAAACAGAAGTTTCTTGCCACAAGGTTACCATAGAAATTTCTCTCTATTTAGACATGAAATGATGTCATGGAACATCTTGTCTAATGTTTACCATGAGATAAAATGACACACATTCAGCCAGGACATACAACAGAGCATCCTCATATTATCATACCTGAATATTTAAATAAAAGATTTCAAATTTTAAGGCAATAATTAGAATAATATGAATTCTGAATTTTGTTATTCCAATTTAGGAACTTTAGCTGTCTTGAGCTGCAGACTTAGTGTCAGAATATCAACTTCTGCACAGGTTTTTCATGGTTCCCTGTCTTTTTGATAAGCATGGGTATCCATGGTAACTGGGATCTATTCTGCAAGATAAGGCACGGATTAAGGACAATATCCTTTATCCCTTACCCTATCCTTAAAGCATCAATATCGTCTGTTCCAGCAAGGCAAATTTGTTGGTTGGCTGGTAGTTTCTCACTGGGAAGTCTGACATTGCTGTTGTGTAATACAATAAAGCCGAGACCACGGAGGTGAGAGAACCAATTGTCTACATCGCCTGTATAGTACTCATGATTGCCTGAAACAGAAGAAAACAACATACATTGGAAAACAAACAAACAAATCTTCTACAGTCTGAATTGACTAGACAACCTTGGCCATAAGCATCATTTTCTGTAGATTTTTATGTTACCATGACAAAACACTTCACTTGCTTCAGGCTTTCAGACTAGTGTATAAAGCTGAAGATAGTCAAATAGAGATTTTTAGATTATGACATGACAAAATTGGTAATTTTAATGCATGATTATCTAAATTAAAATTTAATTATTTTCAACGACAGATGTGTTAATGTAGCATTCAGTGACTTCAGCCACTAGTCCAAACCCAGAGCCAAGTACACATGTTTCTGGTCTCATAAGATCGGCTTACTTTAGTTTATGTAACAAGCCAGTGTACTACGCCTAAAATATACTGGGATTGTAAAGACTCACAAGTAATTCGCACAGACAGTGTCAGAGCAAGACTAGGCATGTGAAGAGGGGTCAAATAGGGCCACACTCAGCTATTTTCCAGCTTGTGACAGTGGTTTGTAAAAAGGACAATTTGGTGATTGACATCATATGCATCGACATACACAATGGGATAGGATGACATGCACCTACCAAGTCAGTGGGTCTGTCCACCCAATGCCATTAGTTGTCTCTAATGACAAGCATGGGTTGATGAAGAACATTTAAACATGTTATTGTTAACCACCATACTACCCTTGTGCCTAACCTGTCCAAAGAAATGCTGGTATGACAACTTCAAGAAAAACCTAGACTGATCTAGACAAAAAAAAATTGTAATCACCGATTGGCACAAACATACAAAGTGCACCTGTTATAAAATAATTCCCAAGCTTGGCCTGAATATCCTTTACAGGTTCCACTGCTTCCCTGAGGCTTGCAACACTTCCATCAACGAGATCTCCAGTCATCACAACAACATCTGAAAGGATATGAAACTGAGCCAATAATAAAAACTCAAATGTTTCCATGAACATGCAGAATACAGAATGAAAACATTTTGGAAAAATACAAAAACATTTCAACATGATATCACAGATATCCCAAGATTATAAAAGACAAAGTTGCTGGATTCAAAGCAGTATTTTTGTGACATATCGTTGGAGTAGATAAATGCTGAATGACCGATTTCTCTCTTCAAAAGGACTGTTCATAATTTATGGCTTGCTATCTACATAAACATGATCAACATTTCTGGCATTAGAAGGTTCCGAATATGAAGCAAAATGATTGACTATTTAGACTCAGATACTCTAAACACTATCGACCATTGGACATCTTTTGCAATACATGAGTCTGGTTTATCAATGTTTAAAGCAGTTTGTAATGAAAATGGCGGGGCAGAGTTGTTCGTTCGGTCCAACAGGGTTGCACCCCTTTCTCAAGTATTTTAACTATATAAGAGCTGATCAATTAAGGATATTGCCATGATATTGCTGGAATATTACTCAAAGAAGCATAAAACCTTACTCACTCACTCACTCTAAAGGTGCACTGATTTATTGACTTATCGTCACTGTTTCAATTTCATACTTACCTGCATCCAACTCATTAATGATATTTACTATGCGAGTAAGTCTCCATCTTCCAACAGTTGGTCCTAGATGAATGTCTGATATTTGCACAATTCTCAATCCATCAAGAGATGCAGGCAATCCTTTGACTGGAATGGGGACTTCTTTCACAACAGGAGCACTAGCAGCATTATAGAGACCATACGTCCAACAAAGAATAGCATAAATAAGTACAAGCTGCAATTCTCGTTGTTTTGAAAAGACTGGATTGCTTTTTAAAATGTTTCTTAAACAAAATAGAATAACCTTCACAAACACTAAACCTGTCACTATCTGAAACAATAGACCAAGTGCCGCGTAACAACTATATGCTATAACATATGGTTCTCGACCTATGAAATAAAAGTTCATTAAGTAACTGATATGACATAATACTAAGTAAGTTATAAGAAAAATCCTCCATATTGTCCACTTCTTGAGATCAGGTTGAATCACGTCCTTCTGATGAAGATCTTTATCAGAGTATTTGACATGTCTCAGTCCTTCCTTCCGTGTCGGCTTATCGAACACGGTCGAGAAGTTATTCCACACAAATCTGGAGAGAAAAATCAGGAATGCTTGTATAAAAATGACAAACTGCAATCTCAACAGTCTTGCCTTTCTTTCCCAATGGAGAGACAAGACATACATCTCGCCCAGAATGACGGCAAGCAGTACCGTCAAGGCGGCGGCAACCTTCGTACCGAAAGAGATCGCCATGTTGTGTATATGATATCCCTTGTGAAATACCAAAATAGATATGATGTTTCTTGTATAATAACTTCACGTCATTCAAAAGCCATTTTAACATCTAAAATGTGAAATATTTTATGCCATGCACAAGGCACATAGTAATGCCAGACTGATCAACTGTGTACAACAACTTTGTTGTAAGGGGTATCAATTAAAGGGAGGTAACAGTGGTCAATGTTGTGGATACATTGCTGTAAAATGTGTTAATCATCCTACAAAGTATGTTCGAAGCTCATGTTGCCCATATGCCCGGACTACTTTAATGTTTTAAACCTCAAATTGAGCAAGAGCATTTGGTATTTTTAAACTAGCGAGAAAACGGATGTCTTTCTTGATGATTAAATTTCCAAAATAATTCATCAAACCAGTTGGAATAATTCATGTTTATAGCGCGTTTAAAACTTGCGTAACTTTGATTATGTTAATTTCAGTGAGTAATTGTTCATTTATGCATATCAATCTTCGTCCCGGAAAAGCCTGATTCAGTCGTTACTGTACATATTCCTTGGTATCGATACTATATGTATTCCTTGGTATCAAGAGTATTATATATATCCAGTATATTATGATAAGATACCCTGGTCACAATCCCTTCCTACCCGTGAAGATCCGGGTTAGAACTGGTCTTCAGTAACCCATGTTTGTGATAAGAGGCGACAAAATGGCGTTAAACAACCAACCGACCGTGGTAGATATTGAATGAACAACACATAGTGTTGTTTGAGAGTGTGAACCAAAACTACAGGGACAGTCAGTTTGATTAGGTCTAGCCTCCCTTAATAGTTAAGACACAGAAATCGGAATGGCCATAACTCCAAAGTCGGTTTCTGATGAGTGAATGTAGTTGTCTCATATCAATAGACTTAACATAAAGTGAGTGCAGAAGGAGAACGTCACTTTCATGTCACGAATGGAAATTCGATACCAAGGAATATATACAGTATCGCCTCAATCAGGCTTTTCCGGGACGAAGTTTGATATGCATAAATGAACAATTATTCACTGAAATTAACACTATTATCAAAGTGATGCTTGTTAAAACTCGCTATAAACATGAATTAATCTAACTGGTTTGATAAATTATTTTGGAAATTTAATCATCAAGAAATACATCCGTTTTCTCGCTAGTTTAAAAATACCAAATACTCTTGCTCAATTTGAGGTTTAAAACATTAAAGTAGTCAGGTCATATGGGCAACATGAGCTTCGAACATACTTTGTAGGATGATTAACACATTTTACAGCAATTATCCAAAACATTGACTACTGTTACCTCCCTTTAATTGATACTCCTTACAACAAGTCTAGTTGTACACAGTTGATCAGTATGACATTACTATGTGTCTTGTGGGTGGCATAAAATATTTCACATTTTAGATGTTTAAAATGGCTTTTAAATGACGTAAAATTACCATACAAGAAACATCATATCTATTTTGGTATTTCACGAGGGATATCATATACACAACATGGCGATCTCTTTCGGTACGAAGGTTGCCGCCGCCGTGACGGTTCTGCTTGCCGTCATTCTGGGCGAGATGTATGTCTTGTCTCTCCATTGGGAAAGAAAGGCAAGACTGTTGAGATTGCAGTTTGTCATTTTTATACAAGCTATCCTGATTCTTCTCTCCAGATTTGTGTGGAATAACTTCTCGACCGTGTTCGATAAGCCGACACGGAAGGAAGGACTGAGACATGTCAAATACTCTGATAAAGATCTTCATCAGATGGACGTGATTCAACCTGATCTCAAGAAGTGGACAATATGGAGGATTTTTCTTATAACTTACTTAGTATTATGTCATGTCAGTTTCTTAATGAACTTTTATTTCATAGGTCGAGAACCATATGTTATAGCATACAGTTGTAATGCCGCACTGGGGCTATTGTTACAGATAGTGACAGGTTTAGTATTTGTGAAGGTTATTCTATTTTGTTTAAGAAACATTTTAAAAAGCAATCCAGTCTTTTCAAAACAACGAGAATTGCAGCTTGTACTTATTTATGCTATTCTTTGTTGGACGTATGGTCTCTATAATGCTGCTACTGCTCCTGTTGTGAAAGAAGTCCCCATTCCAGTCAAAGGATTGCCTGCATCTCTTGATGGATTGAGAATTGTGCAAATATCAGACATTCATCTAGGACCAACTGTTGGAAGATGGAGACTTACTCGTATAGTAAATATCATTAATGAGTTGGATGCAGGTAAGTATGAAATTGAAACAGTGACGATAAGTCAATAAATTAGTGCACCTTTAGAGTGAGTGAGTGAGTGAGTAAGGTTTTATGCTTCTTTTAGCAATATCATGGGAATATCACTAATTGATCAGCTCTTATACTTAAAATACTTGAGAAAGGGGTGCAACCCTGTTGGACCGAACGAACAACTCTGCTCCCCGCCATTTTCATTACAAACTGCTTTAAACATTAATAAACCAGACTCATTTATTGCAAAAGATGTCCCATGGTCGATAGTGTTTAGAGTATCTGAGTCTAAATAGTAAATCATTTTGCTTCATATTCGTGAACCTTCTAATGCCAGAGATGTTTATCATGTTCATGTAGATAGAAAGCCATAAATTATGAACAGTCCTTTTGAAGAGAGAAATCGGTCATTCAGCATTTCTCTACTCCGACGATATGTCACACAAATACTGCTTTGAATCCAGCAACTTTGTCTTTTATAATGTTGGGATATCTATGATATCATGTTGAAATGTTTTTGTATTTTTCCAATATGTTTTCATTCTGTGTTTAGCATGTTCATGGAAACATTTGAGTTTTTATGATTGGCTCAGTTTCATATCCTTTCAGATGTTGTTGTGATGACTGGAGATCTCGTAGATGGAAGTGTTGCAAGCCTCAGGGAAGCAGTGGAACCTGTTAAGGATATTCAGGCCAAGTTTGGGAAATATTTTATAACAGGTGCACTTTGTATGTTTGTGACAGTCAGTAATTACAATGTATTTTATCTATATCGGTCTAGGTTTTTCTTGAAGACATTTTTTGGACAGGTTAGGCACAAGGGTAGTATGGTGGTTAACAATAACATGTTTAAATGTTCTTCATCAACCCATGCTTGTCATTAGAGACAACTAATGGCATTGGGTGGACAGACCCACTGACTTGGTAGGTGCATGTCATCCTATCCCATTGTGTATGTCGATGCTTATGATGTCAATCACCAAATTGTCCTTTTTACAAACCACTGTCACAAGCTGGAAAATAGCTGAGTGTGGCCCTATTTGACCCCTCTTCACATGCCTAGTCTTGCTCTGACACTGTCTGTGCGAATTACTTGTGAGTCTTTACAATCCCAGTATATTTTAGGCGTAGTACACTGGCTTGTTACATGAACTTAAGTAAGCCGATCTTATGAGACCAGAAACATGTGTACTTGACACTTGGTTTGGATTAGTGGATGAAGTCACTGAATGCTACATTAACACATCTGTTGTTGAAAATAATTAAATAATAATAATAATAATAATAGATAATCATGCATTAAAATTACCAATTTTGTCATGTCATAATCCGAAAATCTCTATTTGTCTATCTACAGCTTTAGACACTAGTCTGAAATCCTGAAGCAAGTGAATTGTTTTGTCATGGTAACATAAAAATCTACAGAAATTGATGCTTATGGCCAAGGTTGTCTAGTCAATTCAGACTGTAGAAGATTTGTTTGTTTGTTTTCCAATGTATGTTGTTTTCTTCTGTTTCAGGCAATCATGAGTACTATACAGGTGATGTAGACAATTGGTTCTCTCACCTCCGTGGTCTCGGCTTTATTGTATTACATAACAGCAATGTCAAACTTCCCAGTGAGAAACCCGCCAACCAACAAATTTGTCTTGCTGGAACAGACGACATTGATGCTTTAAGGATAGGGTAAGGGACAAAGGATATTGTCCTTAATCCGTGCCTTACCTTGCAGAATAGATCCCAGTTACCATGGATACCCATGCTTATCAAAAGACAGGGAACCATGAAAAACCTGTGCAGAAGTTGATATTCTGACACTAAGTCTGCAGCTCAAGACAGCTAAAGTTCCTAAATTGGAATAACAAAATTCAGAATTCATATTATTCTAATTATTGCCTTGAGAATACTTGTATTTCACAGGGGAATAGAAAGGTAGAGCATGTAATGCTTAGTAATACATTATTGAATGCAGTGTTGAAGTACCTCTGCATTTAATTAATTAATGGTAAAAGTAGATGGAAGATAATATGCAGGTAAAATTTGAAATCATTTATTTAAATATTCAGGTATGATAATATGAGGATGCTCTGTTGTATGTCCTGGCTGAATGTGTGTCATTTTATCTCATAGCATTGTTGGTAAACATTGGACAAGATGTTCATGACATCATTTCATGTCTTAATAGAGAGAAATTTCTATGGTTACCTTGTGGCAAGAAACTGCTGTTTCATCAAGTTCTGTTATCTGCACCAATTTAAAAGGGCGTGGACATCATAAGTCACTAACAAATAAATGCACAGCCTGGTCTTCCCAAAATGATATGTAAAAACTACCATAAATGGTAAAAGTAGGTGAAATGTGATATGAAGGAAGGTTTGAAATTGTTGGTTTAAACATTCAGGTATGGTGATCATGGGATGAAGCTTGATGATGCTCTGGGGTCATGTGATCCAAGTCAGCCAGTAATTCTGCTTGCCCATCAGCCGAAGGCAGCCAAGACTGCTTTGGACTCCAAATACAGAGTTGATGTTGTCCTGTCAGGTAGCCATTATTCAAAGTACTTTCTCTAAAGCATTTAATTGTCTGGGATGGCTTAGGATTTTATTATAACTGTTCATAGGACATGCTAGGTGGTATGACCAATAAGGTACTTGACAATGACACCTCCTGTCAGAGAAAGAAATTTGTGTTTCTGTCACTGTTGACTTAAGAAATATGCTGTCTGTAAACTAAAGTGTCAACAATATGGTGAGTTGATACGAGAAAGGGTCAATGTGTTACGCACGTTATAAAGTTCTGCTTATGTATTTAATATAAATTCCATAAATTACAGTCATGAGTGACATGTTTCAGTTTTCAGCACTCTTTCATCTATTACAGGTCACACTCATGGAGGACAGTTCTTCCCAGTGATGATTGGAGCATATTTATTTAATCCCTTTTTTTACGGATTGTATCGCTATGGCGAATCTAGTCATGTCTATGTGTCGATGGGTACACAGTATGGGGGCATCCCAGTCAGGATCGGAACAACCATGGAAGTCACAAACATAATACTCAAGCAAGCTCTGTGATATTATACATGTATGGGTAGATGTTTTCAGTTAATATTACATGGATAAAATATTGAGAGTGTGTCGTGTGGGAAAGTTCTGGTGAGAATTAGGAGTCACAAATGAAGGTTTAGATGTTTAAAACATGGTTAAAAAAATTTTTTCAAAATATTTGGCACAGACTCATATTGTTCCAGTGTAGTAATTCGTTGGTTTGTTGTTTAACGCCACACTCTCATTGGTTGCCTTTCACGACAAGCATTGGTTGCTGAAGACCAATTCTATCCCGGATCTTCACGGGTATCCACTGTAGTAGTGACAGTACATGTTACAACCAGTAGAGATTTGACATGTCACGTATGCAATTATGATACAAATGTCATTACTCAGCATATAATGGATGACATTAATCTCATATGCCATTATGTGCCTCTTTTGTTTACACATTCATAAGACCATGACATTAGATTGTTTCAATAATTGACTAAACTTTGTTTTATTGCATTTTGTGACTTTGACATTTTATTATACATTCCATTACACTGCAAACTATGTCACCATGAGAATATCTTGTACTTGACAATTGATAACAATATCATTAGAATTTGGTCTTTACCTCAGCATGAAGATTGACAATCCCTTACATTAGATGATCCCATTTGGTAAACATTAGGGGCAGTGGTGGTTAAAGCGTTGGTCAGCAAGCTGAAGACCTGGAGATAATTCCTCACATGGGCACATTGTGTGAAGCCCATTTCTGATGTCCCCTGCCGTGATATTGCTGGAATATCGCTAAAAGCGGTGAAAAACCCAACTTCAGGGGTGGAAATAACTTTAATATTGATAGTGTACTCCGGTACAGTGGCACATGTAAAGTCACTTGCCCTGATAATTTTTCCACTATTCCAACCGTTTTCTTGCTGATTTTCTAAATAAACAACATAATTAACATTGGAAAGTCAACTGAACACCGGTACAGTGTGATATAAAAATTTGCTTTCCCAACCGTAAAAACCACTGGACTCGGACGTCAGGCAATGGGTTATTTCCACCCTTGAACTAAATCACTTACTTGGTAAACATTAAGCAAAGCTTAACCAGACCAAGTGATGTGTGAGTTCTTGAGTCAATTTTGTATATTGTATTTAGCAAATGATGTTCACTGCTGATATCTACTGATAAAGAGTTGTTCAGTCAGCATGTGTCAAGAAAAATTAATGCACACTTATGGTGAATAAGATACCTGTCGTATATCATGGATATACATGGATATCATGGCAAGTTACCTCTGGTATACCTGTCTATTTTTTGGTTTCTGACATTTCATAAAATGCACGAAGACATTTGATTTTCAGTCAGCACTTGAGAAATTATTCAGCATGGTATTGACTATGTTTTAGGACCATCACTAGTGTTCAGAGAATCCAGCATGCTCTTCGGACAATTTGTTTGTGTGCTTGGAACAAGTTATGAACACATAGGAGGTTAGGATTTCTCGACAGGGACCATTTGTTTCCATAGTACAACTGTAAGATATTTTACTCACAAGGAGGCAAACCTGGTATTCTGATTGAAGATCAGATCCTAGGTAGGCATGAACTTGTGAAGGGTTGCTTCAGAAAAAAACGTTAGGGATACTTTACATGATCCTCCCAAAGACTGGCATTCATGATCTTCTTGATTTCACGCTGAATCATTGCCAAAGGAAAATGACGAAGCTTAGAGACTTGGAATACATAATCTAAACTTAGCGTCAAACCACACTCACTCACACTTTGCATGATCAGGTACGTGTGTCTTTCAGGATAAACAGACAATGGTCCTGTACCAAATGTGTGCCAGATAATCATGTAATCTTTAACATTTATCAAATGAGGTAGTTTCAGATATAGAAATTGAAATTCCCAATTAATAAAAATGTAGGTGCAATACTTATCTATTTTCTAAGTGTAAATTGTTACTGTATTTTGTTTTGTGGACTATAATTTCAAGAATGCAGGTGAGCTACAGTGCTATATGGTTGTACCGCTGCTGGTGCATGTTCGCCTAACACAATTATACAGTTGACAGGGAATATATTTCAGTACATGGTGTATCCATATGAAATGTTTGTTTATCCTTATGTAATTTTCTTTTGTTCATTGTTGGAGAATTATTTTTTCATGTATTTTTTGTTTGATTTCAATGAAGTTTTACTCCATCTCAGATGATGAATTTGTATTTATTGACATAAGTTGACATAAATGAATTGACTCTTCCCAGATCAGCATCCACATATCAAGAGTTTGAAGGGGCAGAGTGTTCATAAACATCAGCAGTTGTCCAGTTATAAAATCATGATGTGTGTGGTTTTTGAAATGACTTAAATATAGTCTGCATTTATGCAAGTATAAACATAAAACCGTCCTGTTGACACAGACTATTTTTTAGTATATCATGTATCCATATAATGGTTTGTTGATCCTTTCTTTTGTTCATTGTTAGAGACATATTTTTCCATGTGTTTTATGTTTGATTGCAATGAAGTTTTACACCACCTCAGATGAATTTGGGTTTATTGTCCCCCGCTGGTACGCGGAACGGGGAACTATGTATTAAAGCGTCCGTCCGTACCTTCGTCCATACATCCGTACGTCCCGATTCTTGTTAACGCGATATCTCATGAACTGTTGTACCCAATGTCTTCAAATGTACCCAATGTCTACATTAGGGGATTACGCAGACACCAGTCGATTTGGGTGACCTTGACTTTATTTTCAAGGTCACCACAACACTTTGACCACTTTTCAAACTCTTGTTAACGCGATATCTCATGAAATGTTGTACCCAATGTCTTGAAATTTGGTGACAGCCTACATTAGGGGATTACGCAGACACCAGGCTATTTGGGTGACCTTTACCTTATTTTCAAGGTCACCACGACACTGACCACTTTTCAAACTGTTGTTAACGTGATATCTCATGCACTGTTGTACCCAGTGTCTTCAAATTTAGTGACAGCCTACATTGGGGGATTTCACAGACACCTCTTTATTTAGGTGACCTTGACCTTATTTTCAAGGTCACCACGACACTTTGAGCACTTTTCAAACTCTTCTTAACACGGCATCTCATAAACTGTTGTAGCCAATGTCTTCAAATTTGGTGACAGTTTACACTGGGGTATTACACAGACACCAGTTTATTTGGGTGACCTTGACCTTATCTTCAAGGTCACCACGATACTTTGACCGCTTTTTAAAGGCGATATCTCATAGAACATTGCACCCAATGTTTTCAAGTATGTTGACAGCCTACATTGGGTGATTATGCAGACACCAGTCATTTCAGACATCTTGTATGTGACCCAAAAATAAAAAGTAGTAAACATAGATATTCCATTCTTTAGCGGCAGGAGACATTGCCATATCAGTGGCAAACACTTGTTCTAGTTGACATACATGAGATGACGTCCCTTATCAGCATCACGAGTTTGAAGGGGCGGAGTGTTGTTTTCTTCTATAACATCAGCAGTTGTCCAGCTATATAATGGCAATGTATGTGGTTTTGGCATCGGCTTCAATATTTTCTGCATTTATGGAGGTATACACGTAAAATCTATGTATTCCCTCAAAATCTGCATAAAATGCAAAAACATTGACATTTATTCATCAAATACATAGGCCAACAATGACAACCTCACTAACCTATTTAATTATTTACACACAAGACGTGGAAATCATTTGAAATCAGTGACACCTTTAAGCACAACAGCAATGATACTTTAAGTGGGCCTACACACATTTTCTAACTTTTTGATTCACAAATTATGAAATAGAAACGAGCGGTGCGGTAATGTAGTGGTTAAAGCATTCACTCGTCCTGAGTCTCAAGTTTAATTCCCCACATGGGTACACATTGTGTCCACTCAAATATTGAGAATGGACGCTGAAAAACAACTCGCTCCGTCAAGACGGACGCACAGTATTATTCAATGTATACAACACATATATGACTTTGCTGAGTGTTTGGTTGTTTCTTTCAGAGCAGTTACATGCATCATTTCATCCATCAGTCCATATGATCAATGATTCATTCCAGGCTATAAATAAATTATCAAAACATACGCTTCCCTACACTGTTACTTCACAGGACCCTCATATTGTCCGCAAGGACCCTTAAAACTAATAATTGGGGGTTCCGGGACCCGATGTTTCAGTGAGGTAAAACCCGGCCTGTGAATTCATGTTAGGAAAGGCTCCACCGATCCTTGCAGGTTATGAGAGGGGACTCAGTCGATCAGGTAGTCCGACTTGGTTGATTGAAATTCATCAAACCTCTCAGCACAGATTGTTGCACCTGGTATCCGTCACTGTATTGCCTAGTCCAGCCTTGATTTTACATACATGCCGCTGACATACATCTGGAATACAATGAGTGCAATGTTAAATAAAAGCATGAAAAGGAAGATGATCCCATTCCACAAGGGATTTTAGCGCTGTGACTATCGTAATCATATGTTAAGTAAGGGGACTTGGTGTCATCTTAACTGGAAAAATGGAAATTGGATGGACAGTACAAGTTACAGGAGTTAACGGGCAAATATCTCAGGTAAGTCTCGTTTAATTTTATAATTATACAGACATTAACGTATAACGTACACGTGAAACATGATGTATGCCATACGGTACCAAATGCATTGTGTCCTTACTGGAGTCATCACACAAATAGCCCAACATGAGAACAGCATGATCATGAATAGTCCTGTATGAAAGTGGGGACTCCTCGATTGCCAAAACAAATCTGAAAACTTTGGGATCACAACCGAATATAACCAGGGTATGCAATTTCACATGTGCCACTGAGCAACAGTTCTACTGACAAGCATGATGTCACAGAGAACCAGGTAATATTTATATGAATAAGGTGAACAAAACTGCCCCCAGTTTGAAAATATACTGAGCCAAGTTTGATAATGAAGTTTTGAAATGCTAGAAAATATATAGGATCTCTGTGTCCAAGGCGTCATTTGATGACAGTAGAATCTGGCAGATGCATAGGAAAGCTTAAAATGAACTCGGTGAACCAAATGTCACCTTGCAAACGTCTTTGGTGTTGGCAGAAGAAGGAATATATACCGGACATTTTTAGTCACCCAGCAACATGCAGGTGGTCGACAGAGTCCTCCACATAACGGACAGATAGATGTCTCCTGCTTGCAGCAATATGTCATCAGCCGAACATGTACACGTCCTACGACAGAGCACGATGGCAGGTGTGTGCGACAAGGTTGGGGGTGTTTATGTTCCAACAGTCTTGGTCAGATAATCTCTTGTTTTAATCGGTGATTCACAGGGGCTTGTAACGCTAAAAACTGCCATCAAGGTGTTCTGAAGAGAAAGTTAGTTTCTTTGGTTTTGTTATCTGATAGCCAAAACACATCTTTACAAGAACCATGAACGTTGCACCAAAACGCAACCGTAACGCCTCGTGCAGTCACTTTCTGCATGTGCAGGGTCGAGCACATGGGTTTTTGACGGCTAAGTGGATGGTCGACAATTTTGAACATTGAGACGAAGGAAGGAAGGAAGGTGTCGTTAGATTATACAAATAGTTTGCCATATTCGGGCATAGTTTAGATACTCACAATTTAGAATTATACACTAGGCACATAAAGAAACTGTGCATACAAAAATTTAAAATCTAAATTTATCAAACCTGTGGAGACACATAAGGATTGAAACTCAGAGATTAGTGACATGTATCCAACATGCATGCACGTGCCACGTTCCGTGACGGGAAAGAGAAACAGAGAAAATGAATGCCACACAATACTGTCACTTTGGAAAGCTCAACCCCTGCCCTTGCGATCGTTCAAAAAAATTAAACGGCTATTGAAACGCATAGCATGCCAAGGCTCACGTCTGCACAACGTCATGAAGCCATTGGGATGGTCCGTGGGGGAATGTCTCAACGACAAGTGGCTGCACATTTCCACTGCCACCGGAACACAATTTCTGCAATGGTGAGACGCTACCAGAACACAAATGACGTCATCGATCGGCCACATTCTGGACGTCCACGTGTAACAACGCCAAGACAGGACAGATGGATAAGGGTGACCCATCTTCGCCACAGGTTTCAGACTGCAGTGATGACTGGCCGAACCATCCCAGGACTTCGCCGTATCCACCCCAACACAGTTCGACAACGTTTACGTCATCACGGGATCAGACCACGACGTCCCGCCATACGGCCTATCCTGACACAACGTCATCGACAAGCTCGCCGAATGTGGTGCCGAAATCATGTCCGCAGACCCTTGTTTTGGTGGAGAAATGTGGTTTTTGCAGATGAGTCCAGGTTTAACATTTCCCATAGTGATGGACGTCAACGTGCCTATAGACGCGTGGGAGAACGTTATGCACAGGCCTGTGTCTTGGAGAGGAATCGCTTTGGAGGTGGTTCCGTGATGATTTGGGGTGGAATAACAGCACGCCAAAGAACTCCTTTGGTGATTGTTCAGGGCAACTTAACTGGTGTGGGCTACAGGGATCAGATTCTTCGACCTGTGGCAAGTCCTTTTCTGCAATGTCATGACCCTGGGTTAACATTTCAACAGGACAATGCCCGCCCTCATACGGCAAGGGTTGCTATGGATTTCTTGCAACACCACAACGTTGACTTACTGCCTTGGCCTGCAAATTCACCGGATCTCTCCCCGATAGAGCATGTTTGGGACGAGATGGATCGACGTCTAACTTGAGAGAATCTGGCGTGACATCCCACAAGCCTTCCTTGCACGTTTGATAGGCTCTATGCATCGTCGATGCACTGCTGTTCTCAATGCCGATGGTGGACATACCCGTTATTGAGCTTGTGACATGGTCGTTTGACCCCTGTCCCGCTTGTGGACTCGTGACGTCATTGTGATTGACTTTTCAATTGAAATTCTCCCGACTTGTTATGGTCTCATGATCCCTCCATTAAAGTTTATATGTACCTTTGACATTGTTATCATACTTATCAACTGGGATAATATTTTGACAATGCACAGTTTCTTTATGTGGCAAGTATACTTACAACTAGGTGACAGCAACACAGCAGGGGAGGCAACTGAACTAAGTCTGATTTATTGTTATACAACTTGCAGTTTCTATAGGAGTAAACTAATTAACAAATGAAGATATTCAGGGTTCGATTGCTCTATCCCGCTGTGTTGCTGTCTTCTAGTCGAGTGTTTGGCAGGTTCTCTGTGATGGAAATGACGAAGTCTATAGTCGTGTGCAGCTATATATAGCTTCAAACCTGATATTGTAAGTCTAGATAGTTTACGATGACTTCACTTACTATAAGGTACGTGCACAGGTGACTGAGCGAGAGTGGTCTCCCTTCGCTCTTTGTGGCTGTTTAACCGCCACCTCGTCCTTAGTGAGTCGGATTTTACGCCGCATTTAGCAATATTCAGGCTGTATCACGGCGGGGGACACCAGAAATTGGCTTCACCCATTTGGGGAATCGAACCCGGCCCTTCCGAAAGATGAACGAACGCTATATCCACAAGGCTACCTTACCGCTCCACATTGCCTTTAGATATTTGTACATATTTTAAGTCTGAAAGAGGGGTTTTCTGTCCACTTTTCATTCAAATATTCGGCCTATAATGGTTTTACTGATAGATGGATTGTATATGAAAGCAGTGATTAAATGTCCCCTATTATTCCTGTAACACATTCTGGTGGCCTGTACTTGTCCCGAAGATGAGAAATCCGACTGTGAATGCATTATATCTACATCTTCTTCAACTTGGACGGACTAATTTGCTTCTTTTGTCCATGTTTCCATAATCTTCTTGTCCATTATTGGGACATTTGATTGTATTTTTTCTGTTATGATGTGCTGAAAATCAATCAGTCCCTGGATACTCATCTCCCATTTGCACGTCAATATTTCTTTCTAACAATCTGTCGGCACAGCATGTTTGTCGTGGGGTACTGTCTAATAGAATGTGTAATCTGGGGCTATGCACCATGACCTTTACTGCCATTGTTTCTTTAACACCTCCTATAAACCTCGCCCTTTCTCCCACCTCCTCACTCACCGATGTAGCGTCCCCTGGCTGCGGCCCCGAGCCCCTCTCCCAAACCTCTGAGTGTTTTCACCCCGTTCTGGGATCGTCCTGACCACGGCGAGACGCTCCCTGCCCCAGTCACCATCACCTATGTCGATTATTAGCCCTGTCCCAAGTGACGGCGACAGTGACTACTTGGTCTATGAGGACGAGGTCGACGACAGTTTCGTGGAGGATATTCATCCTTTGAGGAAGGCACTGAGGAGAGTGGCTGCCTTCTTTAGGAGAGTATTCTCGTAGATTCTTCATGCATGTGTGTTTCTGTGTGTGTTTGTATGTGTGTGTGTGTCAGTGAATATGTAGGCGTGAGTTCGTGTTTATGAAGCTTGAACGGATGTAAACGTGTATGTGTACATGTGTTTGTATGATAAGGTGTGTTTGTGAAAGAATGCGATTTGTATATATTTGAAGAGAGAGAGAGAGATTCTTCTGTGTCTGTGATTGATGCTGATGTCATTTGCAAGCCTGTTTGGTTGTGTAGGTTTTACTTTGGATGTCGTGTTTGGGTGCCCGTATAATACCCTATTTTCTTGATTAATAATAAATATTAATAAATGGTATACATATGAGTCTGTTTTCCTTCCTTCTTTGGATCTTTCTTTCGTTTGCTCTATCCCGCTGTGTTGCTGTCTTCTAGTCGAGTGTTTAACAGGTACTCTGTGATGGAAATGACGAAGTCTATAGTCGTGTGCAGCTATATATAGTTTCAAACCTGATGTCGGAAGTTTAAATATTTTACTATGACTTCACTTACTATAAGTTACGTGCACGTGCGCGAGTGGTCTCCCTTCGCTATTTGAAGCTTTTTTAAACCGCCACCTCGTCCTTAGTGAGTGAGTGGGGTTTTATCACAGCGAGGGACACCAGAAATTGGCTACACCCATTTGGGGAATCGAACCAGGTCCTTCCGCAAGATGAACGAACGCTATATCCACAAGGCTACCCTACCGCTCCACATCGTTTTTAGATAGTTGTACATATTTTAAGTCTGAAAGAGGGGTTGTGTTCCTCGTCTTGTGGTCATTTTCAATCCAGGTAATTGACGTAATATTTCGGTTCTTGTATGATACTGGGACAGTCATGGTGCTGATTACGTCCCTGATAGATATACCAGTAAAGATTCGGGTTAGAATTGGTCTTCATCAGCCAATATATATGCTTGGTCCAGACTCGATTATCTACAGGCCGTCGCCATATAGCTGGAATATTACTGAGTGTGGCGTTAAAAAACAAGACAACATTAAATATAAGTCCACGGAATAACGTTGTATGGACGTACTATCATTACGTTCCCACAACATAAAGTACGTTATCACAACGTACTTATAACGTTACCATAACATTAAATTGTGACAACGTGGACATGACGTCTAACAACGTCACGTTACAACTTAACAACGCTGTGAGAACGTCAATGGGAGTCCACAGAATAACGCTGTACGGTCGTAATATCAAGTTACGTTTTCACAACGAAAGCATAACGTTGTGACAACGTGAAATTGTTAGCTCGAATAGTGCTAAAAGCGGCGTAAACTAAACCCATCCGCTCATGCATGACACAAATTTCACCAAATAAAAAATAAACCGAAAGTCTCATGAAAGCACCATTAGAGTAAACCCTGTATTCGTGAGGTCAGAAATGTGAACATGTGAGGGGTTGATTTCTCCGCTTTGATCAAACGTTCAGTTTACGTTAAATCACAACAAGGTACAGTACTGAGACAAGTACAGCTATTTTGAGGAGATACTCCTGTTAATGTGAGAGTGAGAGAGTCAGTTTTGGTTTTACGCCGTTGAGCAATATTCCAGCAACCTGACGGCGGGGGACACCAGAGAGATTTTATTTTTGATATATGTACAGGTATTTACAAGTGGTAAACCTGAACATTCTCGATAAAACCTATTTCGTACATGTTACTGATAAAAACATATTTTCTCTTTTTCAAAATACTATGGCAGGTTTTGGCACTTTCAGAACATAAAATTTCATTAGATGAGATAAAAGCAGTTTTCCGAGTATTGCTTATATTCATAAAATCCGGACAAATTCTAAGACAATTATCAATAAGATTCTTTCGCTCGACACTGTACACTGGACAATGAAGTAAAACGTGGTATTCATCCTCAATTACATTCACTCAATTAAAACATGTTCTCTCTTGTAGAGGAATATTAGCATATCTGCCCAGTTCAATATTGATTGGTGCTGTGTCACATCTAAATTTTGCTAATGCACTTCTATGTGCTCTTGGGATGCTATGACAGACATAAAATGCTTGAGTAAAACAATTCTTAAAAGTAGAATATAATCTCAGCTTATCACCTCCCTTTCGGCACGGACCTTGTGGCTGTAAAATACTTTCTCTCCACTGTGTGACATGCCTTTGATACAGCACAGCTCGTACCTCTGACGAAATAAAATGTATAGTTATTCACAGGGATAAAATGGGCTAGTCCCAACTCCGACAACTTAGTATGTATGCGGAAGTGTAAATTACGCTTACGGCGGATCGCCCATCGATCACTTCATAAAAATATTTCTTTCGTAATGCGACTAAAATGAAGGTTACATAAACGTTTATCAAATCTTACAGTACTACCCCACTGGTGTACAACTGGGGGCATCCATGCTATTTCACCATTAACAGCCTTTACATACTTTTTAAGCCCTAGGAAGAAACGCATAGCACGATTTTGGACAGCATTGATACAAGACATATTATAAGAGCCCCATATACAGAGCAACCTGAAATTATTGAGAATTTAAAGATTGTAATTTTTATTAAAAAATTCACTCATTACTCACGTATTAAATGTGAATATTAGCAGAACATAACTCCAGATTCAAAGACAGGTGAACAGTTAGTATTTTGTCAAGACACCATGGGCAGCAATGCAGGCTTCAATGCGGCGGGGCATACTACTGATCAAAGAAGTTAGAAAGTCGTGGTCCATGCTGTCCCAATATCGGACAAACTCTTCTTTCATATCAGCAATATTTGTCAGATTTTTCTAATTGACACTTTCCTTCATAAGTCCCCAAACATTTTCTATTGGATTTAGGTCAGGGCTATAGCTTGGCCAATCTAATAATGTCATATTTTGGGTCCGAAACCAGGCCTGTGAATGCTTTGAACGATGTTTTGGGTCGTTGTCCTGCTGAAAAATCCAAACATTTCCATAGAACACCTGAGTAGATGGAAATAAATGTCCCTCGAGAATATCTGTGTACCGCTCACTGTTCATATTCCCTTCAAATACACAGAGGGGCGTTGCCCCTAACACAGATATGCCACCCCACACGTTAAATTTCGGACTGTACTTTGGGCGCTGATACAAAGGTTTTTCAGTTTGTTTGGTCCAGAATTTCAGTGTATTAGGAAACAGCCACACAGAACTTTCATCTGAGAAAATCACATTGTCCCAGTTAAAATTTCTATGCTGTAAGCACCAGTTCAACCTTCGCTCCTTTTGTTCAGGTTTCATGATCGGTGATGGAATTCCTCGACTTTTCTGCCAACCCATTGCATGCAGCTCAGTTCTAATTGTATCCTTACAGACAGCCACAGTTCCTCTATCAATCATACACAGCCTTAAGTTTTCTAAACTCCTTCGTTTGTTTTTAGAAACAAGAATACCAAGCCGCCTCCTGTCACCGACAGTCAATTTTCTGGGCCAACCTGCGCCTCCCTGGTGCTCAATGCCATATCCAGTTGCAATATTTTTCAAAACACGATAAACAGTGGACAAAGGGATGCCTGTTCTACTTGAAATCACTTTAGCTGATCTGATGTCCTTGTTATAATACTCTAAAATCAACTTCCTCTTCTCTAAATCATCCATACTGAAAATCACTGAAAATGTCGTCTGCTAGCAAGTAAACAAAGGGGTATAACTCTTCACAAACTAATGAAAAAGTATTAACGGAGTTGTCTCTCTTGAATGAAACCAAGCACTTGATAGCTGGTCAAGGTTGTTTATACTAGAAATCCAATTAAACATATTCCTAAAATTCGCAATAATTTCTGGTCATAATATACATGAACCATAGTCCAAAATGGACCAAACCATTGTATCATCCAGTTTAGTGAACGTAGTATATTCCATTCCACCAAGCAATTTGTATTTAGATATAGAAAGGCCAAGCGCCCTACTGGCCGAATTAGCTGCAGATTTGGCCATCCTTGCGTAATCTAAATATTCTGTGAGAAGCAAACCTAATAAGTAACAGTAACTCTCCACTGTTTCTAAAACACCCTCACCAATCATAAATATGATACTTGTTTTTGGTACAGTCTGTGATCTAAAGTGAATTACTGTCGATTTTGCACTGTTAACAGTCATTCTGTTTGAAACACACCAGCTATGTAAGCAGTCGAGTAGGATATTAAGATCTTCTTCCTTCTCAGCCAACAAAATAATATCATCCGCATATGCCAGAATTCCCACTGTATTATTATCTATAGATACACCTTTAATGAGAGCGTCTATTGCGCATAACAAATCAATATACAGGTTAAACAGGAGTAGCGAGAGCAAACAGCCTTGTTTCAAACCGCATGTAACATCGAAAAAGGGTGTCAGAAGACCGTTAAGTCGGATACAGCACTGTACATTTCTATACAAGGATAAAAAAGATTTCAGCATAAGTTGCCATTTATGCCTTTGTTTTGTAGTTTCTCCCACAACACGTTTCGATCTATGCAATCATAGGCTTTTCTAAAATCAATAAAAGCGACATATGTAGATTCCTTCATCCCTTTGCGTGTTTCTATAATGCGTGACATATGTCAACCAAGTCAGCGAGCCTGACCACCCGATCCCTTTAGTCGCCTCTTACGACAAGCATGGGTTACTGAAGGCCAATATTCTAACCCGGAACTTCAAGGGTAGCAATCAGTTAAAATCACACTATAACCGGTGATCAGTAAACACACTGAGACACTTAGGTCAGTTTAGATATTTAATCCGTGAGCACATCATGCTTTTTTAGATGTCGAATAAAAGATCAAACATCAATTTAAAATTTTAATCTGCCATTAAATATGTGATTTCTTCATGTTTTTGTTTGTTTGAAATCTTTGATGTCAATCTTGTCAAATGAATAACTAAATCAGTAAAAAGGACTTTTTTACCAACCTTTTTTCCTGTAATCGGGGGAAAACAGGGTGTCTTGTCTGAATGTCTGAAACTGTAACAATCTTCGATTTTTTGCCAAACTGAAAATCTGTGACCGTAAAACAAAGTAATCGTCCCAGAGTTACACGTTATATGTGGGATTACACTTTCTCAGTAAAGTACAGATTCTAGTACTTTTGTTGGATAGAGTCCCAATAAAATGACTAGAATATGTACCTTACAGTGAATTTTGTAATCCCAAATATAACATGTGGTGCATTTGACCATTTCGTAAATGGCATTGTGCACGTCCCAGAGTTGTTACGTACGTAATATATCAAATAACAGCAAATATCAATATTATGTCGGTATTATCATGTCAGATTCAGTTAGTCAACTTACAGTTACGTAGGGACTGAATAGTCATATTGCCACAATATTGCATGTTCAGCTTCAACTGTAGGTTATATCCAGGCAGGGAGAATAGAAGACGTTTACACATTGTAGATTATCCCTGAATATATCAAGGAAGCGATAACTTAAGTTTGTTAATGAATGTGTACACGTGAGAGTGTGTGCCTCCGAGAGTGTCAAGTACGCACCTGCGTCTTGAATTCTATCATATTCCATGAAAATATAAGTTTAATCGATCTGATGGAGGTTGGCTTCGACGCTTGGGTATACATATTTCTTAGCGGTATGCAAGTTGTGGTCTACTTTCGAGATCAATATTTTACTCCGCTCATATTACATTCAGTATTTAGAACACGGTTAAATATCATGTCAATATGAATCCTAAAACATGCACTTGTATGTCTTATAAAGTTGGACTAATCTTAAATACACAGAAAATAAAAGCAGATATATTACCGCGAACTACTTCGTATAGTTTTTTCTACAAGCACTTCCGGGTTGTAATTCGGTTCGAAAATGATGTCTGCTGATTAGAATTCATAATGTCTTGAGCTTTAGTTTGGACGCTGAATGCCGGCGCATGGTAAGGTTACGTGACTAATGAAGTCTATCGATTAGGAATAGAGGATGGAATTCGTATAAATTTGAATCTTTATCATTTTGTTGACGTTTATGGTTGTCGGAATCAGAATTGAATGTGCAGGTATACGTTTTTTCACGATCTTCAACTGAATCACAAATCTTGATCACATCTGTGTAGTAATTAATCACTTAACGCTGGTGTGTCATTGAGACAAACGGTCACTGTGACTTTCAATTCCTTTTTGTTATGGTGAATCGTTGAGTGTTTGCGGTTTTTAATCTTGCTTTTGGCATATATTAACGCACGCAACATGAGCAAATACTGACATCTGGAATCTTGACATCTTCATGATAAAAGACCATGGCGTAGGCCTTGGGTAGAAATTGACCTCTCTCCCTGTGGAAAAGGCGACATGTGAAAACCACACACATGTATAAAGAGCCTTTTTCATTTATTGTAGTTGTGCTTGGCACAGAAATATATCATCTGGTAAATGTCAGCCCAGTCAACTTTGTGATCCAAACAGTCTGCTAGTTTATATAATTCTGTTAAGTGGGTTTTCAGCAGAAGATACGGGCCACCAAATATGATGATAGATTGTCACGACAGAAAGACAAGAATAAGGGTTCATTGTCCTGGTTAATGACACAGACTGCTTCTTGTCATCACATGCATGTCTCCTTTAATCTAAAAATATTAGATATATATATTCATATAGTGAGCAAATAGATTCTGTTTTGAGTAGCTCTCAGCAATATTCTGCTTCCACCACAGATTATGAAAACCAGCTGGGATGCTTGCATCTAGAAAAACAATAACGCCATGATCATTTAACAATACAACAGACTTAGTAATATTTTTCATTTTGCTAATTGTTGGGATTGTTTTCATTTTAGCTTACCGTGGGAATCATAGGCAAGACTGATTGCATGTTATCGTATCCTTGCAAGTGTTTAACATTGCTCTTAAAGTCTTTCACTGATTTGTTTGGTCTAGTCTTACCTCAGTTATTAATGTATGATACCTGCTGATATTATGTTGCTGAAAGTGAAATATTGCTGCTTGCAGCGTTAAACATTGTTGATAACCTCAACATTTATCACACCAAGGTTTACTTTATTTAACAGTTTACAATGGTTAGTGCAGCCTTTGCAGTATCAGCTCGGTAAGGTTATCATGGTTATGTTTTATAACTCTTCTGATTTGTTTACATCAGATTTGATGTATCATGACATATGTTAATTGTCAACTTTTGTCTTTTACAGAAAATACCATAGCAAATAATAATGTCATCAGCAAGCAACTTAGCAGTGCCCATGGTGCTGTGGGGCAGGCATGCTCCAACACACTGCATATCTGCCATTCTCATGACAGCAGATATGAAGAATATCGTAACTGGATGCAATGATGGACAGATATGTATATGGGACCTCAATGAAAATTGGCAGGTTTGTTCACTTACATGCTTACATCACTGACCATTTCTTTTCTTCAGTATAGGAGCTTGTGTGGTAATGACCTGATAGTGATTTTGCAAACATGGCCAATAAAACGTAGACATTTGAGCTGAAGCGTCACCTGACAAAATGATTTAGCATTTAAATTTATCTCCTGTTCTTATGGTTTTATACACAGTTTGTATGTGTCACTATATGCCTGCTTCACATATTGCAATACTTGACTCATAATCGGAGTCATATAATGCATATCATAATGCTAAATTTGCACAGATTTTACTGGGGGTGATGGGGTAGCCTAGTGGTTACTACGTTCGCTTGTACCACTGAAGACCTGGGTTCTATTCCCCATCTGGGTACAGTGTGTGATGCCCATTTCTTTTGTCCCCTGCCATGATATTGCTAAAAGCAGCGTGAAGCTTAACTCACATATTTTATATGAATTGCTATCGGACAGTTTGCAAAGAGCTCTCATAAAACAGGAATTATTTCTAATGTTGATTTGTCATGTTGACAAGGCATCATTATGATTAGATATTACAATTTCCTGTTTCAGTGTATCATTTTGCATATATTCTATATCAGAATTTTTGCACACGTCAGTTATTGGTCTAATATTGATCCTTGCAGCTGTATCCGAGGAGCATGTTGTTTGGACATACAACAGCTATCAGCTGCCTGGCCCTCGGCTCAGACAATCCACAGACATCTTATGTTGTCAGTGCCTCAGAAAATGGGTAGGGTGATATTTGAGTCTTTGACCATGTTGTCGGAAACATGAAATACCTTATTTCCAAAACACATTGCCTCTCCTTTTGTAAATGTGATGAACAAAGTATGTCTGTCACTTTCAGTAAAGGTAAATGAAGTATACTGGTTATTTCCTTGATTATCATGTACAAGAATTTTGTAATTGACAAAAACTGTTTTTCAGAGAGATGTGTTTATGGGATATCACTGATGGTCGATGCATTGAACACACAAAGATGTCTATAGTGCACACGGATATCAATGTGAGTATCGTCACTGTATTGAGAGCGATGGTATGTCTGACATTCTAAATCAAATTAGCAGCACGTTGATATTTTTAGAATGACAAAAGCATGATATTGTGATATTATGTATCAATACTCATTTCTGTCATGATTGCATGTCTAGACTGGACTAGACTCCATTGTTTACAGACCGCCACCATATAGCTGGAATATTGCTGAGTGCGGCGTAAGACTAAACTCACTCACTCTTGATCCCAGTGATTTACAATTTTCTTACAGCATTTTACTATGTGCAAGAGCAACTGACCCATGTAACCATTAAAAGGATTATAATTATATATTAAAGTTATACATTTTATTATAGTTGTCTTGTAATCTTTAGGAGTGTTTTGTATCAGTCAGGATTTCGGGATGTCCGACTCACTGACTAAGTTTATTGTCATTGTTCCCTGACAAAGTGGTATGCTCCTCATAACATCCACACTGGATTGTCTGGTCCAGATTCATTTATTTGCCATGTTTACAGGCTGTCAAACAGATAATAATAAACAACAAATAAAACATTTATGTGAATTGTACAGGAAGAAAACTACCCCAAAATTGATCATAGTATAATTTTTTGAAATCAGGAACAAATGATTTAAGGACTCCGAAAATATAGCAACATTACTTAAATGATCCACCCTCCCTTAAATGATCCACCCTCCCTGTTTCCCTCCCATGTGGTCTACGTTTTGACAGACGGTCACTGTTATCAAAACTGACTATACACTAAAGTGTGATTTCACTGGGCAATTTTCTGTATGATTAACATTGCAGATGTGCAGTAAGTTTCATCCATTTTGCATGCTGTACATTTGATATGTTTCTTCTACACCCAGGCCTACAGATTCCGCTCATCTAAAGAACTGAGGCTAGTGTGTAATGGCTACTACCCGGAAATCCATGTCATCGACCCCCTCAGTTTTGAGTTGTTGTGGTCTCTGTGCTCCAAACTAGCACCAGACTGGATCAGTGCATGCTGTGTTCTTCGGGCCTGTCAAAAGAGAAGGTAACTATATTCTTAGCCATGTTAGCTGAAAGTGTCTCAGGTTTTTAAAATTTTTTTTATATGAATATAACACAATGCCAGTAATTTGTTTTGTGATGAAGTGTTTCTGGATATATAGTTACAAAGATGGGTCTAGAAACACGAGACAGTAACACTGTACTAGCTGTGCCTTCTGTAGACTAGTGTCATTACTTGTTTACTCTCAGTTACATACATATGCTAAATCAACATTACATCACATTACACTTTCGACCTGTGAAAATCTGGGTTAGATTTGGTCTTTGGTACCCAAAAAGAGGTGACAAACAGGATTAAGTGGTCTGATTCTTTTGGTTGACACATGTCATCGTTTCCCAACGATGTGATCACTGGATTGTCAAGTGCAGACTATTATTTACAGGTTGACGCCATATAGCTGGAATATGGCTGAGTGTGTTTTTAAACAACAAAACCAAAAAGCATTACTCTTTCTTTGGTCAGGGGTGCAGAGTTGTGGCCCTTAGTATAGCCAGGCCTTTCTTTACTTGAATTACTGTTGTATAGCCTGGATATGATTATGATGTTTCTAATACTCCCAGATGATGTAGTGCTTGCTGTATCTAACTCGGGAACTGTCAAAGTATGGACACTGACATCAGAACCCAAGGTAAGAGAACTGTTTCTCATCTAGAATTTGCTCAAATTTTCCAGGGGGTGATGGGGTAGCCTTGTGGTTAAAGCGTTTGCTTGTCACACCGAAGACCTGGGTTCGATTCCCCACATGGGTACAATGTGTGAAGCCCATTTCTGGTGTCCCCACTGTGATATTGCTGGAATATTGCTAAAAGCAGCATAAAAATCATGCTCACTCACTCACTCACTCTTTGTGCCATGGTATGTACAACAAAACAGAATGTGGTCAAAGGAAAAGCTATATTTGTGATATCAGCAGTTTAAGGAATAAAACTGATTAACTTATATTTTGTTTCCTAATCATGGGTTCAAGTGATCAATTTCCTTCTGTGTAATAATTGATTGTCTGCTACAAGACAAGGCTGTGTTAACAGCATCAGGGCCAGATGTCCCATGAAAACAACAAGTTGATCCTTATACTTGCTAACCTCTACTCTGAGTACTATGTTGAAATGGATATCCAGAAAAGATAAGAGCAGTCATTTGTGGAAGAGGTTCAGAGCATTAAGCATGATAAATTTGGACATTTTACCCCCAAAAAGGCCCTAAATTTGTTTTAGCCTTGACATGGCCCTGATTGCCTTTGATTTACCCTGAAAAGGCCTTTTATTTAGCAACATTTGTCAAGTTATGATTTTACAGGAATCTCAAACATAATAAAAACTCTTTGGAAAGGCAGAGGGTGTTAATTAACATTTGTAAGAGTTACTTAGGAGATAAACATCATGTGCTGGCCAATTTCCGGGTGTTGTTGAGTATTTGAAGCAAGGGAATTCATTTAGAACCGATGGTGTTAGCCGGAGGTTTCAAATGAAGTATTCCCGTGCTTCAGATACTCAACAACACCCGAAATTGGCCAGCACATGATGTTTATTGACATTGTAAACACAAAAGTAAACCAAAATGTCCACACACGTTTTTGTGTCTGCACTCATTGACATCGAGTATGGGAACAGCAGTGAAATGTCATCAGCCGGCTGTTTCGCTGTCTACCATGGTAGCATCTGGAACTGCTCATTTGTGACATCATTCGGACTTTACGTCACAATATGACTTGCATGACGTCACCACTGCTGACGACGTAACAATACAATGCTGTGAGCGATGTTTGTACGTATTAATACACAGCGAATGATCTTGCAATTTCCAGGAATCAAATACCATTCAATCATGTTTTTCAACCAATCTGATTAAAGAAGAACATAGTGACCTTTGGTTTATAATCTCCTCTAACATGTCTTATGGTCGGTCCCACATGTATTCAACTACTTGTGTTTTATATGTGTTTCTATAGTTCCTTAGAACTGTTGATAGGGTTCTGGTACCATGAAAGAGAAAGGCTTAGGTAGGGAGTCACTTGGTCAGCCTAGGCAAGATGCATGTTTTGCACAGACAACCTGTGACTGCCTACAACAATAGATGGAACAAGGGTATGCTTTGATTAGGTGGTACTAGAGGCTGGAAACTTTTGTCAAGGTTGTTTCCACTCATGGTTGTTTCCACTCATGGTTGAAATTCAAGGGAGAGTGCATAATGTGAGATAGGATAAGTATCATTGTTATACAATTTATTCTAAAATTCACAACATTAAATAATATAGATGTGTAATGAATTTAAAATTTGGAAATTTAAAATTCACAATATTAAATAATATGGATATGTAACGATCTTAAAATTTTGAAATCTCAGAAACCATGTGGGATGTGTTGCTATTGATGAGCCATTACTCGGACTGTTTAAAGTATCATCATTATTTTACATACATTGAGTTCAACGACTTAAATTGTCTTAATTTTAATCTATTTGTTTTAAAAGTAGTCCTGTCCAGTCCTATCATGTTTCAGTTGAGAATATTTCTAGAACATTCAGGTGAGCTGGAGAGCCGTGATTCCCTCGTCACTACGTTCATAGAGCATGTTGTGTTAATGGCATGAATTACAACTGGTATTTTTTACCATCTAACAACTTTAATTACAGACAAAGTCCGTCTATGAGGATGAATCGAAGCAGATACGCTGTCTGAATGCTCAAACTTTAACATGTTGCCCATACAACCAGCGAACTGTCCTCATCGTCTGCTCCAAGTACTGGCAGGTAAATCACATTCTGTTGCCATGGCAACTATGTTATTTTTTTATCAATCCATTGTTCCCATCATCCCATCCCTCAATGTCCATAGAAAGCTTATTAATGATGTTTACCATTTTGCTTCTATTTATTATCAATTTTACAATCAATAACTTAGTGTTTCATCTATACTATCATAAGATGTTTAATAATTTTATTAATGTCATTCCACAGTCATATCATCCTCTGGTTTGAACTAATCTGTCACTATTTCAAAGTAGTACCTACCTGAATAAGTCAGTCCAGACATTTTAAATGCTTTTATCATACCCCATGGAGACAAAGATTTCACCTTTCATAAGAGGCCTTTCTTGGTGGATTGGTTATTGAAGTCCATTGTGACTATTTATTCTGATGTTATGTGACTAATTGTGTATGTAGCCATGGTAACTGTCTTGTGAATGTTTCCCTGACTTGTCTTTATTGGTCAAGCATGCCTTTTTCCAAAAAGAAGATAATAGATAGTTAATTTTTGTTCTTTCTAAATTATATTTCCTTATTTCTTAAAGTGCATTTGTCTGCATAAACATGATAAAGATCATGATTGTGAATGCCTTTTTAGTCTTCCTCAGCAATATCTAGATGTGAAATTACTCAAACATGATATAAACTGTGATCACGGGTTGTGTGCCGCTTTTTCACTGTGGTCGAGTTACATGTTTGACTTATGTCAGTAACAGCATAAAGTAAAGAGCTTTCTGTGCATAGGAAATCTGATCAGTCATTGATGTTTCTAATTGTGATACGACACCTAAGTTTTTAAGGGGAGTGACACACATACCCATAGGTGTGTCATCATAATGTTCAAGATAGAACTTACAGAATGGGTTGTCTTTTTTAGAATAATCATTTTCTGATTAAAATATGTTAAGCTGGATATGTTATTCTGTTAAGTTCATACATTTTTCAATTTTTACAGATATTAACACAAAATTTAATTTTTATCAAGAGGCTTTCGAAACTAAATGCAGCCCCATAGACTCGGCCACAGATAACAATGTTTCAATAATGTTAAAATTTTTGTTCAAAGACAGCTCGAAACATGACGACATGTTCCTCGATATCTGTCCATATCAGTTTTGTGCTAAAAATTAACAATGCCAACATCATGATTTTTGACTAATGAAAATGTATGATTATTTTGTTCTATATTGATAATATCCATAAATATGGATATATAAACATGTTTGTATGTTTGTTTGTATTTATAGGTGGTTATTTGTTTGTTTTTTTATCTGTAGTTACCATCCTCCTCCATCCCAACTATACTGAAGGAAACAAATAAGGGAACACCACTTCATGGCAGTGTTCCTTTATTTATTCTCAGATTTCCTCCCACAGCGCTATTCAAAGCTGGTGATGAAAACTGGAAAATATTGAAAAGAATACCTGAATTTTCATGTGTTCCTTTATTTGTTTCTGTCAGTGTATCTGTATTGAATCCCTAGTGGACTTTGTACTTATGTCACCTACATTGTTCCCTGTAATACCTCGTGTCATGTCTCATTGTAGGTGTCATTCTGTTCTCTACTCATTAGGAGGAAAGGTGTTACCATTTGTATCATGTTGTACCTGTGGTTCGCAGAAAGACATGACTATTTTCCCTGTACATATATTCTGATGTAACTGTTGATAGTGTTGAATTCACTTTTAGTCAGGAGATGCACTTCAAGAATAGTAGCGAGCATGACTAAGTACAGTTTTATGAGTTTCCTGTCCTGCTAATTTGCCAAATCAATTTCAATTTTTATTGAGATGAATCTCGAGAATACCAAGATTCAGGGTCCTGAAAACAAAAACAATTTTGAGTGACTTCAAGTTAGAAAAATGTATCATGAAAATTTGGGAAAATGTGGTAAAAATACTTTTAAAAGTTGGATATTATTTTACATATTCTGTTTATTGTATGGAGTTAAAACTCCCATCCATTGACTACTATCCATACAAAAGTTAAGACCTTTCATTTTCAACAGATCACTAAATCTGATGAAGTGTTTTCTGTTTCAAATTCATGGTAATTTAATCCAGCAACCATGTTTGTGAAAATATATATAGTCAGTCCAGTATGAATGTTACATGCTAGGCATAGGTTAATTCAAATTAACCTGAAACATTTACAGGCCTGAATAGATTTAACATGTAGTAACAGTCATAATAAAGGTTTATATTCTCTTAACCCTCAGGATACCTTTAACATTAGACAAACTGCATTGTTATGGGAAGGTCCGGGTTTGATTCCCTACATGGGTACACTATGTGAAGCCCACTTCTGATGACCCCCAAGCCCCCAAGAAATTGCTAGATTATTCCTAGAAGCAGCATAAAACCGTATTCACTTACTCGCACCATCAACATTTTACCATTGTTTCCCGGAAAAATGTATCTGCAGCTATGACTACTTTGTAAACGATTAAACAGAAAAAAAGATTTTTCTTGATAAATGCATCTTTCAGCAAAATTCTTCCCTAATCATATCAGGTAGTAAATAATCCTGTCTTGGCTGATAAGTCAGTGATTGTAATCATGAGCAGTGCCCACACTGTCAAGTACAATGACACGGAATCAGATCACAGATCACAAGTCCTGACCTCCTTATCCAATTTAGTCATCTTTTATTACAAGCAATAGACCTTTCCTAACCCAGGTACTTCTAGGATTAACTACAGATGTATCTTCGCGATTGGTATGTAATGTCACCTCCAGTACTACTTGTCCAATCTCAAAGCAAATGGTAACATCATGCCTGACTTGATCGCTTCTATATCACTTTTCAAGGTGTATAATTATAACCCCCAATCTGAGAGTCCTCGTCACCATGGAAACCGGGTAAGATCGTTTGCAGCCTAGATCTAGTACCATCAGTAGCGTACGTTTCACCTAACATAATGTTTGGTTTCAGTTGCTTAGTCTTTCCTAGTTTCTATGTCTAATTCATTTTGTACACCTCCTATTACAAATATTCACAAATACATCTTGACCTAATTTGCATGTTCAAATGATTAAAATGATCAATAGTTATGATGCTTAGTAAATGAGACATTTGATTTGGAGTATTAAAACCATTGGAATGGATTTGGAAATTTTCAGTGTTCGTTGCTTTTTGATGAGAATATTTGAAGAACAAAAAGTGTTTTCCTGGAATACTGTAACTTTGATCGTGTAGAAATAAGGAATCATACCAACTGCGTACATTCTGCGAGAGAGGAAATCTAGTATTTGTGAATTTCTGTAATGCCACAGCTGCAGCCAGGCATTGATCAGACAGTGACTGATGGAAGTACTTTGTAACCATGGTAACTCGATAAGGAATAATACCATATGCTTCTCCTGCATGGTTTACTTTTGCTTCACTCATCCAAAAACTGTTTGATTGGCAAGAACATTCACAATAATACAGACCAAACAATCTGAGGGCTGTTTCTCAAAACTGGCACAATTCTATATTTTTACAAGCAACTCTGGACCTCCAATCTCTAACATTAATAATCTGTTTTGACCAAGTATATCAGATGACCATAGAACCTTTGGATTTAAAACCTGTTGAAAACTGAATGTTTACATTTCATTCAAAAACAAAAAGGGAACTATTTGTTTGGAGTGTTACTATGGTGACTGCCATGTCATTCTATTTTGAGAGATTGGAGGTTGCTTTCTTGATTTCTGAGGGTACTTTTCATATTATGCACTATAAATCCTGGGGTTTGCAGAATAATAATTCATGGGAATAGTAAATTCTAGCAGAATGAATACTTCTCAGCTGCTTCCTCAGTCATGCACACCATTTGATTCTGCTAGCCAACAAGCAACTTTGAAGGTTATCAAGCTTAGACTGAAAAAGAGTTGCTTGACTAAACTACTTTTGTTAATTGTACACCATCCCGAAAATACAGTGTTTACATGATAAGGATAGGACTCAAAATCAGCTATGCTGCATCGGGCTCACTAGTGTTAGGATTTTGGTAACACTGATTTGGAATTAGTATTTTGTACTGAGTATTATTTTTAGATAGATGATTATGTTGCATCCAAGTGCTGTATATTGTATATGTAGATTTGGTTCTGTGCCCTTCGGGATATTCTATTTATCCCTTTAAAGGTTATGTTGCTTTTTATCACTATTGGTTCAATGGATTATCAGTCACTAAGATCAGTAGTACAAGCAGATCAACAGGCATTTTACAGGAAGATGTCTTATTTACTGATGCAGGTAATCACTTTCTGTGCGAGAATCACACAATCAGTGTAATTGTCGCGGGCAGATTTTTCTTGTTTACCACTCTGGGCATTTCGGTTTTATATAGGAGCATGTTCATGCTATTTTCTTACAGGGTGTTTTGAGATCATAAGCACAAATCTGTAAATCCAGTTACAGGATTTTGAAAAGGGCTAAAAGTGAGTGAGTGAGTGAGTGAGTTTAGTTTTACGCCGCACTCAGCAATATTCCAGCTATATGGCGGCGGTCTGTAAATAATCAAGTCTGGACCAGACAATCCAGTGATCAACATCATGAGCATCATTCTACGCAATTGGGATATGAGGACATGTGTCAACCAAGTCAGCGAGCCTGACCACCTGATCCCATTAGTCGATTCTTACGACAAGCATGGGTTACTGAAGATCAATTCTAACCTACGGTAGATCTTCACGGGTAAAAGAGCTAAGAGAGCATTTTACTTATTTACCACTTCTTGCACTTCAACCCTTAAGAAAACCAGGTTTTATGTCTATTTAACATGATTCACATACATGTATTATAGATGTGTATGAAATCTGCTATGGATAGTACACTCAGTAGCAAGTGTGCTGCAGTATATTCAGTTTCCTTTACAAAATATATTGAATATTCTGCATCAATTTGACGGACATTGGACATGGATTTCAATCAAGATTCAATTACATATTGTAATACTATGGAGCGTATTAGGATTTCCCTACAGATTTGTGTTCTATCACCAAGTAAGAGGTGGTGGTGGTGTAGTGTTGAGTCAGGTCCTTGGCTCATCATACCAGTTATGGATTCCATACCCCACATTGGTACAAGTTCATTTCTACAAGTAGCACAAAAATAAACTCCTTTACTCACCTTGTCACCAAATCTGATGGATGTGTGAGGATATGCCATGGTCCATCTCTGTTACAATCAGTCAATTGTAAAAACAGATTTGATCACAGAAAAATCTAGGTATATGAGAGTTCTATATCATTGTAGTTAAAGAACTGAGTTATATTAGCTGTTTATGATATTGTAAATAACCTTGGAGGACCACTGCCTTATATTGAATGGACTGTATGTCTTGTTTATACTCTGTTACAGTTGGGCATTTGATTGACCATCAGCTGAACTGTAAAACACGCTCTGTGTGGTTCTGACGTTTATAAAACACCCAGTTCAGCGTGATTCTGACATTTTCTAACCTGCTCACTTGCTGATATTATGTATATAATCATATTTGAGCATGCATGAAAGACTTATTATATACAAATCAGGGCTTGATTTAGTGTTTTGTTACTTGTACGGGTGCTACCCAATATTACAAAGTGCAACCTAGCTATTAGTCTAACTTGCACCAGGTGCAAGTCAATTTTTGAGTTCGTAAACTTCTGAATAAAACATCTAAATGATAGCATATTTCTTTCATTACATATTGAAATAAAAGCAGTGCAACTGGAATTTGTCTGATGCAACTAGGTTTTGTTCTTAGGTTGCACCTGGGGCAAGTAGGTTAACATCTCTTAAATCGAGCCCTGCAAATAACATGATTCCGGAGTGTTTTCTCTAAAATCCTATAAATCCCATCTGTCTGAAGTTAATTTTCACATAACCAGCTCATAACGTAGCCTTTTTCTTAAAATTGCATCCGGTTTTAATTTTCTGATGAAATGTGTTTGTTAACAAATTGATAAACCTGTGTGATATACAGTCTTTGTGATTCCATTCGAAACTATATATGTTCATGTATAAGCTACTGATGTCAGAGGGGCAGTGGGGTAGCCTTGTGGTTAAAGTGTTCGCTCGTCATGCCAAAGACCGGGGTTCAATTCCCCACATGGGTACAATGTGTGAAGCCCATTTCTGGTGTTCCCCACTGTAATATTGCTAGAATATTGCTAAAAGGGACGTAAAACTAAACTCTCTTCTGATGTCAGGTGTGATTTTCTGAATGCTATTTCGTTTGTACGAAGAATTAACACACTTTGACGCTGTCTGGCTTACGAAAATATTGACCTCACATGAACGATATTTTGTCATATTTTGATGCAGAGAGGTGTAATTTTGGAGTACAAATTGTTATTTAGATTGGATAAGTATGAATACGAAGTGGTTCAGAAATCTCTGCACAAATGACAGACAGCTTGGATATTCTTTCCACAAACTGCTTTCTTCCTTTTTATTTTGTTTCAATTACACAATTTCTACCAAATCAATATTTGTGAGTATTTGACTTTGACAATAACCAAGACACAATTTCAGTGTCAAAGTTGAAACAATTTTTTGTTTTCCTGTAGAATTGTTCACAACTCATCAAGCGCAATAGCTTATGCTTTTCTTTTTTAATGCTATTTAATGATGCAGGAATTTGTAAAAACGTATCCTATATTAATATTTATTACCGGGTAAATCAGATGATTTAACTCTAGCATGTGCATGGTAGTTGAGTAGGATGGCCATAGCTATTTGTAGGCTTGATGTGAAACCATCTTGTGTGATACTTACTGGTGCTGAATTTTAAACAATCAGTGTCTCATCATAGGCCAACTGTTTTCTTTTTCATACATTTATTTAAAACATGAATTTGTCTAATCATATTGTACCAAATTAACCAGATTCATTGTATGTGGATGTATTTTCATGTTTTCCTTATTGTTATGCTCTTATGTATTTATGTCTCAATGGATAATGTGACAAGTATGATTTTCACGTATATTGGTCAGTATTGCAGCCTCCCAACATTGTGTATGGGGGTTGTAACTCAGTTGTTTGAGTCGGCCGAGCTGGTCGTGTTGAGATGACCTTGAGACATGGATGTTGATACCACACATACAGTTTCCGAATGATACATTGTGTCACTTCACACAAACGTATTTGCAACCTTTTTAGTACAATTGAAAAAAGTTTAAAATCATGTAAATGCCAAAATTGTATGTACCAAGTCTCTTATATTTTTAAGTTTGAAGATATTCTCTTATGTGTACAAGATCATGAAATTATATATTTCTATCTACCATTTTGCAAAATTAAGAAAAAGTTTCGTTGGCATTTTACAGATTGAAGATTTTCTTCTGTGTACAAGATCATGAAAATATTTTTTTCCCTACCATTTTGCAAAATTGAGAAAAGTTTCAAAGATTTGTATTGTAAATCTGATAAAATTCTTCGTGATGTATCATATTGGTAACAGTGAATTGTGATACACTGGTGTACCCACTCAAGTGTCAAGTCTCCACGCTGTAGAAAGTAGATCAGGTGACTATAGTTGCAAACCTGTCATCCATTGTAGATATACGATGCTGGGGATTTCACCTTGTTGTGTTCTGAGTCGAACCGAGTCGGTGAACGGTGGGCAGGTGGCGACTTCATCAGCGTTGACCGTGTCATTGTATGGAGCAACGATGGCAAGGGGTATCTCTACAAGCTACCTACCAAGTGAGTATGGAATAAAAATGATAATTTCCCATATTTGTAGTTCTCAAGATGGTGAATAGGCATTTATTTCAGGACTCAGTGGTGTTCTGTGTTTGGGTCTTGTTTTATATCGTTCTCATCCATGTTACATGAAAGAAAACCTATCTTTATCAGATAGTGTGGCCTCTTGTTTTTGATGATGGCTAATAATGAGATCACTGTGTAAGAAAGAAGTACCTTGTTCAGTTAGTTACTTGCTGTAAAAGCACCCCTTTCAAAGCTGAAAGTTTATCCAACAGGCCATACATATTTTTAGATTGTCTTCAGTTTCATTAACATTTGAATTAGGTTTGAGGGGCGGTGGGGTAGCCCAGTGGTTAAAGCGTTGGCTCGTCACGCCAAAAACCCGGGTTCGAATCCCCACATGGGTACAATTTGTGAAGCCCATTTCTGGTGTCCCCCACCGGGATGTTGCTGGAATATTGCTAAAAGCAGCATAAAACCAAATTCAGTCAGTCAGTCAGAATTAGGTTTGATCACATTAACTTGATCTCTGAAAACAAGTTTGTCTCGCTGAGTATGGCTTTGAAAAGGACCCTCTTTGTCAATTTTATATACACCTGGGAATACCATAAGGTAGTCATGGTTTGTTGTGGAATTTCTTTAAAAACATTAGTGCAAAGTTTTGTATATTTGTACCTGTAACTCTGTAGTGTAGCATAAAAAAGATAATCATTAACATACCAACATTTGAACTGCATTTGTTTCTGTTGGGGAAACAGGTTAAGATTGTAGATAATTTGACAGTTTAGGAAGAGGGATATTTATTTATTTGAAAGGATATGAAGAGGAATTGAAAGCATGTAGCTGTCATTGCCTTCTGTAGCCTGTTTTGGTGTAGAATGTTTTTTGTGTCGCTTTGCAATCTGTTTAGTTTGGTTTGTTTATAAAATGCATGTTGATAAAATATCTCATGCTTACATTCTTATGTTTAAGTTTTTGGATGAATTTGTTATGGCCAGTATGTGCTGAGGGGGTGAATAAAGAAGTTTGTAAGATTTCTTTGATGAAACTTGTTCATGGTGACAAATAGTGACAGTAGAACATGGTTATAGAAAGCACCTTAGAGTAGTTGACATGTATTTGTGACACCTTTTATATCTGTAGTTAGTAAAAATTAGAACTTTCTCTGCCATGTTGGATTCCTCACTATTGATAACATTTACCATTAAGTATGTATTCAAAAGATTGGTATGGCTTACCATGTATTTTTGAATGAAGCGTAAGCAACCATTCTTATGCAACACATGCTGAAGGTGGTGGATGTTTGGTACTCAGATTAACATTATTGTATTGGTATTTTCATGAATACCAGTCTGTGACTTTTGCCTCTTGTCCCAAGCCTGAAACGTGTAAAAGCCTGTTCAAATCTACTGGAAATGATGCTATGAGCCATAGTTAGAGTTGTATTTCAAAGGTTTTGGGCACAGATGGAAATTATTACTGAAGAATTTTTGCTATGAAGAAAAGCTTGTTACAAAGATAGAATTTAGTTGAAAGAGTGCGAGCAGTTTGTCACTCTTGTTACATGCTATTGTTTTTATGATCTCTTTTAAGTTGCAAATCCATTTGCAAATACCATCTTTGTATGTATAATATTGATTGTATAGTGAACACAGACATTTTAATGGCCTTTATAACTGTTATATGTTACATCTGTCTTCCTTATAACCATGTTCTACTTAACCTGCATATCTCATCTTGTATAAGACAATTTGTCTATCAGTTCATTACCAGTGGATGAAAGTTTTGTAACAGAAGGAAGTATTATTCACTGATATATCCATTGTAATAAGAGTAATATTGTCTTGATACTAATGGAAGAAATACTAACAGGTTTAGCCTCACTGAATCACAGCACAGTCTCACAGTCCCTGATGCACTGGTAGCAATACATCACCAGATTACATCACATCAATTCTTGTTTTGTTTCTGAAGCAGGCTTGCATGCAGCAATTGTAGTGCTATGACTGTTGTAACTTCCTCACTTAGACACTGAACTGTTCTCTTAACAAGGCCCCGGTATCCCTGGCTTGTTGTTAGAGCCAAGTATGATGACTAGGTCGTTACAGTGTGTGACGCTCTGTTTGTATGTTGTAGTGGCCCAATGCCATGGATTGTCAGTCATGGTATCAACTAGAAAGTTACTTAATGTTACCCAGGTCATTAAATCAGATATTTTACTTTGATATGATCCCCTGTGTGTTAAGATCTGAGGACACCTCTCATTGGGTTAGGGTTAAAGTGTTTGCCCATCATGCCAAAGATCTGGATTTGATTGCCACATGGGTGCAATGTGTGAAGCCCATTTCTGGTCTCACCCACCGTGACATCGGTGGAATATTGCTAAAAGTGGTGTAAAATCATACTCACTCTCATTAGGTGAACTTGCGTTTCAGTCAATAAATGTTGAGGCTTCCAAATTCTCAGTACAAATGAGCAAAGCATTCAGATGAAAAAAACGTGTTTCTGGTCTTGAAAAAGAATTGAACTGAAAAAATCTGAATGCAAAACCACAAAGCCATGATGTTTTTATTGAGGCTATACATGTTAGAGGATTCACTATTTAGGGTGCACTAGACCTGTGGCAGTATTCTTTGACACAGATTACAATATTCGAATTGAGGTTGTAAGAAATGAAGCCAATTTGTTTAAGAAAGTTGCCTTATAGTAAAGACTGCTCAAGAACTCAAATATCTTTCATTTTGATTGGCTGGTCGAAGTTTGTTTGCATCTTCTGCATAGTAGTCCTTGGATCTTCATGCAGAGGGGCATTGTATTGAAGTGAAAGATCTAATGTTAACTGGATTGTGATGCAGCTCGACATTTGCTGAAGAGAACATTGAGAACTTCCAGCTGTTCAACACCAACTTGTAGCTACCATGGTCATAGCTCTACAATTGCTTTGTGCAAGTCGGCTCATGTGACAACATCTCATGCGTAAAATGCCACCAGGTCATTCTCATCCTGGGAGAAAGTGTGAAAGGAATGGTTTTCTAGCTCTCCATGTGATAGATACTAAATCCCACTAATTTTCTTTGTGAACACTAGTCTTCTGAAAGGAAAGGCAATTACAAGGTAAGGAATGTAAACTGTCTTTGGACTTTATATTTCTACAATTGTGTTGTCATACATCTTTTGAAGACTGACCTTCTCTTTGGTATGTGTAAGCTGTAATGTGTATGCTGAAGTTGAGTTGTTTTGTTTTTTAAAAACTTTCTTGTCATTTGTTCTTTTGAGTGTCTGAGCAACCCTCTTACATGTCTGAAAACCTGTCTCTGTTGTGATCTACGGTAAATATCCCATTAACAATCAATTAAATTATTGAAGCATGTTGGAAAAAAACAAACATAAAAAATAGCCACTGTTAATGTTGAAGTTGGTGACAAGAAGGTTTATGTTTAATGTTCTTTAAGATTTATTACATTTGTGTGTTACAAGCTTTATAGCTGACATTGCAAACTGCATAGTGTACAGATCAACTGCATGTGGACATAATTTCCAGACAAGTGACTCAATTGTTATGGACTTCCCCAGAGGTACAGATAAGCTGCGTATCTGCGTAAATTACGCAAATATTTATGTGAAAACTCAATTCGTAATAAGTCTATTGCGTACAAGTACGCTTGAATTTTTGTAAATACTCACTAAATGTGATCTTACATGCGTACACACAAAAATGTTGAATCATAGCCATCACCGGTGCATAGATAAAATAACTGAGGTATATTCAGAGGTTCTATTTCAACACATGAACTTAGCAACATGCAGTCTCTCTTGTCGTTTCTCATATTACAGATCCAATATAAATAACATTTAAACTTTATTATATTTTTAAAATCAATGAAAATTGGCAAAATACCCTATTGAATCTGAGTGAGGTGGGTACAATTTATGTGGTTACTCAAAGGAAATTTAGGATACCCAATTGAGATGAACACAAGCGAGTACATAACTCAATGACCCAAAAAGTTGTCTGTGGCTCTGCTTCCATTTGTACCCAAATGATATTTCAGAAAGTTGTTGTCAAACCTCTACCTGTAATATTGAATCTGTCTGCTTGTACTCATCAGCAGCTTTACTATGAAGACAACTACAGTTGTTAGTGGGGAATGTCTTACCTCTCTTCCTTGTGTGAAGCTGCAGTGTTCTCATCAGTTTCAGTCAGTATGGTTTGTCAAATGTCCTTGGTATTGATAATGGGAAATAATTGGTCACTGTAAGTCAAACTGATTGGTTTGAATATTTAGAATTCAGATAATCGTGTCAATTTATTGATAATGGGAAATAATTGGTCACTGTAAGTCAAACTGATTGGTTTGAATATTTAGAATTCAGATAATCGTGTCAATTTATTGATAATGGGAAATAATTGGTCACTGTAAGTCAAACTGATTGGTTTGAATATTTAGAATCGTGGTCAATTTATTGGAGATAATCATGTCCATTTATTGATAATGGGAAATAATTGGTCACTGTAAGTCAAACTGATTGGTTTGAATATTTAGAATTCAGATAATCGTGTCAATTTATTGATAATGGGAAATAATTGGTCATTGTATGTCAGACTGTTTGATTTGAATATTTAGAACTCACATATTTGTGTCCTTTTATTGATAATGGGAAATAATGTCAAACTGATTGGTTTGAATATTTAGAATTCGGATCTGATAATCATGTCCATTTTTGTAAACAATCTGCCTAAATGTTTGGTCATTTCCTCTTGGTGAATAATTGTTTGTAACACTCATCTGTAGAATCATTCTTGAGTCATCATGGCCATTGTTTCATGTCATCACTAATACAAACAAGATTCGGGTAGGGTTATACCTTACTAACCGTGACTTTCTTGCAACTCAAGGTCAAGGCCACCGTCTGTAAGTTCTGAGTAAGTACCAGAGTTATGAGAAAGTCCAGAGGTATCAATTATTGCTAGCTGTATAGAACTGAGCTACTGGAAAGGCTCTCTCATTCTTTCTTTCAGTTATGAGCCAACTGAAGCTTTGCAATAGACACTGTCACTAGATTTCTTGATAGAAATGTCAACATATGATATCCTCAAGTAACTCTTAATTTACACTGAATTACTGTTGTGATGGTCTGTTGAAGAAGCTTCAGTTAGCTCAGTTGATCTGTCCTGGCAACATCCCATATCATGTCATCTGTTCTCACTCATCATTCCCAAAGCACTGCTTTCCTCCTCAACATGCTAACAAAAAATAACATTAGTAACATAAATAAGAAAATAAATGAAAAGGAACATCGTTCCATGTTCCTTCTGACCACTAAACCCAAAGGAAATTCCAGGTTGAGAGTTGCAAGAGGTGACCAATTGAATCAGGTGGTCAGACCAGGTTGATTGTGTGTCACCTTACTCTAGAGGCAAATATACTGAGGGAAACAAATAAGGAAACACCACTCCATTGCAGTGTTCCTTTTTTTATTCTCAGATTCTCACCCACAGTGCAATACAAAGCTTGTGAAGAAACCTGGAAAAGAATTAAAGAACACTTGTGCTTTCATGTGTTCCCTTATTTTTTCCTTCAGTATATTTTCTCAGGTATCAATCATTGGGTTGTGTGGTCCAGACATGATGCTTTACTGACTGCTGTCATATTGCTTGAATATTGCTGAGTGCGGCGTTAAACAATAACCTGATCCAGGCCATGTAAATGTCTCATCTCAAATGCTTTTTGTAAGGCAATATATCCTTAAAAGTCTGTAATTAACATTTGAATTGAAACATGGACGAGTCAGGGCAAACAAAAGATTATAAAAAATGCCCTTTATTCTTTCCTGGGGCTGTTGCCTGCACCCTCTTCCCTATCACCTACTGCTGCCCCGCCCACAAACCCTGCACCCCCAACTAACTCGCATCATACCATTTAGTTGTTAAGAAAATCATGGTATGTTGAATGTTAATGCATGACTGAGCCATCCCTTATGGTCTGAGTTGGGATTTTTCCCCTTCAGGTTGCTTGCATACTTATACAGTTGAATGTTCATATGCCTGTAGTGAATTGCTTGAAAACAGTAAGTGTACAACATATTTAACATATGAGAAGTATATGTAAAATGATTTTTATTTCATTCTCTTAATGTGTTCCTAGGGGTAGCCTAGTGTTTAAAGCGTTCATTCGTCATGCCGAAGACCCAGGTTCGATTCCCCACATGGGTACAATGTGTGAAGCCCATTTCTGGTGTCCCCCGCCGTGATATTGCTGGAATATTGCTAAAAGCGGCGTAAAACACAACTCACTCACTCACTATTATTTAGAAGAAAAGGCAAACATTTCTTTACTGTCAGTCTGCAAGTTATGATGATAATAAAGATTTGGTGCTCACTAAACTCCAGCATAAATCATATGTATATACAACCTTGTGGCCCTCAGTGTGCATAGGGGCCTTGAACAGTTAGCTAAAAAATATACAGATGCAAAATACTATGCCGTGTCATGTGTTTGAAAACTTAATAAGGCTGTAATGATAAATTTGTCTTGGTATATATGATTAGCTCATGAAGATGACTAAGCAGGTGTCATATGACTCTCAGGTAAGAGAGTTTACTTTGTAGCCTGATGGTACAACTTTTAGGAGTACCCTCTTGGATCAGTACCAGGGAGGGTATGACATGCTGCTTGAATGGTTGCTAGTATTTTCTGCTTGATCTTTCTGCTTACCTGCATATAGGCAGTAAGGCTGTAATATGTAGTAATAGTTTCCTAGCTATTTTAGCTGTTGAAATGTTACCATTGTATATGATATAAGTGTCACTAAATATGGAAAATATTTTTGTTCATCATATAAGTATCATATATATATATCACACATCATCTTGCATGTTGCTGCTGAATAATTCTTGAAACTGTAAAAGATCCTGGAAAATGTTCTTACAGTGCAATGCTGAGGCAAGTGATCTACAGGACTGTCGTAGTGCTTATTGAGTTTCTGTTTGTCTCATTTCAGTGCAAGTCCCGACAGCCCTGACTACCATCGACAGCACCAACCAACATCTCCACATGCTTACTATATACTTGATCTGTATGCAGATCAGGTATGACGCCTTTCTATGCTGTGTTTTTGTTTTGTTAATATTCTCAAATCAAACAACCTCCAGCATCACCCTAACAGCCTGTCCTCAAATCAAACAACATCCAGCATCACCCTAACAGTCTGTCCTCAAATTAAACAACCTCCAGCATCACCCTAACAGTCTGTCCTCAAATTAAACAACCTCCAGCATCACCCTAACAGTCTGTCCTCAAATTAAACAACCTCCAGCATCACCCTAACAGTCTGTCCTCAAACAACCTCCAGCATCACCCTAACAGTCTGTCAAGACAACCTCTCAAATCAAACAAGCATCGCCTCTAGCAGTCTGTCCTCAAATTAAACAACCTCCAGCATCAAACAACCTCCAGCAGTCTGTCCTCAAATCAAACAACCTCCAGTCTGTCCTCCTCAAATCAAACAACCTCCAGCATCGCCTCTAGCAGTCTGTCCTCAAATCAAACAACCTCCAGCATCGCCCTAGCAGTCTGTCCTCTGTCCTCAAATCAAACAACCTCCAGCATCACTAGCAGTCTGTCCTAACAGTCTGTCCTCAAATCAAACAACCTCCAGCATCACCCTAACAGTCTGTCCTCTCAAACAATCAATCACAGCAGTCCTCAAATCAAACAACCTCCAGCATCACCCTAGCAGTCTGTCCTCAAATCAAACAACCTCCAGCATCACCCTAACAGTCTGTCCTCAAATCAAACAACCTCCAGCATCAGCCCTAGCAGTCTGTCCTCAAATCAAACAACCTCCAGCATCGCCCTAGCAGTCTGTCCTCAAATCAAACAACCTCCAGCATCAGCCCTAGCAGTCTGTCCTCAAATCAAACAACCTCCAGCATCACCCTAACAGTCTGTCCTCAAATCAAATCAACCTCCAGCATCACCTCAGTCTGTCCCTAACAGTCTGTCCTCAAATCAAACAACCTCCAGCATCACCCTAACAGTCTGTCCTCAAATCAAACAACCTCCAGCATCACCACAACAGGTCCAGGCCAGTTCTGAAATCAAACATCACAATTTCAGTAATAAACATGGCGTTAAGCACAAGCCCTTTTCTCTACCTTCATTACCTTTGTTGGCTTTGTTTGACAAATTACTGACTTACTGGAAAATATAGCTTCATCTTATTGTTATGTCTTTGCAACCTGCAACGTTTTAAAAAGTCTATGAGACATTGTTGCATAAATGTTTTCTCATTTTCCTCTCAGTCCCTGGTGTGTTCGCCAGCCATGATGTTTTTCCGGAGCAATGGCGAGACTGTCCCCAGGAGGCTTTTACTGCGAGGAGATTCGGAGGGGCGAGTTGTCATCTGGAAGCTGCCTGAGGTTTCGGAGAGACAGATGACCCTTGTACGACAAGAGAGCTTTGACAGACTGCCAGGTACTTATGATGTACTCAGCAACTGGATGCTTCATAGATGTACGCTTAAATGCAGATAGGGGGATCACATGACAATAATTAGAAACAGTTCATATTTCAGGTCACAGTTAATTCAGAATGGTTCCTGGTGAATACATACGTAACATAGCCAAGAAACATGTGTCAGGGCTCCAGATAAACATGATATGGTAGGAAATAATTAGAATACGTAGCAGATACGCACCACAGCAATGGTGTACGGTCTTAGAATAATTTACAGACGTATTTATCTAACCTGTTTACACAAGAGTAGCAATGTTGTTATGCATATATGAAACGAAACACAAGATTACTGATACTCCATTAAATTCCATTCAGTACTCTAAATGTACTCTTATTGTTTTCCAGTACTCCTCTATTTAAAAGTACTCCTGATCATGAAAAATTATCTGGAGCCCTGAGGTGATGCTCCTTGGCACATGTATTTTCATGTTCAGCATCGAGACAGCTCAAACTTCTTTTATTTGGAAAGAAATTGTTTGATCTGTTGTACAACTACTAAAAATCATTTCACTTCATTGTGATTCTAACACAGCTTGTAAAGCATGATTGTCATGACACTATGATTGTCTACTGTAAAGAATGAGATTAAAGGATTATTATCTCAGAAAAAATACTTATTTGGATCCTATATGGTCTTCCTGGTCAGAATAAGTCCCCTGCAAACAGTACTGGTCATGAGAGGCAGCAGTGGCTTAATGGAAGACTCAGTGACTCAGTCACTGTCTGGTTATATGGTATTTTGATCATAGTTTACTAGACAACATAATACTGGACAAGAATCAATCTATGGACAAGTGACTAAGTGACAGATTGTTCCATGTGTGTCTTCCAACCTACTTTCCCTTCCACCAAGCTCAATCTACCATGCTAAACCTCTAAATGATATCCTCAGGATCTCCCATCTCATTGGGGCTCTATTTTAATATAAGGGAATAATTTGTTTCTATTAATATGATATATATTCAGAGACTAAGCATTAGTCTTCTAACCTTGCAGCTCTCCCTCCCCGCTGTAAGACCACTCTGCAGGAGGTGTGGGACAGTCTGTACAGGCCCCCTGCTGGAGTTCTCGATGGTCTGGTAGGTACACAGTGCCCAGGCTGGCACGTTTAACTAGAAGGTTTCATGTGCGTGCTTTCAACATTTCTTGTTAAGGTGAACAAACATGGCATCGATAGAAAATTTGTTTAAGCTAAAATTGACATGTATTCTTTATTTGAATTGTGATAAGTAACATGAATAAGCTGAAACCTTTTACGAAAATTTACCTGACTACATAGTAATGATATTAATTAGCCTTATGGTGCTCAACTTAGATTATATATTGATATTATTATGTTTATGTTTTGTGATCAGTGTGATGAGAACAGGCAGTCCCTCCACATCTCATCCACCATTTACATCCCATCACAAGGCAAGCTGGTTTGTGGCCGCATCAATGGCACCATCGTCATCGTCCCAGCAACACAGAGCGTGATGCTGCAACTTCTCACCACCAAGACGCTCAAAGCGGACAGTAGGTCCTTTGAGTAGTGTTTTAATCTTGGCCTAGACAAAATACATTATATATATTTTTCCTTATCCTGACTCATGCTCTTTTTGCTTGTCTTCTTCTTCTTGCGAACATAGTGGAACACTTGTATCTCCCTAATTGAAGCTCCCTTCAATGTAAAATCACTAATTAGTACACCACGAGTTACCTCCCTTCCACAAGCGCGGGAACGAGGGCGCCACCTCTACCCATGTGCCTCACTCTCTCCTTCTTCGCCCAGTGAGCTGGACGTGAGAGCGCCTGTGTCTCCCGACACACTATATCCTTGGATTATATTTAGTTAGTTACCTCGTATAGACATCTATAGAGGTTTAGCTAGTATCCTTCAACAATTATATATTGATATTTAGTCGCGTGTTTCTACTGTTAATTCACGGGACGCCATGTTTGTTCTGTGGATTACGTTGATGAAAATTCTGTACTGTTGCAGATTACGCTTTTTATTCTGCTGCTGATCCGCATTTAATATGCCCTAGCTGTACTAGCGCCATGTTCATTTTATTCACGTGGCAGTTAGCGGTACTAATTTATCCAATTCTGCCTTTAATAAATAAATACTTTATGTTTGAGACGCGCAGCAGATAGGTCACATTATGCAGAGTCTAGCCATGACTGATACACCTGAACCCTCGCCAGTCTACTGCTGTTGGTCGACCCTCCCCGCCTGGTATTCCGCTAGAGTGGTGGAGAGGCGTGGGACGTAGTCCGCCGCCTCCAAGAAGCGTCCTGCTTCCCCAGACATCCCATCGTCGCAGCCGAAGACTAGAGGGCTTCTACTGCATCTCAACGCAGACTTCACACCCCCAGGGCAGCGTCGACCTCTGAGGGGAAATCAACGAAGTCTACTAGAACTTTCTCAGCCGAGATTGTTCCCTGGGCCGCGAGATTTGGGCCTGTATGATGATCAGCCGATCATCATACCTGATGTACATCAAAAGAATGACCGATGTCGGCAACAGTGATGTCAGCGCAGATCAACATGCAGCCTGATGTACTAACGCTGATATTCGATGATCTTCCTGAGGGTCCCGTCGCTACCAACACTCAACGCAGACTTCGCACCCCCAGGGCAGCGTCGACCTCTGAGGGGAAATCAACGAAGTCTACTAGGACTTTCTCAACCGAGATTGTTCCAGCCGCTGAACTGGGCCTCTACGATGATCAACCGATCATCATCCCCGGCGATCGCATACAAGAAGCGACCAGTGACATCAGCAGAGATCGCCATGCAGCCTGATGTCTCTACACTGATGTCAGAGCGACTTCCCTGAGGGCTCAGCAGCTGTCATCGCAGAGAGGGCACCGACCACTTCGTCGCAGACCATCCCAGACGAGCTGTTGAGGCAGATCATGACCATGATGGAGGGCCACTACAGACGGGAGAAGCAGCCAGCCCAGGGCCTGAGCAACGCAGACAACACCCCAGAGGCACCCCCAGTCAGCGTAGCAGCCACGACGAAGCAGCCTTCGAGAAGGAAGTCACAGACCACCTCGACGAAGGACCCAGATGTACAGTCTTCGCGAAGGCTTCGCCGAAGACGGAGAGATCGCCACCGTCCTCGGCCTCATCCTCAGATGCGGACTCAAGGTCATCCCATAGACGCAGATCACCTAGACGATCTCCACGCCGCTCACCACCACGGCGATCTCCACGTACATCACCACGCGTCGATCACCTCGCAGGTCACCACACACAAGTCGGCAGCGTCACCCGACATAGAGATAGCAGCACACAGGTCACCATCAGAAGAGCATCAACCTCTCATCACCGATGCTGGTACAGAAGATGATGGAGACTTCTGGAGACGCTGAGATAAGATATTGGATGGTAAACAACCTAGATTTATCTTCACCGTCCAAGAGTGGCAACTCAGCGCAGACATACCTGATGAAGGAAGACGATGTAGACGTCGTCACCCTACCTCCGATCGACCCGATTGCTGCGGTGCCACAGAATGTGGACACAGCCTACCATAAAAGGCATGTAAGTTCAAGCGCCAGAGGCGTATGTTCTTTGGCCTTAATAGATCTAGAAGCGATCAATGAGATTCTTATCACCAGATTTCGCGTGACACGACTTCTGAAGATGATAGGATGATCTACTCGGCTCTACTTATGCAGAACCAGCAAGAACCACACCCTGTATGAAGCTAACGCTCATATATTGAGCGGACTCTAGACACTTCGATAAGGAAGTCCCAGGCAGCCTCCGCAAGGAACTAGAGCCTCACCAGTTACAAGGGACGCCACGAGGAGAAGCGCCACGACCCACATCCTGTTGAACACAGAGGTCGTTCACGAAGCAAGCATGAGTCAGGATAAGTATAAAATATCAATTTTTACTCTAAAATTACATATATATATACTGATCGGGTTTCTGATTCGATACCTTCGCTGAAGGTCGCGAAGGCTAAGTGGCTCCAAGTCTGCTTCACCCAGAAGATCTAGAAGGGATACTTCGAGAGCTTCGTGAAGTCTCCGGCGTTCACCGAGGAAGTATCCTACAAGGTCTCCATATACTAGCCACTTTCGTCATATATAGCTACTTTCGTCAGTCCGTTCAAGACATCGCATAAAGTGTCTATCAACTGTATGCCATATGCCGATCTATAAGCTTCACGCGAAGACAATTGCACAGGCTATTTACAACACAGAAGCGCCGCTATATTAATTAGTCAACGACGTTTCATAGATATTCACAGAAATCAACTTTCCATTATAGATTGCTAGAATATGCTATCCCACACTACGATCACGATTATCTACATGCGTGACCATTACGCAGATCTGCAGACAATTCAATATCGAAATTGAACAGCAACCTGTTACAGCGTAAGTATAACTCATAATCGCCAACGTTTCTGAGAAGTAATATGTACAACAAGTTCAGCTTTAATTCTACAATTATGACGATACATTCATGTATACAGTCTACAAGCTGACAACTTGCAAGTTTATTGTACCTTTATATAAGGAAGTCGGAATTATATTCAAAACTGAAGTTACTTTCACGACAGCCAGGAAAATAACCTACCCAGCATTAATATTACAGAGCGAGGTATTTGGCCGGAGTTTCAAGCGTTTACCATTAACCCTCGAACACGTGGTCACTTTCGGGTAACCCGAAAGTTACGGTGAAGACCGGCGATTATGCTAATATAAGCGACGGCAAGATTTTATACAAGGTTTTTTTTCCTGCTACACCGGTGACATCACAGCTGGTATTCTACAGAATCAAAATGCCTTGTTCTGATTGGACCGGCGATGGACAACTACCTCCAGAGAGGTCGGTCTTAGTTCACAGTTCAAGACTCACGTTACAAGTGACAACTATATATCAGTGAACGAGCAAGCCTCCTTACAGTCCAGTTAATCTGAACCTTCATGATTGGGCTGCTTTCTTCAGGTTAGAGACCTCCCCTGTCAAGTTAGGACGAGGGCACGGCAGTCAGGCGATTTTACATAAAGTTCAACGAGGACAGACACACCTGGTTGTGCACCTACATCGTCAAGGACTTCGCAGCGAATTTACCTAGACGACGGAATACAAGTGGATCTAAATCCACAGCGTCTCAGTCTACAACTGAATTTCATCATCAAACTACTAACACAACTAGATGGTGAGTAAACCTACTTAAGCTTTCTGATTGGAGGATTAAAACGGAAGTTTCACGCTCCAACCGGGATCTGTATATAGTGCTCCAACACCTCACAAGTGAGGTTTATGAACACGCCTGGATGACATACTTGGACTTCATGATACGATGATTCTATCACGATGGCCAGCAAGAGCACTGTAAATTTATCTCCACCGAACCAAACAGGAGGGAAAAATGCATCAGATTATTTCCTCTATATTCAAGTTACGCCAGACTGAAGTCTCATGTACTACCATCTCGCGGATCAGAACTGTCATACTATGTGCCTACAAGACTGATGGACCCGATCCGACCTCCATGAGCTTCTAATACTCATGATATTAGAAGCTAACTTCTACAATTGATCTACACAAATGTTATTTGAAATTATGGAGGGTTATTTCTGGAGATCCGATATGGTGGTTGCCAACCATTATCTGAGAGAGATATCACCGTCAAGGACGCCTCAGGTATCCACCAATTGGGTTCCAGGGTCCTCGCACAATAGTTGACAGTTCCTCGGAGAAGATAAGTCAATCTTACAGATTTCTACTTATCTTATAACAGTACTAAATAGCTACATGCTATATATAATTTGCTTAAGTTCTTTTTATCATCACAGTACTATGATTATTACATCATACAATATATAAGTTAACAACTCTACAGAGTTTGTTATTATATATTTACCTTAAGTTAATCATATCTTAAAGCGTGGTACTATGGTTGCATTATAAATGCATTAGCTAATAAACTCTACAGAGTTTTTGGCTAATATATACATTAGCTTAAGTTAATTATATCTTAAGCATAGTACTATACACATATTATAAAAATATATTAGCTTACAAACTCTCACGGAGTTTTTGCTATTATATAGGTAGCTTAAGCTTATTCATATCTTAAGCTCAGTACTATGTTTATATCATATAAGTATATTAGCTAACAAACTCTAAAGAGTTTTTGCTAATTGGCTTAAGTTTCATCATATCTTAAGCATTATGGTTACATTATAACATGTATTAGCTAACAAACTTTACGGAGTTTTTGCTATTATATAGGTAGCTTAAGCTTATTCATATCTTAAGCTCAGTACTATGTTTATATCATATAAGTATATTAGCTAACAAACTCTAAAGAGTTTTTTGCTAATTGGCTTAAGTTTCATCATATCTTAAGCATTATGGTTACATTATAACATGTATTAGCTAACAAACTTTGCGGAGTTTTTGCTATTATATATGTAACTTAAGCTTATTCATATCTTAAGCAGTACTATGTTTATATCATATAGGTATATTAGCTATCAAACTCTAAAAAGAGTTTTGCTATTATATATTTGGCTTAAGTTTCATCATATTTTAAGCTTTATGGTTACATTATAACATGTATTAGCTAACAAACTCTACGGAGTTTTGCTATTATATATGTAGCTTAAGGTTTCCTTCATATCTTAAGCTCAATACTATATTTATATCATATAAGTATATTAGCTAACAAAACTCTAAAAAGGTTTTTGCTATTATATATTAGCTTAAGTTCATCATATCTTAAGCAGTATGGTTACATTATAAAATGTATTAGCTAACAAACTCTACGGAGTTTTGCTTTTTATATATATAGCTTAAGTTTAATCATATCTTAAGCTCAGTACTATGTTTTTAACATAAAAGTATATTAGTTAAAAACTCTAAGGAGTTTTTGCTATATACATTTAGCTTAAGTCTAATCATATCTTAAGCTTAATACTATGGTTACAATATAAGTCTATTAGCTAATAAACTCTACAGAGGTTTTGCCTATTGTATATGTAGCTTAAGTTAATTATATCTTAAGCACAGTACTATACTCATATTGTAAAAATATATTAGCTAACAAACTCTACAGAGTTTGCTATTATATATGTAGCTAAAGCTTATTCATATCTTGCAAGCTCAGCACTATGTTTATATCATATATAAGTATATTAGCTAACAAACTCTAAAGAGTTTTGCTATTATATAATTAGCTTAAGTTTAAGCATATCTTAAGCTTAGTACTATGTTTATATCTTAAAGTAATTTAGCTAACAAACTCTAAGGAGTTTATACTAGCAATTTAACAAGCTTAAGTCTATTAGTCTTAAGCATTGTATTAATGTTATATATACTTTATCATAATAAGTACATTGTAATAAGTACATTGTAATAACCTTTATATGGCAGCTGATAAGTTAGCAGCAGGAATTCATCAGTTCAGTGCCTTTATGAAGTTCCCATAGGGTTATTACAATCATCACAGTTCAAATCACTAATTATTAAAATCCAAAGTATTATATATTCCCACCTCCCTTTCCGTGAGGATTCTACAAGCAAAAGAGCATGAGTCAGGATAAGAGGAAAAATATGTAATTTTTAGAGTAAAATTGATATTTTATACTTATCCTGACTCATGAGGTAAGCCCTCCCATCCTCCCCACATAACACTTTGGATTTCCCTGTAAATTCAAATGTTGGGCTCAGTATATGAGGAGAGAGTGAGGCACATGGGTAGAGGTGGCGCCCTCGTTCCCGCGCTTGTGGAAGGGAGGTAACTCGTGGTGTACTAATTAGTGATTTTACATTGAAGGGAGCTTCAATTAGGGAGATACAAGTGTTCCACTATGTTCGCAAGAAGAAGAAGACAAGCAAAAAGAGCATGAGTCAGGATAAGTATAAAATATCAATTTTACTCTAAAAATTACATATTTACAACCTCAATGCCATGATACTTAAAATCCATTACATTCATTAGGATGCTGTAAAAGATGTGAATAAAACTAAACTGTTCACAACCAGTTTACATGGGTCTTTTTATTATCTAGTTGGCAATAACAATCAATTATAGGCGTAAACATTCCCTCTGGATTATGGTTGCCTTATTCCTGTGGATTCCACAGCACACATACAGAATGGAAATGAAAATTTTAACTATTTCATAGCTATCCCTAGTGGTATGCTTAAAAGAGTTATGCAGTTATCTCCCTTAGCTGTGACGTCACAACTTAGTTGTTGAAAACCTCTAATAATTTTTCTGTATGGACAACACAGAAGACGTGTTTACAGAGTGGAAGTGTTTTCAAATTTTCTTCAAATTTTCAAGAACTACAAGACTCCTGGTCAGTAGTGTCGCATTGGTTGATGTTTCTGACAATCGCATTCTATATTTTGTGCATATTACAATCATTGCAATCACAGTTCCTTTTGCTCATATGTTTCTTCCCTACAACTTCCCATCTCTGATATCTGTATTTTAAAATCAAATGCTATGATGCCCCAACATAATGAATATCAAGTACTAAATCAGGAAAGAAATTGCATCACACTTATATTACTGAAATATGCATTGTGTCATGTCCTTGATGTATCGGTGTGCCTTTTAGTTTATGTCATGTCTGTACCAGTAATTCACTCATGCAGATACTTCACAAGGGCAAACCTGTGAATATCCAAGTAAGAATTGGTCTTCAGCAACCCATGCTTGTCATAAGAGGCAACTAACAGGATCGGGTGGTCAGGCTCGCTGACTTAGTTGACACATGTAACCCAATTGTGTAGATTGATGCTCATGCTGTTGATCATGATATTGTCTGGTCCAGACTTGATATTTTACAGACTGCTGCCATACAGCTGGAATATTGCTGAGTGCGGCATTAAACAACAAACAAACACAAGGACACTGAAGTGTTATCTTCCCATCCCTGTAAAGTTGCTGCAAAATGCTGCTGAGTGGTTGCTATGATAGCCATGTCTTCCCTGTCAGATATTCCCACCAAGATCCTGCAGGGCCATGATGGCAGGGTGACATGTCTGCTGTACCCCTTCAACGAGAGTACACGGTATGAGCCCCAACATCTGCTGTCTGGAGGAGCTGACTTCTCTGTCATCCTGTGGGACATGAACTCGGGCTACAAGATCCACACCTTCACTGTACATGGGGGAGAGCTCACGCAGATGTTGGTGCCTCCCGGCAACTGCAATGTAAGTAGTTACTGAAGGCATCTTGCAGCGTTCGAAATACCTGCCTGCCTGACTGCCCGGGATGGGTTATTTTCAAAATCACCTGCCCAACGGTTGGGTTTAAATTTAGACATGTATATAAAGATGGGATAAGTTTTGGTCGGAGCTGGCAAGTTTTACATCTAACCATCCCTGTGGTCTGGCTGAAATGTTTCATACCCTTCCTCTTGCCCTTCATATTTTATAGTTATTATTTGTTGTAGTGTTGACTTTTACCACCATATATGACTGAAGATAAGCCGATCTCATATATAAGTCAAGTTTGTAATGTGACACTTTAAATCAGTGTTAAAATTGTATGTCTTGTACATAAGCCGGACCACCAACCTGTGTACATCTTCTCATTGTGATCAGTTTTCTGAAACAGGATGTCAACAAATCATATTTAGTTATTTCTGTTGTTACATGATCTTGTAATAAACTATGTTCTTTGCATATCTGGACTTATGTTTGTAATCGAGTATAATTCTATATTTTAGTCCTAATTTTACTCAAGTCATTTTGTAAGCTGGATGTTTCTTGAAGTAAGCAACTTTTGTGAGGTGGCAATGAAACATGTTTGTTATCAGAAAAGAGTCCTTCACCCTGGTCCTCACAAGGTTTTGTCTTTTGTACCAGAGGTGCAGTTGGTGTGTAATTTTTACTATGTAGGTTTAGACTGGCTCACTGAGGAATGATCAATGGTTCCTCATTGTATCAGTGGTGTAGCCCTATAGTTAAAGCCTAGTGTCACGCATAAGTCACGCACTTTGTCCCCTTTGTATGTGTGGCTCATTTCTGGTGTTCCCTGTTGTGATATTGCCAAAAGCGGCATACAAGACACCACTCAAGACATGTTGCATTGTGCTGGTATTACCATAAAGCATGTTAAATATTTTCAGACTCGGATCCTGTCTGCTGTTTGTTCGGTTGCAAGTGACCACTCTGTAGCTCTCCTCAGTCTGAAGGAGAGAAAGTGTATCATGTTGGCAGGGCGCCACCTGTTTCCAGTTCAGACAATCAGATGGCGCCCCCTGGATGACTTCATGGTTGTCAGCTGCTCTGATGGCACAGTCTATGTATGGCAGATGGAGACAGGTCAGTAGGACACAAAATGTGTTGTCTGATGTAGTTACATTGAAGCTGGATGATAAAGCTTACCATACGTTGTGTTACCTCCCAACTTCTAAATGCCCATCAAGCATCTGAATTGGATACATTTAGTACTTATAAATTGTAAATCTAAATGCTGAATAAAATACAGAACAATTTCTGTGAACATTTGCAGCAGCCCTGTTCAATCAGTCCATATGACCATCATGCTGTCTGGAACCCTTGAAGATCTGGGTTAGAATTGGTCTTCAGTAACCCATGCTTGTAAGAGGCAACTAATGGGATCGGATGGTCAGACTTTGCTGATTTGGTTGACACATGTCATCGTATCCCATTTATGTAGATAGATGCTCATGCTGTTGATCACAAGATTGTCTGGTCCACACTCGATTATTTACAGACTGCCACCATATAGCTGGAATATTGCTGAGTGTGGTGTTAAGCAACCAAGAATCATCATAGTGTCTGGTGTGTTATGTTATAGGGGGCAGTGGGGTAGCCTAGTGGTTAAAGCGTTGGCTCGTCACTCTGAAGACCCGGGTTCGAATCCCCACATGGGTACAATGTGTGAAGCCCATTTCTGGTGTCCCCCGCCGTGATGTTGCTGGAATATTCAGTAAAAACCAAAACTCAGTCAGTCAGTGCATGTTATAGAGACTGGCTGCACAAGAACATATTGGAGGTTATTCAGTTTTTGTGATCAGTTTGGATTCAAAATATAAATAAAAGAAGAAGACCAGAAGTATATGATATACCTTTTGCTGATTTTTGTGTCTGATTTTTATGAAAATATGTAGAAATGATCCTTTACCTTTTTGGCCATGCTATTGAATTGAACCAGTTTCCTTCAGCAGGTTAGCTTCAGGTGCTTTGGTGGCATAAATGGATAGAACTACTGACAGATGTTAAATGAAGCATAGTGACCAGGGACAATTCATTATCTGTCTCAATAATAGTTTTGTTTATGACTGAGCCTGTAATGTTCATGTAGAATTGCATCAAACAAGTTTTACTCAAAGGCACAATGATCAGATATGTGGATATAAGGGCTACCTGATAATGTACTTGCTCATCGAACAGAAAACATGTGAACATTTCACAGCATGGAAACAATGTTTTTCAGCCCTTCTTTTTCAGCCTTCAGCCGTTATCTTTTGTGACATTGCATTAATATTGTCAGATCGCATATACTCACTGTACAGGATATTGCTGACACAGCATAAACCCATAGTACTCACTGTCTCTCTATTTCGTAATGTTTGCAGGTCACCTTGATCGAGTTGTCCATGGCATTACTGCAGAGGAGATCCTCAACAACTGTGATGAAAATGCCACACCGATGGAAAGTCTGACCAATCCTAGTCTGACTCTGGCACAGGCCCTGAAGAGACGGAATCTGGCAACATTCAAGAACCTGGCACAGCAGAAACTACAGCAGCAACAAGCAGCTGCCCAACATCATCAGCAGCAGCTGACACAAAGACCACCACCAGAGATGCTTAAACCTACCGGGTACCCCTGCTTATACAAGGAGTGAGGACCAACACCAGGGACCCTGACTCTCATGTGCTTTTCTTTGACACAGAGGCCTTAATTGGTAAGTACCTGGAAGTGTTACAGGATATTTATTAATTCCAGTTTCATGATCTAAATATTTGGACATGAATGGTGTGACCTGCTGCATATTTTGTTAAGATGGTGAGGTAGCCTTGTGGTTGAGATGTGCATCTGTCATGATGAAAACCTTAAGGTTACAATGTGTGAAGCCAATTTCTCTTGTGTTTGCCTTGATATTGCTGGAATATTCATTTTACAGGACATGGACTTAGGCCCAAATCCCTCATTCATAGTGTGACCAATATTTTCTCCATTTGGAACTGCCTATTTACATTTGGTTTTGTAATACAGAAATCAGATATGTTTCACTTCACTAACAAGAAGTCAAAAGGGTCCTTTTAGATGGCTGATAAGGAACTGATAAGGAAATATATCTGACATGACTTGTGTAGGGCTTTCAGATCATGATGGAGAGAAACTTTAAAATCTTCGGTCATAAATTGTCTTCAGTCGTGTATTATGAGATTGACTGATGCTGCATGAGATGCCATGAGATTGTTGTTGTTTGTGCAGTGCAACTGTTGACGGAGGAGTATGCCACCATGTCCCCCGGGGAGCTGGAGGCAAGGGGACTCATTGGGATGACAGAGGATCAGCTCATTAAGTCCTCTGGTGGCCTGGAGCTGTCAGACACACAGCAGAAACTCATGGGTAAAACACCTTCATCACTATAACCTACGTGTGTCTCCTCATGCTCCTCAACATTAACAGTAGGGAGACCTAGTCATCTGAATCACTGCAGTTAGCTGTGTAGAGTTGCTGCCCTTTAAATGTGGCTTTGTATCTCAGATTCACCTGATAAGCATGCTTGTAGGTTTCAGCATAGTGGTCATCTGAAGTGCTGCAGTGTGTTAGTGCATAGTTGTGTCTCTTACAAGTGCCAATAATCTAAGATTGTGCATTCCTATCCAAGATTAGGAGTTTGTCAGCATGATATCCATGCTCGTATGTCTCACCAAAGTGGTGAACAACTAAAACGTGCAACACCTGGGATCCTCTGTCAGAGAATCACTAGCACTCTCTCTTACATTACCAGTAATGAGAATTGACAGAAAGTCAACCTTGAATAAGTAGGACCTTTTGTTTATTTTGTCTATACAGTATTTTGTCTATAACAGTACCTCCTTTCTGTGAAATAATTTTCAATGTTCTTGAAAAAGTTAATTTAAGTATTTTCTTATGAGGACAAAGTAAAGAGTCAGCAAGAAGTCTGTTTGAAGGAGTTGTCCTTGGGTTGAATTCCACACTAACTGCAGTGAGCTATGTCCACAGGTTTCATAGCCAAGGCTAAAGAAAAGGCAGAGAATGTTGGTCAGAAGATACAAGCTAAGGCTGAGACAGCTGGACTAGTTCCTACACAGACAGGTGGCCGTTTAACTCCCACAAGACTGAGTTCAACTCCATCAAGGCGAAGTAACACCAAGCCTGATGGCCTTATTGTCAGTGACAATCTAACCTTGGAGATAGCTCAGTTCTTCATGTCGTGTCTTCATGCATGGGGCCTGGATCCAGATCTGGACAGACTGTGTGTTAACAAACTGGGACTGCTGAAACCTCAGTGCCCCATATCGTTTGGCCTGCTGTCTCGCCAGGGCCACATGTCCCTGATGCTGCCTGGATGGCACAAGCGAGTCTGTCAGGAGGAGTTGGTGGGCATCAGCGGCGACATTGGGAAGGCAACTCTTGCTGATCAGGCCCGGACTGCAGCCATGAAGGGGATGGATAAAGGCACTGCTGATGAGTCCAGTAAAAAAACACTGCTTGCACAGAGATCTGGCAGTGTTCCGTTTGATATAGAACACCTACTGTTCAGTGATGGGGATATGGAAAGTGATCCTCGGCAAGGCTCAGCTTGTGAGGAGCAGAAGGTGGAGAGCCCACTGTCTGCCCTAAAGGAAGAGACCAGGATCTTCTCCGCCAAGGCAAGATGGAAAATCTCCAGCGGTGTGACCACTCAGCACCTTCTCAGTGTAATCTCAGTTGCCAACACACTGATGGGGATGAGTCATGCCAGCTTTATCTTTGGTAAACAGAGCAGGTCAAGGAGGTTAGTGCAAAACATTATTAATGCTGCAGGTAGCTCTTTGTTTTAAAAACTTGAAAAAATGCAAGATCAAGTTAACCAGTTGTTTTGTTTTGTTTGTAATTAAACATGAATGGTTAGATTGATGGTCACTGTAGAAGAATTGTTCTTTTGCTCAGGCATGTGATTTTATAGGCAACAAGCTGCGTTTTTTCAACAGCTTAGTGAATTGTAGTTTGTATGGGGTATTACAATGGACACCATTCATCTGTCCCATCCATACAAGATTTCATTGCTGGTGCAAAACTTTTAAAAGCAGACAATATTTCTTCTCCAAAGTTTGCACATAGATAGGCCTTGTGGTCATTTTGTTTTCTGTGATAACCTGAGATTATGAATGAGATTTCAACAACTTTAACTCCAAGTATTTATCTTTGCAGAGGATATAGATGACTGTCCTTTTGTTTTTAAAACCAAATGATTTTTTGGCTGTAGCAGGAAGGGCGCTGGTTCCTTCACCAGTCACCATGGCATCATCATGAATGAGACTGACAGTGACGGAGGTAGTGAGGATGAGGACAGTGTCAGCATCCTGCAGGCCCAGATAAAGCAGGGATGGAGTCTGCTAGCAGCGCTACACTGTGTGCTGCTGCCTGAGCTGGTTGGTCCGGCACACTATCAGTCGCCCCAGCTAGAAATGCTGGCTCGCAGATGGCAGGATCGCTGTCTGGAGGTGAGCACCTTACTGTTGGGTAGCAAGCTGGACTTGCTTTGTTAAGACTTCAGCATATTCCTTAGCTCAAAACTTTAATGGTACATTGTATTTGCAAACATGAGTCTATTCTCTTTACGAAAAGAAGTATATGTTTCTATTATTTATAGTTTTTGTTCATGGTGTATTTTGTGTTTCAAAGAAATACATCTAAATAACTGAACACCATTTTGTATGTTAAGTGTTCTTCCTATATGAATAGAAATTGTCAGCAAAAGATTCAATCTACTGGATTCATTTCAGACTGTATAAGTCAAGCTGAACACAATTTCAGCTGAATTCAATATTCTAGACATCTGTCTGATCTTACTGATGTTAAAACCACAATGAGTTATTATTATTGAATATGATTCAAAACTGTGAGGTGGAAAGGTTCAGAAAAGAAAACGATTTATCTATTGAAAGCAGCTGTAGACATAATGTAATGGATGAATTCAGAGGAAGCATTAATGTTTGGCAGAACTTTGGTGGAAGTCTTTATGACTATGTTGATGTTTTGTTTGACAGATAAGAGAAGCAGCCCAGGCTCTCCTGTTGGCGGAGCTGCGTCGGATTGGCCCGGAAGGGAGGAAAGCGATAATAGATGAATGGTCTCCATACCTGCCCACTTACGTGGACCCCCAGCACAGCCTGCTGAGTGACCCCCAACGTGGGGAGGACGACGAGGAAGATGAGGATGATGAACAGATGCTGGCAGGTGAGCGAGCATAGTCATCCGCCAAGTGGAAGTTATCAACATGCTGGGGTTTTCCCCCCCATCTATCACTGAATTCTCATTCTCTTAGACTTATTGAATACATGACAGTAAACAAGGATTACAAACTCGTTATTGTTATCGGGTCCTGCTTATGTTTAAATAGATTAAGTGGTTGTCCATAAGGAAATTTCCTTTGGGAATGTTGTGTTTCATATAATTTTCAACCAGGTTCTATTGCTATGTTGTTGCGATATTGCTGATGTTATGTAAATTTTAACTCACTCACTCCTTGTTAGAACAAAATAAACTTGTCATACTGTAGTCACAGAAGTGGTTGCATCAACAATCTTTAGTCACAGTGGTAGCTTCTTTTCTGGACATAATGCAGTCTCCTGGCATACAGGTTAATAATCATTCAAAACGGCAGTATTCAGTAGCAAGTATATTTGCCCCACTATGCATTAACCCATGATTTATCTTTATGGAAATAGAAATAACTAATTTTATACCTTATGTTGAAGTTGAGAAAAGTTCAAATTTAGAAAATGATGTTATGACAAATATATGAATATGCTTTTCTTACAGGTGATTCTCCTGCCCACAAAGTGTCTGTGTCATTTGAAAGTCGGCGAAAACAGGCGACTGCTATTGTCATGTTAGGTGTGATTGGAGCAGAGTTTGGGCATGAGATAGAACCCAATCGACGGAAGGTGGAAGAGATAAAAAAGGGCAAGAGGAATGTCCAAGAAGGATTCAGTCTCACAAACTACAACCTCTCCAGACACACTAGTGAGTATAGCGTTATCGAAGTGCGAGGTCAGGTGTCTGGCACAGAATTTTCTTGTTTAAAGATAATTTGTGTTGGTGAATTGAATAGCTCAATTAATAGTAATCCTTGTGTTGGTAAGGGTCTTCTCATTTATCCAACACCTATTTGTTCAGGGTTTTAGTTCAATGAGGTGGAATAATCTCTCCAGACAATAGATGACACTGAATTTTTTTATATCCCTGTCATAGAAAGTCTGCAGCAGATTGTTACCAGTGAAAATAAGACTTCTTACCCTACTTTCTATGTTCACGTTGCAGGCAAGGCTCTAACGTTCCTGCTGCTGACCCCTCCCAGTCCCCCTACCTTCCAACTTCCCCCATCCCATCCGTGCGGCTATTGATCTGTTGGGTAGGGGCTTCACTGTATGGGAGCCATACCTGGACGTGTCCTCTGTGCTGCTTGGGCTGCTGGAACTGTGTGTGGATGCAGACAGGCTGCTGCCCAGGTGAGTCTAGTATCATCACCTGCTATCACTCGTATCAACACGTTTATAGCCAATCCGTTACAAGTGAATGCTAATTAAACATGCATTACGAACTGCCAAAAACAGTACAGTCGACAACATTTTAGTGGATTTTTGTGATAAGTTTCGGCAATTGAACATTTTTTACAAAACTGGGACGTCATCCCTCTTATCACATAATTCTTTGTCATTTTGAGATCATTGTCTGCTTAGATCTGACATTACCTGTTGAGATCTGGGTTCGAAGTGGTCTTCAGCAACCCATGTTTGTAGTAAAAGATGACTAATGGGATCGGGTGGTCACACTTGCTGACATGGTTGACACATCGTATCCCAGTTGTGTAGATCTATGCTCATGATGTCAGTCACTGGATTGTCTGGTCCAGACTTGATTATTTACAGACTGCCATCATGTAGCTGGAAAATTGCTGAGTGCTGCATTAAAAACCAAACATGAAAAATTCTATCAAAATTATTTCTCTATTGACCAAATAGAATGTTAGTCAATGACAAGAATTGTTAATTCAGTGCAGGATGTATGAGTTATTAATAGATATGTTCAGTACCACTCGTGCTTTTTAAAATTTTTGCTCATGTTTTTATGTTATCTGGCTTAAATTAAGAAAATGCTAAATTCAACAATATTTATTCCCCCTAATCACATTGACTGACAGCATCTGAAGTTCCCATTTCAAGTTGCTGGTATATTTTGCTGTTTAATAACATTAATAAACTGAAACTTTGGTGTATCCAGCATTTGTCTAGAAGTGTAAGTATACAATTTCCTTCAGGCTTTTTGTTGCAAATAACAAATTGATTCTGGGGTAGATATTTTCAGCATACTTATTCAAGGAAGCTAGAATGGGGATCTTGATCATCCAAATATTATCACAGTTGTATCAGAGGGTAGATATTTTCATTTACATAAAATATTTAAAGGAAGCTAGCTGTGGGGTAGCCACAGGGGATCTTCAAAGATATATACAAAGTACTAAATAACACTGTCACACAGTGTCAGATATACTATATAGTAATATCAATCTAATATTTAAAACATATGTCATGGGGGGGTAGCCTAGTGGGTAAAGCGTTCGCTCGTCACGCCAAAGATCCGGGTTCGATTCCCCACATGGGTACGATGTGTTAAGCCCATTTCTGGTGTCCCCCGCCGTGATATTGCTGGAATATTGCTAAAAGCGGCGTAAAACCAAACTCACTCACTCACTAAAACATAGAATCAGAACCCTATTAATTTTGAATTGCTTGCATATAGGATGCTTGAAAAACTCAATGTAGCCTTTTCATTTAGTATATCAAAATATATTTGCTCATAGTTTTTTACTGAACGAATGTGGGCAGTGGGGGTACCCTAGTGGTTAAAGCATTGGCTGGTAGCGCCCAAAGACCGGGTTTTATTCCCCACAAGAGCACAATGTGTGAAGCCCATTTCCGTGTCCCCGCCGCGTGATATTGCTGCATAAAGTATGAATAAACAATGAGATAAACGTACTGTGTTGGGATTACACTTTCTTAGTAAAGACAGATTCTAGAGGTTGAGTCCCATGTTCAAACCCGCAGGCAGAATAATCACCGCACAAATAGTCAGCCTTCTAAATTTCATTTGGAACAGAATTGATAGTCTCGAACGCGTAGCGTGAGGTTTCAAATGATTAATTTAGAGACTATCAATTCTGCCTAACATTCATCTAATTTTCCAACACAATACGTTTATCTCCATTCTACCATAACCGATTTAAAATCGAACTCCTTCCTTCCACGGAAGACACTGCGAAATCCGGCATGGTGCGAGAGGCGAATTGAACTCGTCTGTGAAGGGAGTGGAAGGTGCCGTTCGTATTTTTTAAACATTGCAACATATATAATATTCTGTCCAAAGAAAACTAACTACTGTTTATTCAATGCAATAATGTAATACCTAAGAGCTTGGTTTATATAATCCCAACTCCACACGACCGAAACCAGCCTATTGTTTTGCGTGCCGTGTTACTCTAACCCCCTGGCCACACTATAATGGAATCGTCTGACCTACTTATTTTTCTTGGAAGTGCAGTCTGTAGTTGTTGACAGTTACGCAACAGTTTGAAATGGCGGACAGCCAGTGTTTACATTTTGAGTGACAGTGGAAAATACTTGACTGACTGTCGAATCTGAACCCTGCAGAATCGAAGAATAGATCCTTTTCTGATCGACCTACGACCTGTAACTATTCAAAGATTTGTATGACCAGCGAGTGTGGATCATGATTTCACTTACATAGGCTGTAGGTGCCTCCACCCCGGCATGCGACGAAAAGAGTGACAGTGCTGCTTTGTGTACATGCGACTAACTTGGGATTCCTTGGAACATTGTTTTCATCATTTGGGACTGGATTGTGGCCAAACTTTTTTCAAAGTGTACGAACATAGATCACCAGCAGTGACAGCCTTGTGGGGAAGCTGGCAGAGAGCAGAATTCTGGTGGTTCAATTTTTGACATGTATTTTTTGAACGATGCAACGGGACATGATGGAGTGTGAGTGGCATAAATTTTGTGTTTCGCCTGACCGTTATCTTGCGAATTTCCCATTCTTATGATTCTAAACGGAAACAAATATACCATTTACCAGGTAGGTAAATGTTTAGTAAGGATTTGCTGCACATTTTGTATAGATAGGGATGAAATTTACAAGGCTTTCTGATTTACATGTTAGATATTGTTTGTTTATGTTTGGGGCTGTGTATTGTAATTGAGTTTGAATATTTTTATTATAGAAGGTTATATGATAGTGAGGTTCCCTAATAATTGTGGAGGAAAAATCATATAATAATTTATATGCATTTCCATACGCCTGTTGTCTTGATATTAGCCATGTTGGTGGTCCTGATCAGTGTTCTGTTGTGTTGAAATATTTTAGCCAAAATTGATTGGTGATTGACCAATCAAAAAGCATTTGATGCCATGGTAGAATGTGTATTCATAGCTATCAGCAGTGGGACTGAAAGTATATAAGCAAATCTAGTTACGGTACATTTACTTGAATACAGTCATTTGATCTATATTTACCTCATAAGTGAACACATAATGTGAAAGAACCTAAGAAATCATTATGTTTAAAACCCTTGATTTGAACAATCTACATGTAAAATGGGCATTAATCGATGGGCATTAACAGGTCCAAAGTCATTCTTGGAATGGGTGGAAGGAAAGATAATGACTCCCCTGTACAATGAAAATGTCTGTCCCAATCATCTGTAAGTTACATCAGCTCAAATGTCAATGTGGTGTTGTGTCAAGTGCAAGTTTAAACAAATCAATGAATACAATGCTCGGGTTAGCTTGTTCACAGATCCCTATTCAGTTTTAGTTGAATAAAAATATGTTTAAACCAAACATGAGCATGGACTAGGGAGTGGTGTTCATGTAAGCTTATAGCTTGTTCACCGATCCCTATTCAGTGTTAGTTGTATAAAAATATGTTTAAACCAAACATGAGCATGGACTAACCCAACATTCCTTACCGTTGTAATAGGCTTCTCTGCCCAGTGACAGTTGAAGTTGGCTAAAATAGGGTTTAGGACCTAGTGTTGTGTACTTTTTTATGTGGTGATGGTAAAGTAGCCAACTTCAAATAGGCTCTATGAATCAGGAGTCATTGCTGGTAAAAACATAACAAATAGAAAAGAGAAACTCAATAATATATTTACAAAAACCTAAACCTATCCTAACCTAACAACCTAACCTAATCTATACCTAACAATCTAACCTAACCCCAACGAGACATGGCACTGATATCAGAGCCTATGTCCAAAACAAATAAATATCTTAATTTCCTATGTAACCAAAAAACCTTTATACTTGGTCTGGATAACCAGGACTCCAGCAACTGAAATAAATGTCCTCACCTCTGGTGAACCAGTGGACTAAAGACAAGGAGTGCTGTGAAGCTACTCCCTTTATAGGGCTAGAGGCAGGCAGTGCATGTGCTGCACATGCCAGGCACAACCTGCCAGGTGTGTTGTGGCTATGCATACCAGCATAGCCGAGAACACACTAATAACCCATGTTATATTAACCCAACCCCAAATAGAACTCAAACTTTACCTGAAATATCCTAAACTACCACACCGTATGAATAGACTAATCTAAAAAAGCTTAGAAGGGATTATTCAAGGACCAACTATCCTAACGACTTAAAACACTAGAGCAATAACAGAACCAGAATTAGATCAAAATATTTACTACAAAATTGGCAGAATAGGTGTCTTCAAACATAAATACACAAATCACACATAAACTGACCTGTTATGAATGACAATTATGCCCAGAGATGTAGACCAGACAGACTTGTGAATGTAAGCTGACCAGTCCCAAACAGCACCCTGCTTCTGAATAGAAGAGGACTTGGCCAATACAATAGAGGACCCAGAGAAACAATAGGAAGCAAGCACAATGGTGACTTGCTATTGTAGAAGTGATGCAGGTTAGATTGAGTGGTTGAGCAATTACTGTGACTTGGGGATAAAGACAGAAGCTGAAATTGAAAGACACTTGATATATACACATTATTACATTCTACTTCAAATGCTCAAGCAATTACCTGTAACCCAGAACATGAGTTGTGTGGCAACACTGGTTGTCTGGCAGTTAATACACAGGCCATTGTGATATGACAGCAATATTGAGGCACAAGATTCACATGCAAGTAATGATTATTGAGCCTCTTTATTGAAACTACCTATGTGTTTACAGTCTCTGTGACTAAGTTTCAGTTTCAATTTCTTGTGATGTGTTTGACAAGGATTAAAATGATGCTACATTCACTGACAATAAACTGATTTGTTGGGGTGTTCAGCAGGTGATCGGAAGAAAAGATTGGAAAAAATTCATGGAAAAAAGTCATCAGAAAAATAACTATTATCATCCTGAAAATAAAACTATTATAAAACATCCTGTCCTCCAGTTATTTGTTTATAACAATACTTATTTTGTAAAATTTTATTTCAAAAACTAATAAAACAATCCTGTTCTCCTGTTATTTGCTACAATTTAAAAACTTATTTAAAACTAATTCAACAACTGTTATAAAAATGTCCTTTCCTCCATTTACTTTGTTTATAAGTATTTATACTGTATTTTGTATATACTATTTCACTTTCATCTTCAAATAATCTTCAGTAATAAAAACAATCCTGTTCTCCAGTTATTTGTAAAGACTATTTCACTTTCAAGTTAATTATTCCTTTCAGTGAGATGCTGTAAGCAATTGGATCTTATCCATACAGGAGAAATGAACATATTATACTATGCTAGAGCGGCTGGCCAAAAGACTGTGACTCTGTTGTCATCTGTTCATTTAATGATGGCATGTATTATGCTTGCTTGAATAAATACATTAATTCTATAAGTTAGGTTCAAATGTGGTTCAGACAAATTTATGTAGTGCTTTTGATGATAATATTGAATATTGTTATGACTTGTTGAAAAATACATTATTCATACTAACTTTTTTAAGTTTATGGCTTTGTTCCCTATGAGTTTTTTTTTTCTACCCAAATCTATGACTTTTTTCCATGACTTTTTTTGCTATGACTTTTTTTCCTACAACCGTTCAGCATTGCTATTGGTCTGCTTGTATACTGCTAGTGAAAATCTGTAAAGACTAGTAGCTTTCTCACTAATTGTAGTAATATGTGAACAATTTGTCCAGAATGATTTGTAAACTAGATTTGTGAACACCGCATCTTTCCATGATGACGGACAACACAAATTCTGTTTGTGAGTAAAGAGTGTAAATTACTTTTAACTTGTAAAAGTTGAGTGGAGTTTGTAGTACAGTGATCTTGACAGAATATTTTCTTTAAAAATAGACTGAATATTTTATTAGTTTCTGCTTTCATGGACGCAGAACCAGAATTTTTAATTTTATTTTGTTTGTTTGATGACTTTATTATTTAGGATGTGATATGATTTCTGCTGCCTCTTTTTGCAGCATGACCTATGGGCTCCCTCTAACTCCAGCAGCAGATGCCTGCAGATCTGCCCGCCATGCTCTATCACTGATAGCAACAGCCCGCCCCCCAGCCCTCATTATCACCATGGCGAAAAGAGGTGGCACGATACAACGCCCTGGCACAGAACACCCAGTCTCAACATGCGCAGATCCTCAACTCAGTGCTGGTCCGAGCTAAACAGGAGATCCTTCATGTTATTGAGCTGCTGGTTGAAAAAATGCCGAATGATGTGGCTGATCTCATTTGTGAAGTATGTATAGGACTTCCATTTAATTGAAACTCAGACTTTTCAGATGTTTTTCTCTCTCCCACTCTGGATATAAATGATCAGTCTCAATGGTATTGAAGTTCTGATTGGATATTGGAAACAAATGTTTGTTGAAACAATGAAATTTAAAGATTATGATTGACAGCATTTCTACTTTCTTTTATATTATTATTTTGGTATATTTATTTATTTTAACTTGTCATCAATGCTTTGCTATCAGGCCCTGGACTTTTGGGAAGTATCAGTAGATTGTTTAAGATTATGAAGGTGTTTGTGGAGGTATCCTTTACAGTGGCGTGATGATTCATCGATATGCATCATTGCATCGATCCATGGGCTGCTGATACAGTGGATTGATACAAAGTTTTACATGGTCATATATCCCTATACGATACTTCAAATGGGCCACGATACATCAATGTTTAACTTTGACTATTGCCGAATTGCATTATTCTGTCAAGAAAAAATATTTACTTTTGTTTGATGATTAAAATATATGCTTACTTATTTTCCCTTTATAAGTAAACATTTTCTTGGAAATCCTTGCGTCAAGAACTGTGTCAGGCATAGCGCTCGCAATGTTATTAACATTCACAAAGTCCGTGTATAAACTTAATTATCTCGTTTCCAAATAAGCATTGAGAAACGCTGACGGAATTTGACGAAGTACTTTAAAATGGTTTTGTTTTGACCTTATGGTGTTTTATAGTTGGTGTTAGAATTAAAGATTTTAGTATCGTGATACGTATCGTATCGCCATTCTTATATCAGGATTTGTATTGTATCGCAGCTTCAGTGCACAATACTTTGACAATATATCATTGTAACTAAGATTTTAGTATCATGATGTATTGTATCGCAGATTGTATGCCAATACCAGCACTAATCCTTTATAAACCTCCAGTGACGTAACTCTATTGTCTCACCAGGTTCTCCTTTTACCGAGTAAACCTCTACAGGCAGTTTCGCTTGCATTCTCCTTGAAATCCCATGGATTTTCTATAGCACTGAATACGATCGTAAAACATCACATTATTGAAAACTTCTAATATACAGTGCCGATACCTGGTTTCGAACCTGCAACCCTCAATTACTAGCTTGGCGGTTTTATCCACTAGGCTACAAAGGATTGCTGTGGAGATTGAGATTGGTTGTCAGTATAAACCATGTGTTCCTCACAAGAAGGGGAAGTGTGGGCAGCTCATTTGCAGGACACAGGTAGCGCATGCAGAACACATGCATTGTACGTGCAAAGCAAGGTGTCAGCTGCCAGTTGCATCCCAGTTCATTTCAACAGTAAATACCAAATATTAAAATTATATCTAAAGTATATCTTTGGTCGGTTCATAAGTTGGATCAAAACCTCAGAGTCGGATTTGATCCTTTACGTACAAACTACAATGCTGTGTTTTCCAGGTGATGGATGTGACCATGCATTGTCTGGAAATAAGCCAGCTCAAGGCCAAGGGCTTGCAGGAACTCTTCCCAGCAATATGCAGGTAGGTGGGGCAAGGAGGTACACAGTTTTACTTGTGGTTGGGAGGAACAAGAAGGGAGGGTTAGGTAGGATGGGGCATGTAGGGAGGGGCAGACAGGGAGGGTCAGGTAGGATGGGGCATGCAGAGAGGGTCAGGTAGGATGGGCATGCAGAGAGGGGCAGGTAGGATGGGGCATGTAGGGAGGGTCAGGTAGGATGGGGCATGCAGAGAGGGTCAGGTAGGATGGGGCATGTAGGGAGGGGCAGGTAGGATGGGGCATGCAGAGAGGGTCAGGTAGGATGGGGCATGTAGGGAGGGGCAGGTAGGATGGGGCATGCAGAGAGGGTCAGGTAGGATGGGCATGCTGAGAGGGTCAGGTAGCATGGGGCATGCAGACAGGGTCAGGTAGGATGGGCATGCAGAGAGGGTCAGGTAGGATGGGCATGCAGAGAGGGTCAGGTAGGATGAGGCAGGGAAGGGCATGTAGGGAGGGTCAGGTAGGATGTGGGAAGGGCAGGAAGGATGGGGCATGCAGAGAGGGTCAGGTAGGATGGGCATGCAGAGAGGGTCAGGTAGGATGTAGGGAGGGTCAGGTATTACGTGGCATGTAGGGAAGGGCAGGAAGGATGGGGCATGCAGACAGGGTCAGGTAGGATGGGCATGCAGAGAGGGTCAGGTAGGATGGGGCAGGCAGGGAAGGGCAGGTAGGATGTAGGGAGGGTCAGGTATTACTTGGCATGTAGGGAAGGGCAGGTAGGATGGGGCATGTAGGGAGGGGCATGTAGGGAGGGGGCATGTAGGTAGGATGGGGCATGTAGGGAGGGTCAGGTAGGATGGGGCAGGCAGGGAGGGGCAGGTAGGATGGGGCATGTAGGGAGGATCAGGTAGGATGGGGCATGTAGGGAGGGTCAGGTAGGATGGGGCAGGCAGGGAGGGGCAGGTGGGATGGGCATGAAGGAAGGATCAGATAAGATGGGCATTTAGGGAGGGTAAGATAAGATGGGCATGTAGGAAGGGTCAGATAAGATGGCTTGATATTTGTTGGAGTCCTTCAAGTATGCTGCTATATTATTTGAATTCAGGGACCCCAGATATATTAAAATAAATAGTCATCAAGACTATGACAATGGCTCTCTGACTTTACTGATTTGTTTCTAGCACTGGTTGTGTTGTCAAATATAACTCTGCATGGCCTGTCATTTACAGGCAGCAGTTATATAGCAAATACTGCTGTGTTAAACAGCATTCTTATTCAAGTAATATTTTGATATATAGGTTCAGTATGGTATCCTACTGTGGACAAACCAAGAGGATCTGGGTGGGGGCCAAGAACGGTGGCCTGGCTCTGTACGAGATGAAGCAACATGGCAAGTGTCAGGTAAGGAGGGTTGGCAAGGATGCAAGTGACCATAATTTGCATGTATGAAGCTTATTGTTATTGATTGATACATCCCCAGAAAAAGAGCGACAATACTGCCCATTTTGTCTTAGGTTCGATGTAGTACCATGTTCAAACTGAGACAGTCTTTAGTGTAATTAAGTTGCCCATTAATTGATAGGTATACACATTTGATTTTAATAAACAAAGTGGTTTTGAAGACTTTTATGAAAGTGTTTAGGGCTGTCAAATGGCCAAATATTGCAGTGTTGAAAGAATGAGTGATACAAGAATGTAATGAACTTGTATCAGCGTTTAAAATTCCCGCCTGCCCGACGGTCCGGAACGGTCTGTTTTCATCTCGGACGGTCAAATGTCAAAAGTAACCTGTCCGGTGGTCTGGTAGATGTTTTTACCACTAACAGTAAATATTTCATAATATCAGACAGGTTCTCTTGTCGTCAGTTTGAGGTGTTTAAGGTATTATGATAATTATGTTAAACTATTTACGATTGGACAGTTCATTTTACAATAACCAATCACAACACATGTGCACAGTTTACCTAAACTCGGTGCATTGCCTGTAAGTGCTGTGTTGTTCATTGCGATGCCTACAAACAGTAAAGTATTCAGAAACCTGATTTTTTTATAATTTTTTTTCATTGTTGAAAACCAGACAGGCAAGTTTGTATCCGGACTGGTAATTTTTAAAAGTTAACAGTCCGGCTATCTGGCTTGGAATTTTGGGAGTTTTATACACTGCTTCTATTCAATTCTAGTTTTATATACTTTGTGAATATAACTACTTTACACTGTCTGGATGGTTGTATGCAGTACTGACACCATGCTTCTGAGTGATTGTGACAAACTATGTGTTGTTTTACTCTGTCGTTTCCAGCTCATCCCAGGCCACCACGGCCCAATCATTGCCGTGTCTGTCAACCCAGACGGCAAGTTTCTGGCTACTTTCTCCCATGTTGACAGCAAACTCAAATTCTGGCAGGTAGGAAATGTCGCCCTTACCCAAACTTGGATATTCTCAACGAACAAATCTGTTAAATTGATTGAAGAATTTGTAAAATTACTACACCGTGAATTAACCCTTCTATCAACAACAAGTGTGAAGATTCCCAAATTTGCCTTGACAATAATGCTTGGTTTGTAAAGACCTTACCTGTGCTTGGTTATAATCTGTGATATGCATCATTTGAGGCTTTCCTCTCCCATTATGCTGCTGTGTTGCAGACTGCCTCGTCCTCTCTGTTTGGTATCGGATCTCAACAGACTAAGTGTATTCGGCAGTACACCACCGCACCTTGCCAAGTCTCCCCGGTCACCAACATCCTCAAACTGGTCAGACTTGTGTGGATCGACAACAGAACCGTTGTCTTGCTCACTGTTGATGGAACAGAGACAAAGTATTCTGTATAGGATGGTGAATTTGTTACGACGCATCTGGCATTGTGTGCTTCAAGAATGAAATGCTGTGGAATGAATCAAAATGGTGATGGTTGAAAAATGTATGAATGACATCAAGCAATATTTCATAGTGTCAGTGACTGTAGTTTAACATATTCTGATGTAGCTGAGACTTCTCGGGGTGTAACAATTGATCATCTGTCAAGAGCGTGATTGTTTGTTGCAATGCGTAGGTGACAAGCTTAGATGTCAACATCAGGAGCAATCCTACATTGTCAATAGAAGTAATAACTTGTTAAAATCCATTTGCCATTCTCTGCATGAGGAGACATTGATATAGGTTCTTAAAGCAACTGTCAGACAATAATGAGATGTACCTCCTTGTGGTATCCAGTATGTAGGACAAGGAGAGAATGTAAGACTTTGTCATACAAATAATGCAAGGAAATCTACTTTATGGATTTTATATGTACATATACTGCAGTGTCATGGCTGAAATTTCAAATCTGCTTGTCCATGATTGGTAATATTGAGGATGGACTGATGACATATTTGTGTTTATGCCATATGAACCTTTAGGTGGCAGCAAATCTGTAACTGATTGGTTGTTTTTTACAACCTGAGTGTGAATATATATTAATTTCTAACCCCAGTGATAGAATTGGAGTAGTTGAGATGTACTCAATAATCACCCTAGAGACTCCCTATGTATTGTCCTTCAGCTTGAGTCCATGTAGTGAAGCCTTCAGTGCTGTCCTGGCTGGTACACAGGTAATCTGCCTCACACTTGGTTTCGCTGTGGCCAAGAGATTGTAGCCTGCTTCTTGATTTAGCGCTGATGAAAGGTCTACAAAGCGAGAAGTGTGATCCAAGTCACTAAAGTGTGATCACAGTTGTACAGTTCCTGGATTAAACAAGTCAGGATGCTAGGAAGGCTGTAATCGTACACATCAGTCAGATACCATATGCTTTGATGGGGCATTGTTTGCTAGGAGTGGTGTCCCTGGGGGAACCCAGATATCAATAGGGCCCATGAGATTCACAAGTATTCAAGTACCAGTTCTGGTTCCAAATTGCACGACCTCAAAATATGACTTCACTAGACTGGACCAAGTATTCTACCACGCAGCATCAAACTCATAAAGAGAAGTATTTGTATCAAGTGTATCATTACAGCCCTTAGCAGTGGATTCCTTCATTTCTGGTTGTACCATATGAAACATAGATAACACTGTGAACCATTGTGGTGTAGAACATGGAGTATAACCTACGCAATGGAATAGAGTTTGGGACCAACCACTTGATGTTCGGGGACGGTGCTTGGATAATAAAAAAAAGTAATAGTTTGTTTAAGAATATATTTGTTTGGTATCAGGTTTTGCAAAAAAATAAATTCCTCCTGGATGTTATGATAAAAAAATGTGTTGTTGGTTCAAACAAAACTGTTTGGCTTATTGTTTATAGATAAAAGTTCTCTGTCTTGAAACATTGGCTGAAACAATGTAGTAACATTTTCGGATGCTCCCTCTACCCTTAAAAATATAACGGTTGGTTCTTGAAAACATTATTATCTTCACTGAGATATTTAATATTTATGGTATAAGGTTGATTTATTACAAGCCAGAGTTGCAAAAGAATATAATCATAATATTCCAGTCATTTTCCAATCTTCAGAATTCATAACAAGTCAAAACACATCATCACAAGACACATCAGTAATACTGGTAAACATACTTATCGAAATATCTGCTTTCCATTCAGATGAATGGATGCAAATATCAACAGGAAAGTTAGACTTGGTTTCTGTAAGTGTGTTTAACAGTAATTCAGCATATATTAGTAACAGTCCATTGTTAGAAACTGTTTTTGTTCACGACACGGTAGGTGATTGTTAATGGAACAATTCTATTCATGTTTGAGTCATTCCATTAGTGTACATAGGGACGAATCTAGTCATGTACATAGCACTACACAAACCAGGAGACTTGAGAGAGGAAGACACCAGCTGCACTGGCTGTACATCATGGGTGAACAGGTGCTTGGACAATCTGAGTAATGCTATTTGTGATTCATGTGAACCCCTGGGAATTTAGATTTGGGAGGGGTAGGGGACCAGGTATAATAATAGGACTCCCAAGTACATGTACTACTGAAAGCATTGAAGCATTTGTGAAGCCATAAGTGGAACTTTGTTAGTTTGAATGCAAACTTGTGTAAAGGAAATCCTACATGGACAGTAGAAGTTAACATGTGTGCTACTTGACTTAATGTTGTCTTTGCATCGCATGAGACTTGCAGTGCAAATTATTTGCTCTCAATTATCTCGGAATATAATTTTCTGCATCTACTTAAAGTTATATTTTATATGATTAATGGCATGCAATGACATACTTCTTCTGCCAGATGGATTATAGAATACATTTTGTTCATAAAATCAAATTGCATTAGGAGAAATATTAAAAATATCTAGAATTACATTCCAGCACTTATGATTCTTTGAACCAGATTTTGTGTTCTTCAACGTCACAAAGACTCATAATTTTGGGCACAAATTTGATGAGAATTCTGACAGTGATAAGACAGGTCTCTTCAAGTCTGCAGTAATGTTGGGGCAAGGAGTGACTCTCCATGATGTACAGTGTGAGTGTAGCGTACTGTGTGAAATGGGTATAACATCTAGCTAACTGTGTATATACCATCATCATTTGGGTGGATGCTTCTCTGCCTCAAACTGACCTATTGTGAAAAGATCCAATTTTGATCAAATGTATATAAGAATCAATAGCTGAATGAACAAACGTCACCTTTTGTGTCCATTCTGCAAAGTACTGTAGAATTCAGGATTAGGTCTGCTGGAATGGTGTTTACAGCATAACCCAAACTGTTGTTATCATACATTTACGTATGATTAAAGTCAGTATATGAAGCCTAGAATTACAGAATATAAGTCAAATTATCCAGAAGTGAATCTGAGTAGCGCCTTGTCTTCCTTAAACCACACCACATCTTCCTTAAACCACACCACAACTTCAATGAATTGCCATCTTGTGTGATGTCATAGCACTGTTTGATGGAACCATCTTGTTCAATTTCCTGAAAACTCTTCCTACTATATTTTCTCATAGGTGAACATTTTATGCTTATATTGTTAAAAGATTTTAGATTATAATGTCATCCAAAACTTTCAAACACTTTGAATATTTGCTCAATATACCGGTACCTCTATCATAAAGTGTTTGGCACAATGGGTAACAGTATTATACAACAGTCAGCATAAAATGCACACCAACCATTCTTTCTTTAATTAAACATTAAATAACAAAGATTTTAGAAATATCTTAGGAATAGTTAAATACTCTCAATCATACCAGCAGACATGTTTTGTTCTGAGAATCTTTGGGTATGTGTGTTTGAGGCAGGGGAGACTACTCATGTGATGGTGTTTGGGAGCAACTACTTACTACTGATACAACATGCTTATGGTGAAGCCACAAGTTCTCGCATTACTGGTATTGCTTGTATTATAAATCTTTTTTTAATTATCATGTATTTTGTGTATGTCTACACGTTGTCTTATGTGTTGTCTCTACACATTCCTTCTGTCCATCTTTAGGGGACCACTGTGAAAGGAACACTTTCCTTCATAAATGTATTCAGGAAATAAACAAAATAATTTGGTAATTGTCCTCTAAAATATGCCCATAGCTATCTTGAAGGTATCTTTTTAGGATCTAGAAATCTTATTACTATGGCATGACATAAAGAAGGGTCACTCAGCCAATGATAGTCTGTGTTGCCATGATGTAATGTCGAAGTGTGAAACTCAGTGTCTCTGCTAGAGTAAGTGTTGAGATTCATCTACATAATACAATTTGAACGAGCAGACCAACGAATCAGTGACTAATTAACTTTGAAGGACTAGCAATTTGTTGGAACCTAGTCACACTCTGATATTAAACAGCCCTGCTAAAGAAAGTGTACACCATGGTTTATTAACAGAATTTGGCTCTTATCAGTTGAGATAAAATTTTAAAAATTGTTTTCTTATAAATTTAAACTTTGTTCATCATTGTATTGTTGTGTTGTATTCTGTTCTGTTCATGGATTTATGTGTAGCTTAGCCAGATAGCTCTAGCTGTTTCAATGCCTGTGTATGTTGTGTCTTGGTACTTAATGTATGTTGGTGTGTATTGACGATTATAGCAGTACACCTGTATTGAACTCATGAGGATCTTCCTCCCCTTGGCTGTGAAATGTGTAAATATGTATATATGATATATGATGTATGATGAGAGTGCTGTATATTAACATGACTGGGAATGTGTAGTTGGGGAATTATTTAATTTCACTGTCTTGTCAAACAGATACAACTGTTTCAGAGGTGTTTTTTTTTCATTTTTTTTCTCTTAAAAAAGTCATGATGTGTATAGCTTCAGATTAACAATTCTTTTGTATGTTGCGGTTGGAAAGATCATGGATTTGTTTATGGATGTTGAAAGGGTTTTGCCACTTCTATTAATGCCCTTAGATATCAAATGCCATGATATATGTGAGTGAGTTTAATTTTACGCCACTTTAGCAATATTCCAGCAATATCACGGCGGGGGACACCAGAAATGGGCTTCACACATTTTACCTATGTGGGGAATCGAACCCGGGCCTTTGGCGTGACGAGCGAACGCTTTACCCACTAGGCTACCCCCCCATGACAAATGTAGAAATATTAGATTGATATTACTCATATAATACAGTGACACTGTGTGACAGTGTTACATTGAGTACTATTGTATATACTTAACTGTTGTTTAAGGTATCAATATCAGTCACGGTATGAGTCCTCAGAATAAATCTTTAACTCTAATAACATGCAAAGGTGGAATAAATAACATGCTTTAAATAATGTTGTTGTTTTAAGTCATTAAGTGAGTCATCCCGTTCCTCATTGAAAGAAGAAAACGTAACTATGGATACATTGAACATGACTTATCTTATGCGTTATTTTTGTTAGAGGATGCTCTTTTATTCATTAAACTTCTGTGGCTGACACTAGACTTTAAGTGACGAAACCTAGAACTAGTGTATAATTCCCATAGAGTTGGTTATTGAGACAAACTTCAAGGATCGTCAAATATCTGAATCTGATTGTAGATATAGATCTTCAACATTAACATGTGGCATCAGACCACAATTATTAGGAGTAGTACACAATTACTCCTGCTGGAATAACCACATCACCAGTAACAATACAAAATGCAAGTCTGACTGCTAGTTAAAACAAAATGGTTGTTAGCTACGCTCTCCTGTTACTCAGACCACTAGGAGAGTTTTGTGCAAAAACAGCTCAAATTAAGTATTAATGCAGATATAGTATTGTGATTCAAGTATTGCAATATGTATCAATGCACGAGGTCAGTGTATTGACTGATGACTTACAACATCTTGAGGGTTAGAATGTGAGGGAGTCTGAGATTTTCTATTACTGTAATTTAATCTATGGACCCTAAATATTTTCTTAACAGTTTTCATAAGGACTACACGGCTTCTTGAATCTGAGCTTTGTATTTATCGATATTATCACTCTAGTGTATATTTGAGTCACATTTATCAACTCTCATTAATACGATATTTCAACTCCGAGGTGTTGCATTTGATATAAAGAGACACAAGGGGGAGATTCTATATTGAGTATTTATCACCCAAAATCATACCACCAACCTGAGTCTGTAGACAGTATATAACCAGTGTTTTGAGTTTGGTTAAAACGGTATGCTGTTAGCATGGTACTGTAAGTATTGCGGCCTTCTGTTGAGTCCATTTTGTTCGGTATGTGAGAACTTACTTCCAGGGAAAGAGCAGCCGTCTAGCAAAGAAATGCATAAATTTTGACATGATTCCATTTCTATACATTTTAGAAAAGGTTTAAAAACGTTAATAAAATGAAGACCAAAAAAAATGAAAATACCAATTTTTTTTATAGCAATACGGTATACCGAACTGAAGGCAAAATACCATGATTCTTCTAATACCGTGGTACACCGTTTCACCCCTAGTCTGGAGTGTAATCTGCTTCAGTGGCAGAGAATCAGAGAAATTTAGTTACATCATGGTAGCTGATGTGATGGTTGCTGGCAAGTATTGTGATGCAATTTTATTGCTGTCACCCACTCCTATGGAAGCCAGTTTGGGATGATAAGTGTATGTTGTGTATAACATTAATATTTAATCATGTTTATTTCACAATCAGATAATATGACCAGATTCATGGTTTAATGTATTTTGTATGTCTTGCATGTTGTGTATTTGTTGTGACTCTGTAACCCTGCTTGTATACCTGTAATGGGTGAGTGGTACGAGGCGGAGTGTGGTATGATTGTCACTTGAGAAGGCTGAACACTGCCAAGTCCACAAGGTAGAATAAACATTAACCTGAACTGAAGCCAGATCCATGTTCTGTTTTGGACGATTTAGGAGAGGCTGTTTCAGTTTGTAAATTGTTGTTTTGTTTTGTTTTCGAAAAATTATTTATCTTTTTGCCTCAGCTGTAGAAACTAAAGTTGTATTTGCTGGCTCTGCTGCATGTCCTTCAAAAGGTTGTTGAAAAAAATGTAATAAATGTCAGCTCATCTTTTTAGTGAGAAAAGGATGTATTTTGATGCAGTTGGTCAAAAGTTTGGGATAGTCATATGGGAATAAGGTGAAAAAAAGGACTTCAGAACATAATGGATGTTAATAAATTACTTTAGAACATAATGGATGTTAATAAATTACTTTAGAACATAATGGTGTTAATAAAACTTTAGAACATAATGGATGTTAATAAATTACTTTTAAAATCATGTGGCATATCCTTGGATAGCCTTTCTGCCTTTGTGTTGAAATAGGGAGCTTGAAATATTATGTACTGAAGAGTGGGCTGGTGTCTCAGAGACCAAAATATGTATTATAACGCCCTGAGCACGATGTGCTTCAGTATCAGCCAACGTACAAAAAGTTGTTAATTTCTAGAATTAAGAAAGGTTGGTATTTGTTTGCTATCAGTAGTGTTTAGATCTGGCTCTCAAGACTTTTTATTGCCAACCAACCCCATGCCAAATACTGTATACAAATATAAATCTGTAACCATGGCATGATATATATTTAGTTTCATGGACGATAGTATGTTTATTATGCCCATATTGTAACAACTTAACCTGTAAACCGGAATTTTGAAGGAATTTCACATCAACTTTTCGGTTACAGAATGATTCCTGAGGATTAAATCTTGTTACAGTTTGACTTGTTCATTGTTGATCATGCAGCCAAGTACTTGTTTGGAAAGAATATTTGTTTTTAAGCCTTCTGAGCATTCAGCTTTTTCACAAAGAACATATTTAGTATTCTGCATGTATATAAAAGAATTACTGTAGTGACAGTTTCAGCTATCAGTGTCATAGTTACAAAGTGGTTTTTTTTAAATTAACCAAAATAACTAGTGAAGGAAGCTGGAGAATACTGGACAACAGAATTAAAAACAGACACTGGTGAAGATGTAGGTGCAGCTTATGTAAGGCTGTCCTCATGAGAAGTGATATCAGCATTTTAACACCATGTAATACTTACGAAGAGCATCATAACAGTGCATTTGGGCCTTATGTATATAACAAGAAGATGTCAAGGGGAGAAATGAGTGTGTTCTATATTTTCAATGCCCTTTCATTACTAATAACTCTTACCGTCACTATTAAAACATCTGCATTGAGGTTACTCTGACCAGTGTCACTCCACACAAGGGATGTATCACACAAAGTTTCCATATTTTGCTAGTCAGTGGGGCTAGCTATGCCTGAAAGTTACTAGCCCACAAAATAATTCATTAGCCCAAAATTTGACTGTAGAAACTAAGCAAAGGATATTGTCAGCATGACACGGGTTTCATCACTAACCTGCTGATATGATGAGCATTTTTATCTGGCCATAATCTTGCATGATTTAATAGTGTACTATAACTTAACAAGTCGGAGAGAGTGATAAATTTACAAAATGACCACAGTCGGGCCAGTGACTGTGGAGACTTACTAGCCTAACTGGATTTTTACTAGCCTCAGGCTAGCCGGCCAGTGGCTATTTTGCACACTGCACTCAAGGGACGTCATCAATCAACGGCCATCTTCTGATCATGAAAGAACAAACCAGAATATTTGACACAGAAACCTTTAAGTAACTAATGTTTCAAAGGTTTCATTTTGGAACACTTTTTATGTATCCCACTGTCTTTCTTTTTTAGTAGTATATATTCATAGACTTTTGTGAACAAGAAGTTTTGGGTTTTTTAAAATTTTGCATAGATTCAGAAATTCAGATTAATGACCAGTTAGGCCAACCTTTTATGTATTACGCACTAAAAAAAGCTGAATGCTCAAGCGAAGGACATTTAAATCTCTTTTGAAAATAAAAGAATCAGTGAATTTGTTTCACTGCATCGCAACAAAGGAAGAACTGACGAGAATCTGAAAGACCGTAGATCAAATAATAGAGGTCCTCGGGGATATAATATCTTAAATGTCAGAAGTTTTGCATGAGAAGCCATCATAGGGCAGAACATTCCTGCAGCAATATGTGAGGATTTAGAGAAGACTGTGTTTGTACTCTCTGTTAGATGAACAAAACCTGCTTTGTGAGATGTGCATGGGTGCCAGTGGTGTGTGATACAGAAAATGAACCAAACGTAAATATACATAGTTATTCCCCTTGATTTAGTCATGTATGTTGGCATTCCATTGAAGTAATAAAAGTAGTAAAGACATTGTATTAAGTTTTGTGTCTTCTTCATCCAATGTTCTGCAGGTGAGTTCCATTCTTTGTGAAGATGATTTGGACCCTAATGGTGGAACCGAGAATAATTCCAAACTATTATTGAAATGCCGACAAATTTTTAGTACCCCACGGCATCTTTCAGTATCAATGGAATAACATAGCATCTTGGTCAGTGTAATGAAACGCCGTACTTCGCAATATTCCAGCTATATGGCGGTCTGTAAATAATCGTATATGGACCAGACAATCCAGTGGTCAACAGCATGAGCATTAATATGCACAAATGGGAACCGATGACGTGTGTCAACCAAGTCGCGATCCTGACCACCCAATTCTGTTAGTCGCCTCTTACGACAAGCATGACTTACTAAAGATCAATTCTAACCCGGATCTTCAGGCAGGAAACATCAAGTACAAGCTTTGTCTTCTGGTGTGTAGATTGAAAAGTACCGTAAGAACTTTCTTTAATCATTTGAAAGCAGAGTATCCAATGATTTCTGAGATGAACTGGTTATGAAAAATGTGCTGCCATTGTTACTGCTAGAAGTCTTCAAAATATTTTTCTTGTTGCCAATAACATTTTATGTTGAACAAATTCTGTGAAAATGTTATGATACATTTTTTGTTCAATGTTGATGGAAAGACGAAGACCCATAAGACAGGCTTCCAGACCCCCTGAATCAGCCTATGAAACATAATTTCTAATGTCAATAACAAATGCAGTATTTCAATAATTTATTGACTCAGATTTCAAATTTACAAACAATGTTTGAAAGGTTTCCACTGAAAAAAACTCAAAAAAGATTAAGGTAAGGTACACTGTGAAGTCAAAAGCAGAAACACAATTGATGAATGATCCAGCTGGGAAAAGAAACAAATCAACAGATCCAATAATGGCAGGGTCAATAATAAGCGCCCACTCTTTCACTGAGTGTCTGTTTCATGTTAAAGGTATCTCCCGGGATGATGAAGGTTCATCCCTCCCTATGGATTGCCACTGGAGTTATTGGGTGAGAGTTAACAGGAAGCCATTGCCTCTCTATAAATTAATGAAATGGTGATCTCAAGCTGACAAATAAAGATGCAACAAGAAATGAAATTTCGAAATCAAACTTTTGTATGCCAAACACTACGATCTTGTACATAATATAAAATGTCAGGTACACAGTTCTAGCTTTTCTATGAGTCCTGCCTAACAAACAATTTCAGAAATACATTCATCAGAGATATGACAGTTTCAATACTGTCTGGCTTCCAGTCGTTATAGTATGGGTTAATATCAACATATACATGAAATTATGCAGAAACAAGATTATAGACTTAAGCTTAAAGTGTGAGGTACCTAAGATTGAACACCTCATCAAATGGTTGTTTTCTTACCTCAATGATGCAAACTGATTTCATCAATAAACAACAAAATGCCAGATATCAAAACTGCAAATAGACACTAATTACATTTGCATTCCATAAAAACATTCAGAAAGGAATATCGTGGTTCCAATATTTGAAATTTGTCTCAAATTAGCCTTGCACATTTTCAAAGTTATCTTTTTATATTTTTCAATTTAACAATCTGCTAAACTGACACCATCACAGGAGCTTCCCATCAAGCACATGTACTTTTGCTACAGTATACATTGACAGAATCTCCCGTTACCCTGTAAGATAGAAATATCTAACTGTGGAATCAACAGGACACTCTTGTTCATCCAATATGGACAAAATCCACATAAAAAGCATGTTATGTGATAACAGTTTTATTGAATTATTTATCAAAATATGATAAGTGTTGACAGAGCTGAGTTCTAACGGCGATATGGTATATACGACAAGATTAAAACAGTGATCCTGTACACAAATTTTACACATATTTGTACATACTTCTACAGGCACGACGCCTCTCCAGACTTAGCATCCAGCATACCACTGTAGTACTTTATTTACAGATCAGTTTAGACAGCATGGCAGCATGCAAGTGTAACGGCACCACAAGCAGATCACGTGACACTTGGCAACATGTCATCTACATATTTGTACGTGAGTTTACACTAATACATTCAACAGTACAATTTTGACACGAATGTTCTAACATGGAGTATGACACATTTGTCTCGCATCAGAGAAACCACTGACATGGTATATATATTTGGGTTTTGAAAATATGATACAAACAAATCGGTGCCAGCTGACATCAGGATTTTGACAGATAAGGTAGTTGTTTGTTTCTTGCACTATATGGACAAAAACAATACCCTAAAAGTGTGCCAGGGAGGTAAGACTGTGAAACTTTAAGTGATCACTCTTAAACAGTTCAAAACAGGGTGGGTGGAAGTGGCTAAAATTCACAAATGTAACAATAACCATAAAGTATGCATAGCAACTGTATTAAAATTGCAATATCAAGTGATAAGACTTTGATGTCCTTAATCAATATTTGCAAAACAAAACACTAGGTGAAGTCACCTGGCAACTCAAACAATACACCAGCCGCCATTATTTTTGTACTTAAACAGTGTATGAAATAAGCCCTAAATCCAGCCAGACATCAGGGCTTATAACTTCAAACTGTTACCAGCCCAAAAAGATTTAACCAATTTACTCAGAAGATATGGAACATACTCAAATGTTGGAACATCTATCGGGCTGGCAAGCTGTAAATTTAGACCATCAGAAATATAGCCCGTCTCGGGCGGTCAGACGGGCCTTATTTCATACACTGACTTAAACATACAGTCTTCCAAAACTATTACAAATTACACTTTTTGGAGAAATATGATCATAAATCATGGCCAACAGATAAGAAGTAGGATAGTCAAATACAACTTCATAGGCTAAATACCCCGGACTCCTTAAGTTTCTTTGTAACATCTATTTGCAACGTCACTGTAATGGCCAGCAATGGCTGGCTCTGATCAGACTAGTCAGGTATCGAATTATCACATGAAATTGTTAGTTGGAGTAAACCAATACAAAGCCACACATGGAGGCATTTGACACAAATATCAAGATGATGTCAGTATGTACACATCAGGGACACTTCGGAGTGCAGCCATGAAACATTCATAGACCCATATTTCTTTTTATGTATATTAGAGTCAAATAATCTTCACTTTTCATCATATATAACATAAATATGACATGAATATTAAAATCACTTGGTAACAGATATATATTGGCAGTCAAAAGACATTATTTTGACTGAATACTAGTATTCAGAGGGATGCCTGCTTATTTTTTCACATTAAACATTCAAGGAGAAACTATGAAAATAAAATGCATGAAAGAATGATTTGATGAATTGAAGCATACTTCATATTCATGCAGATTGATTACAACGATATAACTTCATTGGTAGCCTAACGGAGGACATGGTATACATCAACTAGTAGTTATGTCAAACGCCACTCAAAAACACATTATCACTGATCTCACGTGTCTCAAGAAAGTCATTCACAGATCATGTTTTTTATTTCGAAGTGTAGCTTGAGTCACCTGGTTTTTTTCCCATAAAGATTTTAGATGTGTTACAAATGCAATTTGGAATCCAGTTACGCTAAGATGTTTTAAGTAATTTTGATTTTGTTAATGTTACATGTGCCAGAGCCTGTTGCACAGGATCAACATATGACCACTTTTCAAGTTCTGTGAAATGATAAAAGTAACGTAACTACGATTGGACCGACAGGCAGTTCCAGCAAGCTGATTCATGTCATTCGTGACTCTTCCTCAAATTTTCCTATGTCTACAAATGCTGCAGTCAACAATTACACTGATCTTAGGCCGTGACTAGATCAATGTCACAGAGACCATTAACTATACCTACAGTGCAATGAGCACAGACTGCGAAGCAGAGTACGTCTTCAATGGATGGGATTTCTCTGAAGCATTTGTAGAGTGATGACATCAGTGATAGTGTGATTTTGTTATAGCTCCTGTAGATGAAAGGACAATGTCGCTGCATGCTAGTTCCACAGTGATAGTTTAGGAAGCCCACATCTCAAGTTCTTTCATATCATCGTCATCATCAGCCCTGGCAGCCACAGGTCTACCCCCTAAAACAGAACAAGGATGCAAATTATTCCGGGCAAACATTGCTGTTATCACTTTGTCTGGAATATCATTAAGTAATTTGCCAGACATAAATTGCAGGTGTCACTTTGTCTGGAATATTATGATGAACTACAATGAGCCAGATGGTTTACGTATGCTTAGATTTAGACATAAGACATGTTGAATTACCTTAAATCTATTTAGAATAATCATGATCATAGATAAACAAAGTATGTGGTTAATGTCTTTATAATATATCACTTTATTCATAAATACACAAAATATTTATAAAGTGCAACAAGTCGGCCTCATTGTACACAATTAAACCTTTGATATTTACTGCTATGTTTGCTATAAAGTCAAAGGTGTATATGTGTGAGATTAGTTTTATGCTGCTTTTAGCAATATTCCAGCAATATCACAGTGGTAAACACCAGACATGGGCTTCACACATTGTACCCATGATAGGAATTAAACCCTGGTCTTCATTGTGACAAGTGAAGACTTTAACCACTAGGCTGCCCTATAATATCAAAGACCAGACTGTATATCAACATACGTGAAGATGCAGCTGCAGCCTCAGGTTCTGATGTGGGGACGGAAGGCAGGTCTTGAGGAACATCAACATTGACATCAAGCAGTTGTCTGTTCAACTCTTCTTCCTCAAGCTCATTCAGTTCAGACAAAAGGTCATCCTGGAAAAAAATATGATTTTGACAAATTCTTAATCTCTTTCCAAACGCTTTACAATTATCTGCAAACAGCATCCTACAGATTTTGAACACTAGCAAAAGCATATGTAGCAGGAAAGGGTTCTGTAACCATGGTAGCCAGGGGATCCTTACTGAAGGTCCTTGAAAATAATGACCACAACTTTAAGAGGTTCTGAAAGATATACCTTGAAAATTCTTAATAATGATGTCTTACTCCAAAGTCAGCAATATTCCAGCCACATCAGGTTGACTACAGGCAGTTCAAGCCATGACACAATAACATTAGAAATGACACACACACACACACACACACACACACACACACACACACACACACGGGTAGGATTACTTTAAATGAACCACTGAACCTACATATGTTGTAACCTACCAATCCTCTTTCAGTATCATTTGTTTTCTAATGCTCTGAACTCTCCAATGTCCTCATTATCATTACTCTATATGAACCACTGAACCTACCTATGTTGTAACCTACCAATCCTCTTTCAGTATCATTTGTTTTCTAATGCTCTGAACTCTCCAATGTCCTCAATATCATTACTCTAAATGAACCACTGAACCTACATATGTTGTAACCTACCAATCCTCTTTCAGTATCATTTGTTTTCTTATGCTCTGAACTCTCCAATGTCCTCAATATCATTACTCTAAATGAACCACTGAACCTACATATGTTGTAACCTACCAATCCTCTTTCAGTATCATTTGTTTTCTAATGCTCTGAACTCTCCAATGTCCTCAATATCATTACTCTAAATGAACCACTGAACCTACCTATGTTGTAACCTACCAATCCTCTTTCAGTATCATTTGTTTTCTAATGCTCTGAACTCTCCAATGTCCTCAATATCATTACTCTAAATGAACCACTGAACCTACATATGTTGTAACCTACCAATCCTCTTTCAGTATCATTTGTTTTCTAATGCTCTGAACTCTCCAATGTCCTCAATATCATTACTCTAAATGAACCAATGAACCTACCTATGTTGTAACCTACCAATCCTCTTTCAGTATCATTTGTTTTCTAATGCTCTGAACTCTCCCATGTCCTCAATATCATTACTCTCAATGAACCACTGAACCTACATATGTTGTAACCTACCAATCCTCTTTCAGTATCATTTGTTTTCTTATGCTCTGAACTCTCCAATGTCCTCAATATCATTACTCTAAATGAACCACTGAACCTACCTATGTTGTAACCTACCAATCCTCTTTCAGTATTATTTGTTTTCTAATGCTCTGAACTCTCCAATGTCCTCAATATCATGGCAGCCTGTAAATAACTGAGTATGATCTGGAAATACCAGTGATTGATAGAATGAGCTACACCCCACTTTTTCCGGCACAGTGATGCACATCCAACAAAGATGGTGTGTCTGACCACCTGACCCACATAGACAACTCAGACAACAATCATAGGTTGCCAGAGGTAAACACAAGTAGGAATCCTTCACTAATCTAAAATTTACAAGTTAACAGTGGGCAATTAATGCAGCATGCCACGGGCCATAAAATGCATAAACCTATATTACCAAGTAAAACACATATGAAAACAGGCAATAACTGACAACTTATGAGGATGCTTGAGTGTATACTCTTTGAAATTCTCCTTGGCCAAATGTAGAAACAGCATCAAAATCAGGTAATATGATACACCCGGTCTTATCACCACACTGTATCATGTGTGTTTCTTGACCATGTTGAACACCAGTGCTTGTCAGTAAAAAAATGTCACTGTCCATTAGACCATGCAGTTTATAATCATGCAGTTGGTCTATGAGTATGAACATGTGGACAATGTTTCAACAGTGGGGTGAAATTTGTTCGTTTTGAGTAACCTGATACATTCTGTGGCTGAATCCATATACAAAAGAATACTAATTACTGGATAACACTAAAAGTTGCTGAGAGATCCTTAGAGATAGGGACTTTTGTAGCAAGCCACTGCAACATGTTAAAAATACAAATAAGGCATACAACAGCCTTAGTAACTAGCAACAGTGTCTGGGTACACTAACACACAGGATATATAGACAGACTGCAACTGTTCTCTTCGTGACCATGTTTACATATTTCTAGTTAATTATTTCCACTACTAAACACAAAGCATGATGGTTAATGATGTCGTTACCTCATCAAAATCTTCACCCAATCCAGCTGGGTTTGAAATTGCTTCTGAAATTTCATTAGCAATTTCTTGTTGTTCAGCCACATCGTCCATCAGATTGTGTACTTGATCAATATCCCTGGAAGACAACAATGTGAAATTAAGTTTTTCTCAACTCTGACAGCATTAGATTCCACCATGTGTGCCATGACCAAAGACCAAGGGGTTGAAGTTATTATACTGTGTATAATCACGATACTGTACAAGTAAGTCATATAAAACAGGCCATAGTTAACGCCTTACAAGTAAGCTTGAATGTGTGTACCCCCCAGAGTACTCTTTAAAAAAATCATAAAGTACAAATTTTAATGCCCAGTAAAAGCATGATAAGAGCAAACATAAGTGTGGATGACAAACTTACCATGCAACAACATTTACGTCTGTAAAACATATCTGAAATCAATCCTACAGTTTACATGTGCGGCACTCGCTCATGCCACACATGTGTTAGGGTCATTTCTGATTTTGACACTTTCAAGGAAGGCTGATTAACATCTATAGTCTATTGATCATTATTTCTGACAGTTTTACTGATCCTGCTGATCATACAGTTGTGACAAATTTAATGTCATTATTTGTGCAAAGTTTTGAATCTGTTGAGTGTTTACGGCAGGCCAGAAACTGGCAGCAGTCAACCAATGTGTTCAATGTTTTACCGAGACTATGGGACAAGAACCAACCAGAGGTACAGATAAGCTGCGTATTTGCATACATTACGAAAATATTTATGTTAAAACTCAATTCCAATTAAGCCTCTTACGTACAAGTACACTGGATTTTTTGTAAATACTCAATAAATGTGATCTCACATGCGTACACCAAAAATGTCAAATCTTAGCTTGCGTGCCAGTGCATAGAAAAAATAATCATGTTCAGGTCAACAACAGGAGTACCTTGAGTATAGGACTGAAACACTAATTATCTATAATGCTTATCCTATTTCACATTACGAAGACGGGGTGTATTTGGGTGAGGCAATTGATGGTGGATGGAATACAGTACATGTATGGTGGTATCACTGTGACTGAGTGAACAATATTGTGCAAGAAAGGGTGACTGGAGAGTACTACTGGGACAACATAATAACATCTGTTCATGTCGCGATTGAAAGGTATGTGCGTCAATGTTTTGTCTTTCAAGGTAACAATGCCAATGTTCACCATGCATGCTTTGTCAGTCATGAAATTTATATTTTTTCTGAGCATCCCATACATTGATTAAAACTGTACAAGCATGATAACAAGAAAACACATTCATTCTTTGAAACATTTAGCAAAGGATTTTGTCAATGCTTACTTTTAGCAGTACAGCACTGATAACATGCCATGGCAAGCACTGACCTTGAACATAACTTCTTGACAAATAATGGCAGCATAAGCACTATTGATCAAAAACATAACTCTGAAACTTCCCTGTTGTCTGTCAAGATCATTGGGAGTCATAACATCTACTGTCATAATTTACAACGGGTTCTAATGGGCTCCCAATTTGTTCATTATTCAAAGCCTTCATTTTTTCTGAGTGTCCCCTATTTCTTATTAAAGACTATACAAGCATGATAACAAGAAAACACAAAACTGTTTGCAGTTATTTGTTCATCGTCAAAACATTTAACACTGGAGTCTGCAATATTACAAACACATCACAACAATAGCAATAAAATAATCTTGTCCAGACAACTAGTAATGATTAATGACAGTCATGGTATAAAAATGGAACAATAACCAAACTAATCATGTCAAATTTAGAACCCAAACTTACATGTTGTCGTGTGCACCTTTGAGGGCTTTAGCAGCAGTGCCCATCACTTTAAGAACTTCACTGTTTGTGCTTGCATTTTCTAATGCTTCTCTCTGGAACTCTATTGTTGACAAGGTACCATCAATCTGGGTTAGTTGCTTCTCGTATCTCTTCTTCCTCTTCAATGCCATCAAGGCAACTAAAAATGAATACAATGTAATGAGCATTCAATCTGGAGAGCAACCAATCATTGATAGATGAAAATATTTTGGGCATGATTGAGTTTAACATTGTTAAAGTGACAACTCTAATTTATGGCAAGAATAAAAAGTTGACATGCTTTAATACACATATGTGAGCCGTAACAGTGGTATTGCTACCTTCTGTATGCCATATAATATGTGGCCACAGTGATCACTGGTAATCATGCTTATTACTATATTAGACACTAGATGTGACAATGAGATTTTGGTTTGATATAAGATTAAGGACCAAAATGAGTTCAAATAATAGCTCTGTTAGAGTATGAGCTGTACATCAATACCCTACTCACACAGTACATTTAACCCCTTTATGACGAACACTTGGCATATTACAGAAAGTACTTCAATATCTTTTGGTAGACATTCCACTCTCCTCAAAGACACTATGTGGACCAAGTTAGGAGTTAGGTAGGAGCACCAAAGTGCCAAATTGATGCAAATTGCTCGTCTAAACAACATTCCACCCCACCACCATGACCTTGTTGACATGAATTGAATCGTCAATCAGAAACAGCCACAATACAGAATATTCGCCAAAAAATACACATCATTTTCTGTGTGATGAAGAAAACAGTGTTTGTGAAAAGGTCTAAATTACACAACTGCTGGTTGATAGTTTGTCATACCCGGCTTTAGTACCAAAACTGTCAAGAGTTCAATAAAGTACTTTTTCTGTTGATCAAAACATATACCTGTGTTTGTTTTCTACATGTCATCCTTCACATTAAACCGAAACTTTTGGTACGCTGAATATTCAATTGCTAGACATCAAGCATCTGCACCAGTTAATTGTAACAAATCAGATGACTTTTGCCCTGCCCTTACTTCCTGATTCGGCTTCTTATGGCAACGAGATCCTCAGTTATAATTAAGCGGGACATATTGTACCAAACACACAAGTTCAGACATATTCATCTCGGGTCATCATTGTGAATATTCGTAAATGGTTCTGTAACTTATTGTACCCACCCCTTTTGTTTTTGGTTCCATTTTTCTTGGCTGTTTGAAGTTCTGCCTCAACCTTCTTTTCCAGAAAATCGGACTTTTTCATCAACATTTCTTCCACATCTCTCAATCTTTGGATTGCCTCCGCTGGGGTAGGAGGTGTTTTCTTTGAGCCGAATAGCTTAATCCCAAAAAGAGACATCTTTACGTGAAAATATAACCGAAGAAACACACATACAACACGTATCTGAGTCACAGAGGGTATTTCTTAACTCTAAATATTGATCGCGCACGGTATTGTAAAGCTTGTCGTCATTGGTTAAAAATTGTGTTCAGGGGAAATAATTCAGACACATCGAGCAATGTGGACCGTTAATAAATTATTTATGCTTGGCCCGAAATGACTCCGTTTGGTAAGAGTTCCGCCCGTAACCCCCGCTTGAAATGTATTCTATTTATTATGATTATTTCGAGGGGTTAGGGGTTAGGGTTAGGGTTAAGATGGGCTTTCTATAAAATACATCTATTCTTAGTCATAGAATGATAAAAAAGCGGGTCTTACGGGCTGAAATCTTTTCCTCCGTTTACCATGTGCGAAACGCTTCATGTCGGAAAGCGCACTTAAAATCTCCAAATCATCATCTTCTGCTCGCTTTAGCTGTTCAGCCATGACACAGTACCAATGTTGTGGCACATTGTGATCTGCGAGTGTTTACAAGATCACTAGGGTGGACTGGCAATTTTATTGGACATTTTTGTTTTTGATCTTGGGCTGTCATAGATCATTGAAATACTCACAAAATTGCACTGTAAAGCTTTGCAGTACATTAACAATATTTTCAGCGAAAGAAAGGTGACAATGGAAAAGAGAGATATTATTCTTGAACATAGCCGAGACTCTTGGTGCTGTTTGTCTGAATTATACGTACGATGGATCAGCGTCAGCGCAGTCCACGTGCACGTTGGCGATTTCTGATGGTTTGGTGATGGTTCCTTACATGACGCTGTCACGGTCGCTTGCTCTCAGTTACTCAGATGAGTGAGTTTGGACCACACCCATGGGAGGGGCCGGTGGGGAAGCCTAGCTAATGGTTAAAGCGTCAGCTTGTCATGCTGAACATCCAGGTTTGCTTCCACACATTAGTACAATGCAAAATGCCCTGGGCGATCATTCTGTTGGTGATGCAGCTTTGGTGTTTCTGTGAAGTTGAACCGTCCTTAACTACCGTGTTCACGCAGCAAGCAACGTGATGACGTAGTGACGTTTACAACGTTAGACATGCAACCAGGGATACGTGTGTCGGACTTGATGGCACATGTCGAAACTTTGCATTTTTGTGTATAACTGCCTACATGATTTCCGCTCTCTTTAAATAGGAACATGGACATGCAAAACGGATTTGGTTAGTCACGTGCTAAACTCCTGCATGTATAACATTCGATGATCCGTAAGAATGTTTCCTTCTTAGGACCATGACATATATTTAAATCTCAGTTGCCTAACCACAACGAAACGTTTTCGACGTCACGTGTATTTATAACATTATAATATTCATTAAATATACTAGATCTTGTATAACTAATAATAGTCTGACTGGTGCTTGTTTCCCAACTGGATGATCTCGGTAATTGTTTGTCTCAGACAGCTGCCACTTGTGTAGATCGATGCTCATGCTGCTGATCACTGGATTGTCTGTTCTTAACCCGATTATTTACAGACCGCCACCATATAACTGGAATATTGCAAAGTGCGGCGTTAAACAACAATCAAATATCGTTCTCAGCTCGGGAGGGGATTGTTTTAAATGTGAATTTACGAATTTATGACCCTTTGATTCCAAACAGTGTTGATGCTTTCGATTTCATTTGTTTATTATTATCTAACTTTGTCGTAAAGAGAAATTCAACTTATATATATATTTTCAACAAGCATTACCATAACATGATTGTTAACTGCATTGGCCGTAATATGTCAGGAAAGGCTGATATGACATAATATTCACAATGTTTTATAAATTTGATGCTACGGTCGTTAATGGTAGGCCATGTGCGTAAATACCGTTTGCTACGGTGTCTGTTACCGGTCGCTAATGGTCACCGCAATAGTGACAGAAACTAACATGTGACAAACTTTTCCATTCTGAACATCTACCAACATCTCTCAAACAATATACAATTGATGCGTTACAGGTCATTGGCCCCCTCCCTCTCCAAGCCTTCTGCGTTCTGCTGTTTATTTTGTTGACAGTTACATAGACAGATTCTTTAATACAAATGCATAAAATCGGTGATTTACAATGTGATTAGGTTGTCTGACAAAACATCCACTTGCACAGTTTGAGATCGATCGGGTTATTGGATGAAGAGATATTTACAAAAAACCGGGTCCACATGCATTTCATGCCAAACTATAGTTGTTAATGTCATGCTCCCTACATTTTGGGGATATGATGCTTTCATATTTATGATGACCGGCTTTATTTGTTCGCCAAATAATACCGTGAGATCTACATTTGATAAAACTTGATATGTTATCAGCGTCATATCCATTTCGCCAAGCTGAAAAGCACAAATTTGGCATCAAGAATTAAAGATACTTATAAAGAAAAGTATTCTGAAATGTGCGGTACCCGATGCCATATCATGAAGCAATGTTTTTCAACCAATCAGATTGTATCACACACTCCGATTCACTTTCCATACCCTCTTTGTCGCTCTTGTTATTTTTTTAATTTTTGGCGGCAAAATATTTGTTCTAGCAAATACTTTAAAAAAATATTTTTACAAAAGTTTTTACGAAAGTAACTCTTGGCTGGGCTACTCTTGCTCCGGCTTTTGAAAACAATCCTAAATGTCATAACTCTTCACTTTATGTTACCTAAAAGTCGATATTCAGTGTGTCCCGGATCCAATTCAAACGGAATGAATGAATGGCCGGAACTGGTAACTGGCTACAAACGCTATATGATGCAACTGGTAAAGAAAACAGCATGACTGAGTTTCAATCTTTTATTGACGATTAAAGCAACAACTCGATACTTTACATCCAAGCATTAACAAATTTGTTCATTTTACTGTTCAATTAATAGTCATAGTAAAACAACGCTCCTTTTTACACTCCTTGCTTTTAAGATGGACATCTACAAGGCAGCTCCTCTTAAAAAATAACTACAATGTGCGAGTAGGGGAGACCGGGGTCAATTGTAACACGTTTTACTTAACGTCTTGTAATTCGATACTAGTCCACCGCTCACAAAGTTAATCGGTACTATCTAGTACATTGGTATCTTGGTTTTATACCTCAATGTCATTTAAAGTTCACTATCATGTCGTTACAAAGTTATTACGTATCAAATGCAACGACTGCAAGTGTTACAATTGACCCACAGCACGGGGCAATTGTAACCGGCGGATGGGGCAATTGTAACAATTGTAAGAAAGTTCAAATGTAACAATCTGTTTATTTTCCAAATAAAATCAAAATAAAATGTGGAAAGAAGTTATCTTGATCAATTGAGGTGGAAATGGATTAGCATTAAACCTTTATCCCCATCGACATTTAAAATGTTTTTGGTTTAAAATTTTTGTATTGGTGTGCCCAAAACACGTTGCCACGTCACACGTTAACAACTTTGGGCTTCTCAAATATGTCTACTTCAAAATATGTCGTAATACTTCAACTTTACACTTGTTAATTAGTTTCATACCAAGCAACATTTACTGCATTAAGAACCTTTTATTACGTTTTGTGAAAAATTTACTTTCCCATGTGAAAAACGATTCTTCGTGAACTGTATCTCGCCATGAGCGAGCAGCTGAAAAACGCATGGATGTGTACCGTAGGAAAGTAAAGGGAAATAACTCTACTCAGCTACACTATGCTTGAGCGAAAACTTTTAGAGTAATCGCCTTTGTTACAATTGACCCGTGTTACAATTGACCCCGGTCTCCCCTACAGTTTTGTAGCATGAGCCATAAAAAAAGTCCCTTTCCGTCAAATCTGTACAATTCTTCCTTTTATACAAATTCAAATTCTTTTCTAACTGCAGTTGCTTCAACAGAACATTCTAGAAGATTATGCAGATACAGGGAGGTTATAACACAACCTTTGTTGACAAATATGTAGAGAATGTAGGTATCGTCAGTGTACGTGCTTAGGAGAATAGTAAACAAGTTGTTGTCATATCGGCGAGTCTTCCATCAATGAAAGAGCTGGCTGTTGCTTTGCGTTGTCTTCATCTGTGGGGAGATATTTCAAAGAATTAAACATATGAAGAAGTATTTCTGAACAGGGGAAAGCCTATTCATCCTAGACGTCGCAAGTCACTGTTGTAGTCCTGCCATCAGGATTGGAATGCCAGAATCACCATACCAGATTTCACGAAAGTCAGTTAGGTTATTCTTGCTTGAGAAAGCGCTTCGAAGTCTAGACCTGCATTTCATTTCCCTTAAAGACGGATCCCAACATTTTCAGACCCAAAATATTTCATTTCACGAGAAATGTCCTTTTTCGAACGATTTAATTTCTTGATTAATCAAGAACACATAGTTTTACATCAATTTCGGGAGCACATTATCTTTGTGAAAAAAAAACATGATCCTTCCGACCGCACACCCCATGTCAGATAGTCAACCATTTAATCATCTCACAAGGCCATCTAGTAGCCATTGAATGCAGCGACGATGTCTTGAAGAGCCTTCTTATGAACGACAAAGATACGCACCTCACATTTTACAGATGGAGGAAGCAGCGTTATTCACGCCAGGAAGTGTAGCGTAGCACTGTCCTTCTTTTATGACCAACCGCGCTCCAGAGTATTTGATCTCGGAGTAAAGGGCCCAACTAAAAGCGAAAACATTAAAACATGAAAAAAACATCATTCCCGTGCGTTTCTACTCTCAAAAACACGTTCAGCTTATAATAAAATAGCATGAATGAATTTGAACTTATATATTGACTGAGATGCAACTTTCTTACACATATCTGGCTGAGAAACCCATGTGAGAAGGCTGGTATCAAACATGTATGCGATCTATTTCCAAGCCCGTGATTGGCTACTCTATGGTGATGAACAAGGGTCAGATTATGCTGGACTTCTTTTCTGATTCATTGATAAGTTACTTGTGCTTGAATCGAACGTAAACCTGTTAGTCGTGCCAAACACCTTTACACATGATATTTTCGCGATTGTAACTTAAACAGAATGTTCTGCAATGAAACACAATTAAACTAAAAATAACAAAAATATAGTGTTTTAACTTCCTGTATCTACCGGGGAACATTTACACAAGTACAGATCCTAAATGTGCAAAGATATCAAAACAGTCTTTTGAAGCAACTCGTGTAAGATAAATGATATCTGACAGACAACTCATGTAGTAATCCCTATGATCTACATGTACATGTAATTTTGACCATTTGTTGACTGACGAAAAAGGTTAGAAGAAACCGAACACTTGTCACTAAGGACTAAGCCAGGAAACTACAATCACTTCGAGAAAATATGGAATTCGACACACCAGAGTTTGATCAACTGAGAACACAACAAAAGTACCCTCAGACAGATCTGGACAGGTCTTTGCCAACATTACTGGTGGGCTTTTCAAACTGGTTTTCATTTCTTTTGAGAATGAAGGTATTGGGATGTTTGCGATGGAATGTTTAATTAAGTGACGATTTTCTTCTTCAAAAACCATAAACACTTTGTCAGCCACAAATCTCAGAAACTCCTGAGGATAATGTCCATGTAAAAATATTAATTGTTTAATTGAATTTGAATTTGTTTAAATCCTTACAAACACTGGGTCTAACACGAAGTTATTAAGAGAAAAGCACGGAGGACATTCTTTGGTGCAGAACATAAACTCCTTCGGTGGAGGAGGATGTCAATTCTTTCCGCGATGAGTACACATAAACTTACTCTCCCTCGTGTACAACGGCCGAGGAAACCGTGTTGTCAAAGTTCCCCAATTCTGGAAGATTCATGTAGACATCAAGACGGCAACCGCAAAAATTGGGTTTCTCGAAGAGGGTCACTTTGGGAGAGCCGCCCCAGTTTGCCTGGAAAAGTATCTTGGATAAACTGTGTGACGTTCCAACATATAACTGCTAGACAAAAGAAGGTATACTTTTGAAACTTGGATTTGACCAAAGATTACAAATGTTAACAAATGCTTCTGTCGCCAAACCACATGAAATCGTGAGCAACTCGTGTTATTCCGGGACAAGCCCCTGGAAGGATTTCATATTGGCGCATGAACATCAGAACTACTTTAAACAAGAACGATAACTCTATTCCTGTTTGATTCTAATAGTACTTAATATCACCGAAGCACTCGTACATGTTATTGCTGTTTTTGATTATATGAATGAAAACTCTTTGATATGTACAACTAAAAGAGGAAATCAAAATATTTGTTAAAGACATGTTCTAGCGTGATTATTACCAGCTGTTCACCTTATATTTACAAATGCATATTTCTAAATAGGATTTAAGAATTATATATGGGATTGTCTTGTTGAATATGCAAATACAATCATGTTGATGTTTTTTCATCTATATTAAATATCAAAGCAGATACTCTAAAACAACGCTAAAATATTTCTCAAACTAAACATTCATGTAACCTTCCTGCCAAATATATGACTGACCCCCAAATAGTCAGACTAAAATATCTCTAGAGATGTGAAATATAAGCCCAATGTTAAAGGTTATAGTTATAGTTATATTAGATAAAATATTATTGCTTTAAAACTCGTTGCGATTTATAACTAAATTTCCTAAAAATGTTGGGGAGCGCACGTACAATCTCCAAAACAAGTCCGCAAGATCGTCAGAAATACAGTGGACCTATAGGAGCCGTTATGTAAACAAAAGCACGTGCGTGTATTTGATCTTTCACCGTCAATCGTATTATTCTTGTTAAAAACTTCACATTAAGCAGCACAATTCTGTTAGTTACGTTATTTGTACTTTCCATATGACGATTTATATGTTTTATGATTTTTAAACAATGACATAATGACATAAAGGATTTAAGTACTCTTTATTATTTTTATGAAAGGCACCGCAATCATTACAAGCGTTCTGATTGGTTTGTCTGATTTTCGCACATAACAATCATGGGGTTAAATATTGTAAATATTGAAAGATTTCACCTTAATTTTCTTAAATTTTCTACTGCTTTACGATTATCAATTCCTAGCTTTATGGTTTGTGGTGAACTGGGTCGTTTCCCTGTGAACATTATAATAGCTAAAAAGATTATCATATTTTGGTATAATGTAGAAACCGCATCGTGTGCTCTTCAACTCTTCAGATTACACAACACCGTCAATCTCCGTAATAATGATGCATGGATAACTCACATAAAGAAAAGTATTTTAGACAGTTGTGGCTTAACTTATGTATTTGATACCCCTAGTATACATAACATAACAACGTATGGTATGGAGGCCCGTGAGATGGGATTAAAGATTAACATGTACAGAGATCAAGAGTTTAAGTGTTATGTTTTGATTGAGATGTACAGAGGTAAACATATCACTTAATCCCCTTGCTCATCTCAATCTTTAATCCCATCTCACTGGCCCCCTGTACGCGATATATATGTCTGTAAATCATATTCTGTCATTCACCTGATGAAGGGGCAAGAAGTAGCCCAGAAACGTAGTGTTGTAAATAATAAAGAAGTTGTAAATCGGTACCATACGTTCTTAAGTGGCTAGTCTCTGTGGAAGAATCATCTCTTAAAGATCATTTTATACAGACATGGATGAAAGATATTAATAAAAGTTCAAAGGGTAATTATTATAAGCTGTTCAAAGATCTGCTGTTGTTTGAAAAATGCGTCCTATTACCTGTCTACGTCTCTCGGCACATTATATCATTTCTGATATCGAATCCTCATTTACCAGTAGAGACTGGGCGCTGGAAAAATATACCAAGACTAAATAGAAATTGTAATCTTTGTAATTCACCGGCGATAGAGGGCAAGTTCCATTACTTATTTAAATGTTCGTTTTTTTATAACATGCGATCACAATACATCCCGATTTATAACAGTAAACGGCCGAATCTCGCAACATTTAAACTATTGTTTACCTTAGATAATTATCCAATCGTTAAAAATATTTCAAGATTTATAAAAAGTTATCAATAACACTATAAAAAGATGAATACACTAAATATATTCACTGTTACCAATTTATATTTTATGTTGTAACTTTATTTGTATTGTTCCTGTACCACCAATGGTGGCTTGTCGAAATAAAATATTGATTGATTGAGACAGGGAGGAGCCTTCTTGGAGGTTACGGAAAGGGGCGATTGGTGACGAATGGCGGAACCATGGCAAACAATGTTAAACACATCAGTGGCACCCATTCAGCCTCATGGAATACTCATTTCTTGTTTGTGACATTTAAGCCACTTTCAGGCATAGATGTATCATTTCAGTTGTCAAGGGAATGTAGTTAAACGTTTGTACTTTACATAAGAAAGACGTTGAGATATAATAACAATTGCTATTAAAAATAAAACGATACACAGAACGTGATAAAACTTGACTTCTCGCTTCACGTGACAGTGATCTTAGTTAGCTATACAATCGGATTTCAACGTCCACTTTAAAATATTATTTTCTCAGAAAAAGGAGGCAAATGATTTGTTTTCACAATAAATTATTTTCAGGACATACAGCCCGTGCAATTTAGTTACTTTGCCACTTTGTTGCAGTTTTCTAGAAGCAAAGTTACCATTGAAAAATATCACAATCCTTCTCCCCAACCGCCACCCACCACCCGTGACCACCCATCAGCAACCAGACCATCAACAACCAACATCATATGGCTGGCCCTATGTCTTACATATCTGACATTATTGTAATTGTGGGTGTGTCTATATTATTGCTTGTAAACTAAACGAAGAACTTAAAATTAACATACCATTGTTCCTGAAGCTAGTTCGGGTTCCAAACCTGAAAGGATAAGCATAAATTAAACGGAGTAATGAAGTCGCGATACTGAAATATCAAGTCTTTGAAAATATTTCCACTGATCACGAGGTATTTACCCATAAACACATCTATGACAAGAGATGGGGCCAAAGGACAGTCCCTAGTATCTGCATAATGTGGACTATGGTAGTAAGTTTCAGGATTTTTGCAGTTACATATATTTCAAAAAGGTCTGACTTGTACAACACATAGAAAAATCATGTTTTTATCAGGGATAAGGCTGACACGTACTTTTTCTGTATAGAATAATACGATGGTTTTGATTTTTTGCCTGTCCAACCTTGTATTGTATTGACATAACAAGAAGTGCTCTGTATGACAGTTTAGCTTCTGATATTTCGCCTGTCAAGCATCCAACAATATCGGCATATCGCTAAATTACCGAAACTAACTTTGTAATATTAAAATTTAATATAACAAGCAAAGGCGGTCGTAAATACAGAACACAATTTGTCATCTGAAAACAGTATATTAAAAAGCTCACGTCACAGACAAAATTCACAAGTGTCTTAACGAGGCAAACGGAAAGATTAATATTACCTAGAGTTGTAGATGACTGTGATGTCTTCTGTGCCTGGTCCAGGGCTGGAGTGAAGAACTTGTGTGGTGGCAGCTATTTATAGTAGGCTAGATCCGTAAACCCACGCATGTTCGTAATTTAGAACGATCCAGGTGTCCTATCAAAGGAGCTAGGTAGTTGTTGTCTGCCCGTTTAGTTGAACCGGACACGACAGGAAAACGCCATTAAAGAAAAAAAGCAGCATTCAGAAATTTAAAACTCCAGTAACGTCAACGCAAATAAACATAAACCTATTTTTTAATATATTCTGGGAACTCCACACAATCTGTTGTTAAAGACTAGAAAGGATTGTCTAAACCACATTTTTTCCAGCAGAAAACGAAAGACGCAGTAGTTGGCAAACATTGTCAGAACGTCTCGACCGAAGAGGGTATTGGGTGTATTGGACTCGTGTCAGTACAGATGACATTGGCATGTGTTTTAATGGAGCTGTTTGGCTATCCCGCTGTGCGATATTCCAGGATTTGAACGGGTTGGTGACGTTCGACAATTGTTACTGGCTGCCTTAACTACCTGTAGCAGAGTTGTTGTGTTTTTCTGACGCACATTATTAAACATTTGAAACGTGAACGTTCGTTGTTCAAGAATTGTGCTCGCACGGAGCTGAATTTACCTGTGGCTATAAAATTAATAAACCATATGTACCTCAGGAAGGAACTTGGGCATCCAGAGGGTTGCACCTCGTTTTGGAGTTCTTGCTACATGGTACATGGTTTCTACACATTTCGTGCCTGCAAATAATTTTCATTTTGAGCATGCACACGTCCTTTTCCGTAGGTAGTAAGTATATGTGGGAAATCGCTACTTTCAAGTACATTAATGTCTGTAATCTGAATTGGTCATAGAAAACTTCATGAAAATGAGTGTGGAAGTCCAAGGGCTCCCCTTCACGAAGCAACCTTTACTAAGGTTAACCTTAACTCCCATTCTTTAACATGGCACTAAAGTTACGTTAGTGGCCACTACCTTAGTGCTTTGTGAAAGGAGGAATGGTATGATAAAGTATCAGATGATGCAGCACAGGCATGCTAGAAATGTTGCGTTCAGGAGATGCTGTACTTGTTGTTTATCTTACTTTGGTGCACATATACATTTTATTGGGTGAATGTGCGTGTGCATTTGTTATGAATACATCTGCCGCTGTGTGTGTGTGTGTGTGTGTGTGTGTGTGTGTGTGTGTGCGTGTGTGAACTGAATGGTTGTATCCTGTATTTCGTAGGACAACGGTGTCCTTGATAATATTTGGCTATTTGCAAGGTCAAATAAGTTTATTGTGCAAGAAGCCTCCATTCCATATATAACAGAGTGTTATATGTGCACGCCTAATGCTTTGAAGGTTTTATAATTGTACCGATAGATACGATGGTTGCTCCTCTTATACAAACAGGATATAACTGACAGAGACTTATACCGTGTTTACATGCACCGATTTGCACATGCGAGTAAATTTACATATATGCAAATTTTACACACTGGAGTAAATTTGCTCATGGGAGTATATTTGCTAAGCGTTCACGTGACAATTAAAGTCACCCTAGATTTCTGTAGTTACCTTTCTGATGTAAAGATGGACAGACGTCTTTTTTTTCGCTTCTCAGGGGAGGAAATGTTTTACTCTTTCCCTGAGTGTTGGTCTTTCGTGTGACTTACTAAAAGAGAGATCCACTGACTGGTGGAAAACATTTTCCCATGATGATTGGAAAAACAATTTCAGAATGTCCAATACTACCTTTGACTTTGTCTGTTCTGAACTTAATGAAACTTTGAAACCTACTGGAAATTGTGTTCATGAGCCAGTAAGCGTCGAGAACCAGGTATGCAATTGCAATATACTGGTTCAGGGGTTAAAAGATCCCATCGCCCGACGCCCGGGACAAGTCAGTTTTCATTTTGGGCAATCAAATAATGGTATCTTACTTGTCCGTGGGCTAAGAGATAATTTCCACTTATGGTTTCAAACTGCAACTAAACTTGGTTTTAATTTCATATCTGCTCAAAATGTAGCTATTAAATTTCGCAATGATAACAAAGTAGAGTTATCTTTCTTTACTATTTATCACTTTTCAATAAATGGTCCAGTAAGCATTAACATCAAATACCATGTTGATTTATTCTTTCATAATTACATCATCATGATTATGTTATTAAGACAGGGCAAGTGGAAAATTAGTCAGGACAAGTTGCTTTCTTAAAATCACTTGCCCTGTGGCAAGTGGCTTTTAAAAAAATTGAACCCCTGTGGTTAGCGTCATGTGTCGAATACAGAATAGTTGCCAACTTATTCGGTGTCAGCAGATCAACTGTGTGGAAGTGTGTACACAATGTATGTAACGCTATAACAATACTTTTACCAACAAATACGTAAATTGTCCAAAAGTAAATGACCTCAAAGAGGTCATTCAAGGATTTCAAGACACCTGGGGCTTCCCCAACTGCGGTGGCGCCATTGATGGTTGCCATATTCCTATTATTGCACCAGAGGAAGCACATGGAGATTATCTGAATAGAAAAGGATTCTATTCGTTGATTTTGCAAGCTGTGTGTGATCACAGATATGTCTTTCGAGAGAGTGCAAGATGCACGCGTGTTTGGGAACTCTGAAATATATCACAAAGGTGAAAATAAGCAACTCTTTCCCAACTGGAATAAGGAAATTGTGCTACCAACTAAAGAAGCAGCAATACCAGTTATGTTAGTGTCTGATCCTGCATATCCAGTGAAAAGTTGGTTAATGAAACCTTTTCCCAGCCATGGTCAGTTGACTCCTCAACCACAAACATTCAACTATCGACTTTCACGTTCAAGGATGACCATTGAGAACTCATTCGGACGTCTTATGGGACGATGGAAGTGTATGCAAAAACGTCTAGATGTGAAGGTCGACTTTGCATGCACCGTTGTGGCAGCTTGTGTTGTTTTGCACAACATATGTGGAATGCAGAATGAAGAGTATGACCAGGAATGGAATGAAGCTAGAGATTATGCTGATACGGACAGAAACGATGGTGATGGAGATGATGAAGCAACTATGATGTGTGCAAGAACAACTCGAGAAGACATTGCCACTGCCCTGGTGTGCAACCTCATCTGAAGGTTAAGTTAAGATTGCACAAGTTCACGAACTAATCAGAGATAGATCTTCTAGACGGTCTTTATAATCATGTTTCAGATACCATGACTTATAAATGATGACTTCCAGATGACACCCATTTAATCTGTTCCAATTACTGCTTCCTATATTAAAATACTTTGATCGTGTTTCCCTTTTAAATGTATGTGAGATGACCAGAAAGGACGTTTTCAAAAATAAAACAGTTAACAGAAATGTGATCAAAGTTTCTCATTTACTTCTAAAAGTACAAAAGTTTTGAAGCAATTGTCTCCTTGCAGAATTTCATCCATAATGTCGAAGTATTTGAATGTTACCCTTCCTGCTCCACTCTTTTTCAGTTTTCCTTTAGTGAGTCTGTAGGTTCGCCTAAGCGTATGCAATTTCCCTTTGCACTGGTCCGATGTCTTCTCATAACCACCTGTTATCATGTTTTCAGAAATATTCTTATAATTGCCAGCATTGCTTATCTTAGGATCATCCAGTTGACATTCAATGTTATTTTCCTTCCATAAATTAAAGGTCACATGCAACGTAAAACACAACTTTGCAGATTCTGATACCTTTCGGTATGGACTTACCGAAACAAATCATCAAAAATGCAAATTCAACTTATAAAGTCAGTGAATCAGCGAAAATATAAGACTGTTATATGATATCATGTTTGAAACTAGAAAACAAAATAAGAATGGCCTTTTACTATTAATTGATTTTGAAAAAGCATTTGACACAGTTTCAAAAACATTTGTTAGCAAGGTTTTACAAAAGTTTGGATTTGGACAATACATGCTGAAAAGGATATCTATACTAACGAAAAATGCTACCTACTGCATTATCCAAAATGGACATCTATCCGAATTCTTTCCTAATAATAGAGGCTGTAGGCAGGGGGACTCCATCTCCCCATATCTATTTCTGTTTGTAGCAGAGACCCTAGGTATCATGATTCGTGCAAATGTAAGTATTAAGGGTACTATCTTGAATAGCAAGGAATATAAGCTAGGTCAATATGCTGACGACACCAAGCTCTTTCTGGATGGCTCCGATGTCAGCCTGAAGGCTGCTATGGATACTCTTTCTCTCTTCTATCGCATGTCAGGACTAAAAATAAATGTAGACAAGACAAAAGCCCTGTGGATTGGAGCTATGGCTAACAGTAAAGATATAATGTGTAGTGAATATGGCCTGGACTGGCACTTTGGGAACTCTGAGGTTTTAGGTATTGTTTTAAATGCTGATTTGAATGACCTGTGGGTTATCAACACCAGGAAAAGGCTAAAAGCTATATCAAACATTCTTGGGAATTGGCAAAAAAGGAAGTTCACTATTACTGGGAAGATAACTGTAATTAAAACCTTGGCTGTATCTACTTTAGTACACATTTTTACATCACTCCCTAATCCTCCTAAATGTTTCGTGGATGATATTGAGAAAATGTTTTTCACTTTTATCTGGAGTGGTAAACCTGATACGATTAAGAGGAGGAATATGAAAAAGGATTACAGGGAAGGAGGAATTAGGATGATTGATTTAAAATCATTTATCGCTGCATTGAAACTAGCCACTATTAAGAGGTATTTTAACAATGAGGCTAATAACCCTTGCAATGTTCCTATTCGTCGACTTGTTCAGATGGGCTCAAACATTGATCAATTCTGCATTGTGGACAACCCATATTGGAAAGATGTTCTTTTATCATGGAAGAGATACAGAAGCCTATTCATAACTGATAAGAATGATCTGTCTAAAATACTTTCTGAGCCCCTCTGGTTTAATCACCAGTTGGTTGATTCATCCTTTTTTCTTAAAAGTTGGTTTGAGTATGGTATCACTGAAGTTAAAGACCTCTGCAAATCTGTCGGTCTACTTGAAAATTTGTAACTTGTTGTTGCCAATGTATAACCAGCTCCAACTGCCTTACCTATGGAGTTTGCAACTGGTGTAGTGTAATCCCTGATTTTGTACACCTATATTATCACACTTTGAAAATTTGAACTCTTTGTTGCTGATGTATAACCAGCTCTTACATGCCCGTAACCCTGAGAGTCTGTTGCTGGAGTGATGCACTCCCTGATTCTGTGTACCTATGTTTTCACACTTCGAAATTAATAAATCTTTGTTGCTGATGTATAACTAGCTAGAACATGCCTGTAACCCATGGAGTCTGTTGCTGGAGTGGTGCACTCCCTGACTTTGCGTACCTACTTTTCCACACTTCGAAATTAGTAAATCTTTGTTGCTGATGTATAACTAGCTAGAACATGCCTGTAACCCATGGAGTCTGTTGCTGGAGTGGTGCACTCCCTGACTTTATGTACCTATGTTTCCACATTTCGAAATTAGTAAATCTCTGTTGCTGATGTATACTTAGATGGAACATGCCTGTAACGCGTGGAGTCTGTTGCTTAAGTGGTTCACTTCTTGACTTTATGTACCTATGTTTCCACATTTTGAAATTGGTAAATCTTTGTTGCTGATGTATAACTAGCTAAACATGCCTGTAACCCATGAAGTTTGCTGCTGGAGTCGTGCACTCCCTGACTTTGTACACAGTAACTATATTTTCTTACTTTGAAAATGTGTAACTCTTCGTTACCAAAATGTAACCAGCCGTAACGTGGAGTTGTGTACTCCCTGTCCTTGTGTACCTATCTGAAATGAATGAATGACCGGAAGAGGTAACTGCCTACAAGCGCTATATGATGCAACTGGTAAAGAAAACAGCATGACTCAGTTTAAATCTTTTATTGAAGATTAAAGCAACAACTCGATACTTTACATCCAAGCATTAACGAATTTGTTTATTTTACTGTTCAATTAATATTAAAAATAACTACAGTGCGAGAGTACAGTTTTGTAGCATGAGCCATAAGAAAGGTTCTTTTCCGTCAAATTTGTACAATTCTTCCTTTTATACAAATTCAAATTCTTTTCTAACTGCAGTTGCTTTAACAGAACATTCAAGAAGGATATGCAGATACAGGGAGGTTATAACACAACCTTTGTTGACAAATATGTAGAGAATGTAGGTATCGTCAGTGTACGTGCTCAGGAGAATAGTAAACAAGTTGTTGTCATATCGGCGAGTCTTCCATCAATGAAAGAGCTGGCTGTTGCTTTGTGTTGTCTTCATCTGTGGGGAGATAGTTCAAAGAATTAAACATATGAAGAAGTATTTCTGAACAGGGGAAAGCCTATTCATCCTAGACGTCGCAAGTCACTGTTGTAGTCCTGCCATCAGGATTGGAATGCCAGAATCACCATACCAGATTTCACGAAACTCAGTTAGGTTATTCTTGTTTGAGAAAGCGCTTCGAAGTCTACACCTGCATTTCATTTCCCTTAAAGACGGATCCCAACATTTTCAGACCCAAAATATTTCATTTCACGAGAAATGTCCATTTTCGAACGATTTAATTTCTTGATTAATCAAGAACACATAGTTTTACATCAATTTTGGGAGCACATTATCTTTGTGAAAAAAAACAAGATCCTTCCGACCGCACACCCTATGTCAGATAGTCAACCATTTAATCATCTCACAAGGCCATCTAGTAGCCATTGAATGCAGCGACGATGTCTTGAAGAGCCTTCTTATAAACGACAAAGATACGCACCTCACATTTTACAGATGGAGGAAGCAGCGTTATTCACGCCAGGAAGTGTAGCGTAGCACTGTCCTTCTTTTATGACCAACCGCGCTCCAGAGTATTTGATCTCGGAGTAAAGGGCCCAACTAAAAGCGAAAACATTAAAACATGAAAAAAACATCATTCCCGTGCGTTTCTACTCTCAAAAACACGTTCAGCTTATAATAAAATAGCATGAATGAATTTGAACTTATATATTGACTGAGATGCACATATCTGGCTGAGAAACCCGTGTGAGAAGGCTGGTATCAAACATGTATGCGATCTATTTCCAAGCCCGTGATTGGCTACTCTATGGTGATGAACAAGGGTCAGATTATGCTGGACTTCTTTTCTGATTCATTGATAAGTTACTTGTGCTTGAATCGAACGTAAACCTGTTAGTCGTGCCAAACACCTTTACACATGATATTTTCGCGATTGTAACTTAAACAGAATGTTCTGCAATGAAACACAATTAAACTAAAAATAACAAAAATATAGTGTTTTAACTTCCTGTATCTACCGGGGAACATTTACACAAGTACAGATCCTAAATGTGCAAAGATATCAAAACAGTCTTTTGAAGCAACTCGTGTAAGATAAATGATATCTAACAGACAACTCATGTAGTAATCCCTATGATCTACATGTAATTTTGACCATTTGTTGACTGACGAAAAAGGTTAGAAGAAACCGAACACTTGTCACTAAGGACTAAGCCAGGAAACTACAATCACTTCGAGAAAATATGGAATTCGACACACCAGAGTTTGATCAACTGAGAACACAACAAAAGTACCCTCAGACAGATCTGGACAGGTCTTTGCCAACATTACTGGTGGGCTTTTCAAACTGGTTTTCATTTCTTTTGAGAATGAAGGTATTGGGATGTTTGCGATGGAATGTTTAATTAAGTGACGATTTTCTTCTTCAAAGACCATAAACACTTTGTCAGCCACAAATCTCAGAAACTCCTGAGGATAATGTCCATGTAAAAATATTAATTGTTTAATTTAATTTGAATTTGTTTAAATCCTTACAAACACTGGGTCTAACACGAAGTTATTTAGAGAAAAGGACGGAGGACATTCTTTGGTGCAGAACATAAACTCCTTCGGTGGAGGAGGATGTCAATTCTTTCCGCAATGAGTACACCCGTACTTACTCTCCCTCGTGTACAACGGCCGAGGAAACCGAGTTGTCAAAGTTCCCCAATTCTGGAAGATTCCTGTAGACTTCAAGACGGCAACCGCAAAAATTGGGTTTCTCGAAGAGGGTCACTTTGGGAGAGCCGCCCCAGTTTGCCTGGAAAAGTATCTTGGATAAACTGTGTGACGTTCCAACATATAACTGCTAGACAAAAGAAGGTATACTTTTGAAACTTGAATTTGACCAAAGATTACAAATGTTAACAAATGCTTCTGTCGCCAAACCACATGAAATCGTGAGCAACTCGTGTTATTCCGGGACAAGCCCCTGGAAGGATTTCATATTGGCGCATGAACATCAGAACTACTTTAAACAAGAACGATAACTCTATTCCTGTTTGATTCTAATAGTACTTAATATCACCGAAGCACTCGTACATGTTATTGCTATATATAACAAGTTTTATGGATAACAACTTCTTTATTTTCGTGAGTGCGACGTTTCGATACAGATTCTTGTACCGTTGTCAAGCAAGAGTGATACATGAAGTGTAGGAGCTGCATATATATACTGTATATAACAATGAAACAACATAATAGACAAAGGAAACAACATAATTGCCATGATTGGCTAAGCAGTAAGCTGATGAAGCCAGTAAGTACATAAAGGATAGTGAGTGGAAGCCAGAGATGTAGTTACAATGAGATGTTTATACAATGGATGCGATGTTTATACGATATACTGGGCTTGGTGGAGGAGTGGATCATAAGCAGATGGAATGAAGTATCCTTGGTCACGGTTGATGGTAGGCTTGTGGCGTTTGATGTGAATGGCTTCTGTGAGCTTGCGTTTAGTGAAGTCCGTTTGGTTGTTGGCGAGAATGGTGATGTCGGACCACTCTATTTGATGATTGGGGTTGGCTTTGATGTGGTCAGAGATAGCTGATTTGGTGTCGGAATTAGCAACAGAGGTGCGATGTTCTTTGACTCGGGTGTTGATGGGTCGGGATGTTTCACCTATGTAGCATTGTCCACAATCACAGTCTATTTTGTAAATAACACATCACCAACCCAGGTCCAATCATCAGCTACGACGTTGTGGACCTATTCACCAATGTACCACGGGATGAAGCCCTTCAAGCACTACGTCACAGAATTGACAACCTCCAACAACCCCTCAACACCAGCCTCTCTACCGACTCTATCATCAGCCTCACCTCCGCCTGCATCAACTCCACCTACTTCACCTGGGGCGATGCCATCTATGAGCAAATCCACGGACTTCCCATGGGCTCCCCACTATCCCCCATCCTAACAGAAATTTACATGGCCGACCTGGAAGAGAAGGCCCTAGAAACTGCACCCTTCAAACCGTCCTGCTGGTACCGCAAAGTGGATGACACCTTCGTCGTCCTCCAACCTCAGCAAGATCCAAAGCAGCTCCTCGCCCATCTCAACAGCCAACATCCCGCATCAAATTCACCATTGAAACAGAGCAGAACAACCAACTACCTTTCCTTGATGTCCTTGTGTCCCGCACCTCCTGCAACCAACTCCAGACCTCCGTGTACAGAAAACCAACTCATACGGATCAATACATCCACTACAACTCCAACCACCCACCTAAAGTCAAGACCGGCGTCATCTCTACATTGACCAGAAGAGCCAAAACATCTGCTCAACAAACCTACAGGAAGAAATTGAACACCTGAGGAAAGTCTTTGTGGAATGCAACCACTACCCACCTGAAATAGTCAACAGAACCATCGAAGCAACGCTTTCACCTCCTGCCAAAGGTCTAAACCAGAATCAGCCCCCATCAAGATATCCATTCCCTACATTGGTAAACCATCACACCAAATCAGCCGACTCCTGAAACAACAGGCAGGAATAGACACTACCTTCTCAGCGTCCTCCAGCCTCAACAACCTCCTCCATGCCAACGGAAGAAAACAACCCACCGTCAACAACAACAACCCGAAATGTGTTATTTACAAAATAGACTGTGATTGTGGACAATGCTACATAGGTGAAACATCCCGACCCATCAACACCCGAGTCAAAGAACATCGCACCTCTGTTGCTAATTCCGACACCAAATCAGCTATCTCTGACCACATCAAAGCCAACCCCAATCATCAAATAGAGTGGTCCGACATCACCATTCTCGCCAACAACCAAACGGACTTCACTAAACGCAAGCTCACAGAAGCCATTCACATCAAACGCCACAAGCCTACCATCAACCGTGACCAAGGATACTTCATTCCATCTGCTTATGATCCACTCCTCCACCAAGCCCAGTATATCGTATAAACATCGCATCCATTGTATAAACATCTCATTGTAACTACATCTCTGGCTTCCACTCACTATCCTTTATGTACTTACTGGCTTCATCAGCTTACTGCTTAGCCAATCATGGCAATTATGTTGTTTCCTTTGTCTATTATGTTGTTTCATTGTTATATACAGTATATATATGCAGCTCCTACACTTCATGTATCACTCTTGCTTGACAACGGTACAAGAATCTGTATCGAAACGTCGCACTCACGAAAATAAAGAAGTTGTTATCCATAAAACTTGTTATATATTGTACGTCTCAACTTCTAAAATGCCACTCAAACAAGTCATGTTATTGCTGTTATTGTGTATATGAATGAAACCTCTTTGATATGTACAACTAAAAGAGGAAATCAAAATATGTGTTAAAGACATGTTCTAACGTGATTATTACCAGCTGTTCACCTTATATTTACAAATGCATATTTCTAAATAGGATTTAAGAATTATTAATGGGATTTGTCTTGTTGAATATGCAAATACAATCATGTTGATGTTTTTTTCATCTATATTAAATATCAAAGCAGATACTCTAAAACAACGCTAAAATATTTCTCAAACTAAACGTTCATGTAACCTTCCTGCCAAATATATGACTGACCCCCAAATAGTCAGACTAAAATATCTCTAGAGATGTGAAATATAAGCCCAATGTTAAAGGTTATAGTTGATTAGTTATATATAGATATAATATTATTGCTTTAAAACTCGTTGCGATTTATAACTATATTTCCTAAAAATGTTGGGGAGCGCACGTACAATCTCCAAAACAAGTCCGCAAGATCGTCAGAAATACAGTGGACCTATAGGAGCCGTTATGTAAACAAAAGCACGTGCGTGTATTTGATCTTTCAGCGTCAATCGTATTATTCTTGTTAAAAACTTCACACTAAGCAGCACAATTCTGTTAGTTACGTTATTTGTACTTTCCATATGACGATTTATATGTTTTATGATTTTTAAACAATGACATAATGACATAAAGGATTTCAGTACTCTTTATTATTTTTATGAAAGGCACCGCAATCATTACAAGCGTTCTGATTGGTTTGTCTGATTTTCGCACATAACAATCATGGGGTTAAATATTGTAAATATTGAAAGATTTCACCTTAATCTTCTTAAATTTACTACTGCTTTACGATTTTCAATTCCTAGCTTTATGGTTTGTGGTAAACTGGGTCGTTTCCCTGTGAACATTATAATAGCTAAAAAGATTATCATATTTTGGTATAATGTAGAAACTGCATTGTGTGTTCTTCAACTCTTCAGATTACACAACACCGTCAATCTCCGTAATAATGATGCATGGATAACTCACATAAAAAAAAGTATTTTAGACAGTTGTGGCTTAACTTATGTATTTGATACCCCTAGTATACATAACATAACAACGTATGGTATGGAGGCCCGTGAGATGGGATTAAAGATTAACATGTACAGAGATCAAGAGGTTAATTGATATGTTTTGATTGAGATGTACAGAGGTAAACATATCACTTAATCCCCTTGCTCATCTCAATCTTTAATCCCATCTCACTGGCCTCCTGTACGCACTACATATGTTGTCTGTAAATCATATTCTGTCAGCCAAATTCGCAGACGATATTTCATTTTGGACTTCCTCAACCTCAGTTAAACAGGCATCACTCAAAATTCAAAAAATGCTAAATTCCATTCAAAATTGGGCCCAAAAATGGGGGTTCCACATCAATGTTAAAAAACCCGTGGGCATATTATTCAAACGACAGCATATGCAAAATTATACCCCCAAACTACACTTAAACAACCAAGAAATCGAATTCAAAAAAGAAGCGAAATTTCTAGGAGTAACTTTCGACCACCACATGACATGGACACCCCATATTAATAACTTGGTCAATTCATGTCAAAAAGATCTCAACTTAATGCGAGCCATCAGCGGCACAAATTGGGGTGCCAACAAACATACCCTCATTAATATATACAAAACTCTCATATTATCGAGATTGGACTACGCCGCACCGGTTTCCACTACTACCCCCTCCATAATCTTCAAAAACTTAATTCCATCCAATTCAAAGCCCTTAAACTAGCCCTCGGCGCGAGGAGTGGTACCTCTCTTAACACACTACTTCTTCTCTCACAGGCACCTCTTCAATCACACAAAGAATAAACCAAACCACACTCACTTACTGGGCTGGGGCCCAACACAACCCCACATTTAAATTAATCACAAACAAATATAATAACATTAAAAAAATCTACACTTAAAAAAATTCAAATCAAACCCACTCAAAGCATCATGCCTTACCCACCTATACAGTCTGCTACATGCACAACAGCTAAACACCTTACAACACACACCTCCCATTACAAGCTACATTCACGACAAACCCCCTCCCATCACAGACATGTCCCTTGACACAATCCTCAAACAACTACCTAAAACACCCGTCAATCCACCATAACTAATATCACAAACAACTACTTAAATACAACCTACCCCAATCACACACACATATATACAGATGCATCAGTCAGCTCTAACAAACCCACAGGCCTAGGCATTCACGTTCAACAAACCCCTCCCATCACAACAAATTTTCACTATACCAACTATACCACAATAAACACTGCCGAACTCACTGCCATTCTCACTGCATTACACGTAATACCCTCCCTTCCCCAAACAAACTTCCTTATACTATCCGATTCACTCAATTCTATCAAACAACTTCACAACATGCATTCTAAATCGCGCCCAGACCTAATTCACAATATAATTATTCAAACAGACTCACTCACACGCTCAAACAAAAACATCACATTCACATGGATACCCAGTCACTCAAACATCACAGGAAATGTCACCGCCGACACAGCAGCCAAACTCGCCACATCCCACACATCACCAAACCTCAACTTCCACACATCCAAATCAGAAATTAAAAAACTCATTAAAACAAACATATCAAATACCAACTTTCAACACAACATCAACACAAACAAATCAACCTGGGTCACATCCATTATCAAATCCCCAATAAGAAAAATTCCCACATATTCTAACATCAAAATCATCGACAGGGCAATTACCAGATTAATTACAGGCATCACTAACTTAAACTACACACTGTACAAACAAAACAGACACCCGGACGGATTATGCACTCACTGCAACACCCATGAAGACATAAACCACATATTCACACACTGCCAGCTGCAACAAACAAACATTAAGCAATTACACAACAACATTCCCACCAAATACCACAACAACATTCATCTCCTTCTCAACCCCCACAACCCGCCCAATATATTCCAAGCCATAGCCACCTTCCTTGAAAACTCCAACTTACTTCAAAAAATTTAGAACCTCCCAAACAAACCCTCTCATTACCACTCACTTCTAGCTTATATATTCAGATCAGGCGTCAAAATTCAATTTACCCATATTATCACCAGCACATGCCTACACATTTAGACCCGGGAGTAAATTTCATTCATCAATAGTGCCCTAAATCCGCTGCGAGGTCCGCGCCCATCCCCTAGCCAATCACAGTCCACTAAAATGTAAACAAACCAGCCCAACCTCTCTTACGTAAGGTCAATGCCATTCACCCAAGCCAGCTCACCTCCAACCTTCACTTATAGCCACGGCCCTTACCCACAGCCTTCTTCGCTCCCTCACCCCCATTCCCCCACCCCCTACCAACTTAATCCATTTTTCTTTCTTTATTAAATCCCCTTATATTAATTATGCAGCTCACCTGCATTCATATTCATGCCCCACTATGCTATATACTCCTTATCATCTCCCTCCCCTCCACTACCCCTACCAAACACCATAGGTCCAACATTTTCACTACTACTATTCAGCTATTACTCTACCTCTTATCCCTATAAATTCAATTGTACTGTTTTTTCTTTCTCTCCCCCTTTCCATTCCTAATACCGGCTTTTTATTTATTTATTTTTCCCATGTTTTAACGTTTTTCATTTCAAAATCACTCCTAGGTTAATGCCCCATTATTTATATTTTTTGGGTACGGTGGTTTACTCCTTATTCAAACCTATTTATTATTATCTTACCCACCACCTACCCCGTCGGCGACATTGGCTACAGCTAAAAGCCGACGTTAAACTCCAAATCATCATCATATTCTGTCATTCACCTGACGAAGGGTCAAGAAGTAGCCCAGAAACGTAGTGTTGTAAATAATAAAGAAGTTGTAAATCCGTACCATACGTTCTTAAATGGCTAGTCTCTGTGGAAAAATCAACTCTTAAAGATCATTTTATACAGACATGGAGGAAAGATATTAATAAAAGTCCAAAGGGTAATTATTATAAGCTGTTCAAAGATCTGCTGTTGTTTGAATAATGCGTCCTATTACCTGCCTACGTCTCTCGGCTCATTATATCATTTCTGATATCGAATCCTCATTTACCAGTAGAGACTGGGCGCTGGAAAAATATACCAAGACAAAATAGAAATTGTAATCTTTGTAATTCACCGGCGATAGAGGGCAAGTTCCATTACTTATTTAAATGTTCGGGTTTTTTATAACATGCGATCACAATACATCCCGATTTATAACAGTAAATGGCCGAATCTCGCAACATTTAAACTATTGTTTACCTTAGATACATGTAATTATCCAATCGTTAAAAATATTTTAAGATTTATAAAAAGTTATCAGTAACACTATAAAAAGATGAATACACTAAATATATTCACTGTTACCAATTTATAATTTATGTTGTAACTTTATTTGTATTTTTCCTGTACCACCAATGGTGGCTTGTCGAAATAAAATATTGATTGATTGAGACGGGGAGGAGTCTTCTTGGAGGTTACGGAAAGGGGCGATTGGTGACGAATGGCGGAACCACTGCAAACAATGTTTAAACACATCAGTGGCACCCATTCAGCCTCATGGAATACTCATTTCTTGTTTGTGTCATTTAAGCCACTTTCAGGCATGGGTGTATCATTTCAGTTGTCAAGGGAATGTAGTTAAACGTTTGTACTTTACATAAGAACGACGTTGAGATATAATAACAAATGCTATTAAAATTAAAACGATACACAGAACGTGATAAAACTTGACTTTTCGCTTCACGTGACTGTGATCTTAGTTAGCTATACAATCGGATTTCAACGTCCACTTTAAAATATTATTGTCTCAGAAAAAGGAGGCAAATGATTTGTTTTCACAATAAATTATTTTCAGGACATACAGCCCGTGCAATTTAGTTACTTTGCCACTTTGTTGCAGTTTTCTAGAAGCAAAGTTACCATTGAAAAATATCACAATCCTTCTCCCTAACCGCCACCCACCACCCGTGACCACCCATCAGCAACCAGACCATCAACAACCAACATCATATGGCTGGCCCTATGTCTTACATATCTGACATTATTGTAATTGTGGGTGTGTCTATATTATTGCTTGTAAACTAAACGAAGAACTTAAAATTAACATACCATTGTTCCTGAAGCTAGTTCGGGTTCCAAACCTGAAAGGATATGCATAAATTAAACGGAGTAATGAAGTCGCGATACTGAAATATCAAGTCTTTGAAAATATTTCCACTGATCACTAGGTATTTACCCATAAACACATCTATGACAAGAGATGGGGCCAAAGGACAGTCCTTAGTATCTGCATAATGTGGGCTATGGTAGTAAGTTTCAGGATTTTCGCAGTTACATATATTACAAAAAGGTCTGACTTGTACAACACATAGAAAAATCATGTTTTTATCAGGGATAAGGCTGACACGTACTTTTTCTATATTGAATAATACGATGGTTTTGATTTTTTGCCTGTCCAACCTTGTATTGTATTGACATAACAAGAAGTGCTCTGTATGACAGTTTAGCTTCTGATATTTCGCCTGTCAAGCATCCAACAATATCGGCATATCGCTAAATTACCGAAACTAACTTTGTAATATTAAAATTTAATATAACAAGCAAAGGCGGTCGTAAATACAGAACACAATTTGTCATCTTAAAACAGTATATTTAAAAGCTCACATCACAGACAAAATTCACAAGTGTCTTAACAAAGCAAACGGAAAAATTAATATTACCTAGAGTTGTAGATGACCGTGATGTCTTCTGTGTCTGGTCCGGGGCTGGAGTGAAGAACTTGTGTGGTGGCAGCTATTTATAGTTGGCTAGATCCGTAAACCCACGCATGTTCGTAATTTAGAACGATCCAGGTGTCCTATCAAAGGAGCTAGGTAGTTGTTGTCTGCCCGTTTAGTTGAACCGGACACGACAGGAAAACGCCATTAAAGAAAAAAAGCAGCATTCAGAAATTTAAAACTCCAGTAACGTCAACGCAAATAAACATAAACCTAGTTTTTAATATATTCTGGGAACTCCACACAATCTGTTGTTAAAGACTAGAAAGGATTGTCTAAACCACATTTTTTCCAGCAGAAAACGAAAGACGCAGTAGTTGGCAAACATTGTCAGAACGTCTTGACCGAAGAGGGTATTGGGTGTATTGGACTCGTGCCAGTACAGATGACATTGGCATGTGTTTTAATGGGGGTGTTTGGCTATCCCGCTGTGCGATATTCCAGTATTTGAACGGGTTGGTGACGTTCGACAATTGTTACTCGTTGCCTTAACCACCTGTAGCCGAATGTTGTTTTTCTGACGCACATTTATTGAACATTTGAAACGTGAACGTTCGTTGTTCAAGAATGTGCTCGCACGGCGCTGGATTTACCTGCTGCATAAAATTAATAAAACATATGTACATCAGGAAGGAACTTTGGCATTAAGAGGGTTGCACCTGGGCTCCACTAGTATTTTTACTGTCCTTCGTCGGCAGGTTTTTATAATAACTATATATATTCTATTACAATGTCAAATGTTCTCGTCACGATATGGCTGAAATATTGCCGATGTGACGTTAAATAATAACTCACAGAACTCACAGTTCCCCAAATAGCATATTTCGGTACTTTAATTTTAGTTAGTTTAGTTTTCAATTCCACTGCGCAACATGGTACATGGTCTCTATACATTTCTTACCTGCAAATAATTTTCATTTGGGGCATGCACACGTCCTTTTCGTAGGTAGTAAATATATATGGGAAATCGTTACTTTCAGGTACATTTATGTTTGTAATGTGAATTGTCATGGAAAACTTCATGAAAATGAGTGTGTCAGTGAGTTCAGTGTCCCCATGTGGGGAATCGAACCCGATGGCCTTCAGCATGACGAGCAAACACTTTAACCACTAGGGAGCCCCTCCGTCCCTCAACAAAATGAATCACAACCCATCAATCCAAAAATAAAACACCACAGTATACAGTTTTCAAACAGTTTGACATGTGGAGGACATTTTGACGTTTGACACTTCAGAGGTTTCTACGTTCGTCCCGGATTAGATTTGACGAATGCCACCATCATGTATCGTCACTGTTTGACAGTAATTAATAGAGAAGTAAATTGTTATTGCTAGATGTCTCATGACTATGGAATGGCCTTTGTCGTTATTAAATGTTGTGAATTCATATTTCTGACCCTTTAACGTCTTTAAAAATGGCTGGCCGCATTAATAAATTAAGAACAATATGGTATTCTGCATGCCTTATAAACATAGTTATTTAATGCTGGTGTTTTACACGGTTCTGTTCATGGCTGTGATAGTGTTATGGATAGCAAATGGATTTTCACTTGTCCGAACACAGGTCATAATGCTGATAGAGACTTCAACTATCTCGTCGCTGAGATTTAACTATTGCATTCCATTCGAAACAAATACATCTTAAAGAACTGCTTTCAATAATGTGAAAAGGTTCATTCTTCCTTCTTCAATCATAAAGGCACCCATGAAGGGCCACCTCCTCGTGGTGGGTGCTGGGTAACGCTAAGCGCCCTTCAACCCCCCGTTGTGGACCCGGGGGGATATTTGGTCCACCAACCCGTTTGCCGTGGGTTGCGCCCCTGTGTCGGTGGAGGACGGGAGTCTGGTGGTTGAGGGCAAGGGCTCCAGGAACAGTGTTCCTTTGCCCAACACACCACTTCGCCCCTTACTTCACCTAGACGGGTGGTTGAATGGGCCCGGTTCAACCAATCGGCTGGTCATGCTAAGCCCTGTACATGCATGTTTGTTATACACAATTTAGAAACTATTCAACTTTTGGCAGTTTTATGATAATATATTTGCATTTCGATCAAGTAACTATAATGTACTGTTTTGCCTAGAGTCTTATGTCCAGAAGGCAGTGGCTCATGGGCCAATCTGGTGGATTAATTATTCTGCTTGAGTATATCATCCGGGTATCCTTAGTGCTGCAAGTCGGAAATCCACTTGCTATCAGCATTGTCTTTATGATACTCCGTGGTGGGTGGGGAGCTCGGATGATGAATCAGTATACACTCACCATGGAATACGAAACCCCCTCTAAGAAAACAAAACGTCCTCTTGACAACGATGATGACCAACGACCCTCCACTACAGTTGATTACTGGCCACGTTTCTTGATTGTTGAGACCTTGGATAAGACTCCCTTTAAACTGAATCCTTTTGCGATTTCAAAAGGTGTTTATGGCATAGCAGGAGAAGTGAAGACCGTTAAGCGCTTGCGTTCAGGATCACTTTTAATTGAATGCAACAGGAAACAACAGGCAACCAACCTGCTATCGACAGATATGTTTGTTGGTGTTCCCGTTCTGGTCTCTGCTCATAGAACCTTAAACACTAGCAAAGGGATTGTACGAGACAGAGATCGTCTCTTTGCAGATATGACGGAGATTGATATCGTATCTGAGATGAAGGACCAAGGAGTGTTATTTGTCAGAAGATTTACCACCCGTAAAAATAATGAAACTGTACCAACAAACACTTATCTCTTTTCGTTTTCCGCGCCAAATCCTCCAAAATCAATCAAGGCTGGTTATTGCAATGTGAACGTTGATATGTACATCCCCACTCCTCTGCGGTGTTTTAAATGCCAAAAGTATGGACATGGTGTGAATAACTGCACATTGTCTGTTACATGTGCTCACTGTGCTGAGAATACACATGTAACAGAAGATTGTGACAATAGTTATAAAAAATGCGCCAACTGCAACGGTAGTCATTCATCTTTTTCTAAAGATTGTCCTATGTGGAAAAAGCAGATGGAAATAAACAAGATTAAATATACCAGAAATATCAGCTTTGCTGAAGCAAAAAAGTTTGTTCATTCTACGGAACATACTGAAACCTATGCCTCCATCGCCAGCACTTCAACCGTACCAAACCATAAAGAAAGTTCTTCAACAAATACTATTCTTACTTCCTCACACTCCTGCCAAACAGACTTGACATGGGTGAACTCTGACGCTCCCAAACGCTTTTCTCCTGATCAGTCTACTCAGACGGAGAAATCACTTCCTGCACAGCAGACCCTCTCGCAGGGTCAATCATCTCCTATTCCACCAACTTCTATTCCACCAGCTTCTATTCCACCAACTAGTTCTCAGCGTGAAAGAAAAGAGAAACACACCGGAAAGACCAAAATCAAATCAAGAGCAGAAACTTCAAAACCAGATCGAGCACCCAAAGGGTCAGATCAGATAAAGATGTATAATAAATTCGGGTCACTAGAGGATATGGATGTGTCTGATAGCATCCACCCAAGGGCAAATAGCTTGTCGCCCTCCAAGGCAGTGCGGGGTAGATCACCAATCAACCCACCAAAAAGATAGTTTTTTCCAAAAATATAATACAGTGGAATTGTAGAGGACTAAGGGTTAATTTTAATGAATTACAGCTATTAGTCCAAGATTTTACACCTTCAGCATTCTGTCTCCAGGAAACCTATCTGAAACAGACAGATACATTTAATTTACGTCAGTTCGATACCTATCATTCTTTTTCAGGTGACAGGGCCACCGGCGGATATTCAATACTTGTTAAACAGGATGTTATCCATAGTCCTGTGGCACTTACAACTAATCTCCAAGCTGTTGCAGTTAGACTCACGCTTCACGTTACCTTTACATTGTGCTCTCTGTATATTCCGCCTTCTTCAGTACTCCAGCAGTCTGATCTTCAAGCCCTCTATGACCAACTTCCGACACCCTGTATTCTAATGGGTGATCTCAATGGTCATAACCCAATCTTGGGTGGTACAAGCACGAACACCAAAGGTAAATACTGGAAGATTTTATATCAAATAATGACTTGTGTATATATAATGACGATTCAAGCACTTATCTGCATCCTGCAACCGGCACTTACTCTTCTTTAGATTTGTCTCTTGCAGACTCTAACCTCCTCAATGAATTTGATTGGTCAGTCCACAATGATCTCTGTGGAAGTGACCACTTTCCAACTATCCTATCAGAAATTTATCCCTCTGATTCTACATCTTATACAAGATGGAATTTTTCCAAGGCGGACTGGACCCTATTTCAAATTTTGTCAACATCTAAACTAAAAACTGAATATTTCAGTGATATAACTGATCCTATTGAGGTTTATTCTGACGTCTTAAATAAAATAGCTGATGAGTGTATACCAAAGTTCTCTACGACTCCCCATGTACGGAAACCATGGTTTAATACAGACTGTAGGCAAGCCAGAAAAGCGAGGAAAAAGGCAGAGCGTTATTTCCGCCAACATCCAACTGTCCATAACCTAAATAAATTTAAGGCACCCATGAAGGGCCACCTCCTCGTGGTGGGTGCTGGGTAACGCTAAGCGCCCTTCAACCCCCCGTTGTGGACCCGGGGGGATATTTGGTCCACCAACCTGTTGGCCGTGGGTTGCGCCCCTGTGTTGGTGGAGGACGGGAGTCTGGTGGTTGAGGGCACTGGTTCCAGGAACAGTGTTCCTTTGCCCAACACACCACTTCGCCCCTTACTTCACCTAGACGGGTGGTTGAATGGGCCCGGTTCAACCAATCGGCTGGTCATGCTGAGCCCTGAGCACTCTACTTTCATTGCTCACTCACTTTTTGGCTTGGTATTTTTATACATATTGTTAAACGTATTGTGCTTGTTTATTATTCTACACTGCTTTTTGAAACATCTGAAAAGTAGAAATTTGCCTAGATGCTGGTGCCAGAAGGCGATGGCTCATGGGCCAATCTGGTGGAAAGATTAATCTTTTAGTTTTTCTGCTTGAGTATATCATC